TATCATTCGGAGCAGGTGCTAGAGAAGAGATCAAAATCCTTCCCTCTATGTCTATTAGTAGTAGTCGTGCTACCACAACTGTCCACTGGAGGGGGCTGTTGTCAATGTCTTGTTCACATGGTCCTCTCATTCCAGTAGGCTACAGCAAAAAAAAACTATATTTTGTGTGTGTGTGTGTGTGTGTGTGTGTGTGTGTGTGTGTGTGTGTGTGTGTGTCCAACCATGCATGTAAACACTGTGTGCCAGTTTGGAGGCACTTCTGATTCTCGGCAGGTAGGGGGGGACACAGAGGGACAGACTGGTGCCTTTGGGTCGGTGGCTGCCAACTACTGATGGCACATATCTCCTCCCCGTTCTTCTGTAGAGGTGGGAAAATGAACATACAGTACAAGTACACATATTATATCAGATAGTGAAATATAATCACATCCTCAATATAACACCCAGGGACATAAAGGGCAGTATAAGCTACACGTGACTTTAGTCGGACCACTAGGTCTTTTTTAAACAGCTACAGCAACAAAAAAATTAATGGACATGATTCCACACACAAAACATTCTATCCATTACACAGATCCATTACATAGATCCATTACATAGATCCATTACACAGATCAGATTCGTTCATTACATCTTCAAGTGTGAGATTCCTGACTAGACTACAGTTATATCTGGTCCATGTGTTGGTAGTGGTGAGATGTGGTTATGGGTTCATTGAATGTCTAACTGTATGAGAAGCACAAGGACAAACCCAAATAAATTAATGCACAAGCACAGAAGAAGGAAAAATGTAATATTGTAACAGTTATGGTTAAAAACGACTACTTTTTGCATTTGTAAACAATGTTGAGGTTATTACATCACATTGGAGAATTGACATGTTTAATACTTAGTCAGAAGTCTTATAAATCAATCAAAAGAATAACACCTAGCTGGGTGTATCTGGTTCCACTATGCAACATGTTCTGTCACCTTACTCCTAACGCCTCTCATCTCCTTATCTTGAATAATTCAATACCTCACACCTGTGCTGGCACAAGGGTTGTCTCAAACACAGGAGACACACCAAATCTTAACAATTAGCATTTAGCATGATTAAACCTAGGAAACATACAGTTTTATAAAACTGTTTTAAACTACCATTACTTGTTGTAAATCATGCGAACATCATCATAATCATCATCATCACGCTTGCAAGTTTGTTTAGGAGATCTTAAGAGTTACTTTGATTGACAGCCTGACCAGAGACATTGCGTCATCAGGCGGGTAAAGGCCAGAGACGGCAGAGGAAGCGAGACATCTCACGCGCTCCTTTTTTTCCGGTCAGTCAATGAACTAAACAGACTAGACCATAGACCTCGACAGATATCGCGTCATTGTATCTGTCCCATTATGACGCCTGTGAGAGCATGGGCAGCGCCATTATGGCCATCTCATTTGAAAGTATTTCATTTTCTTCTACTGCTACTTCAATGAGTTGGTAAACAAACTGGAATGGTGCATACTGCCACCTGGAGTGTGTTGTTTGAACATGTATAAAGCAAAGGTTGGCGATTTACTGCCACCTGCAGTAATGGAATGTTTCCTTATGAGTATAATTAATTGGCTCATCCCTCCTGGTGACCTGGATGGAATTATGTCATTAACCAATAGCAAGTCCCACCCAGTTGACTGGGGTTCCCAACCTTTTTTCCCCAGGGCCCCGTTTTTCACATTTGAAAAAATGTCACTATATTAAATACACCACCAGCTTGATTTTGTTTAATTTAAGGGACCTACTAGGAAAGTGTGGCTGTTTTGAAGCTAATTTCCTGCAATTCTATGTAGCTTAATTCTACTTTTGACATATTTTAGGAAGGCTATTTAATTATAATAATAATGGGTAAGGAAAATATAGTAGTGGAAAAAGTACTCAATTCTCATACTTGAGTAAAAGTAAAGATACCTTAATAGAAAATGACTCATGTAAAAGTGAAAGTCATTCAAAATGTAAGGAGTACTTTTGGGTGTCAGGGAAAATGTATGGAGTAAAAAGTACATTATTTTCTTTAGGAATGTAGTGAAGTAAAATTAAAAGTTGTCAAAAATATAAATAGTAATGTAACGTACAGATACCCCCCAAAAAACTACTTAAGTAGTACTTTAACGGTTTTTTTTACTTAAGTACTTTACACCACTGGGAAAATAAATTATAGACCCGATTTCCCCAAATGTTACTCCACTAGCAAATATGTTTTATTATGATAATGTGGATTAACTCTCAATTTAATTATTCATGGTTTGTACGTTTCCTCACAATATTGTTTCGAACATTCGTTTTAGGACTGATGGCCCAGCTAAACATTCTACTCAATGCAGTATCAATAGGTGCTGATGAAAAGTTTGTCTGAAGTGCATTACTGTGTCTGGGAAACAAGATGACATTTGAAAAGGAGGCAAATAATTAGTAGGACTGTCATCATTGTGATGTCACCAGATTGACTTAGATGCAGTATAACAACTTTAGCTAGCTTGCTAAAATTGAGGGGAGAGCACCAACATTTAAAGCTAAAGCTTTAAACATTTAAACATTAAATTTAAGCTAAAGTTAGCACTGCTAGCTATTTCTGGCGAACTTTGCTAGCTCATGGCAACATTGCCATCTCTCTAAAGTAAACTTGACAACATCATAAGGGTGGCAAAGTTGTTTTCTACTTATTATGTGTCAACTTTAGCCATGTCATCATATTTACAGGCAACTATAGCGTAATTTTGATGAAACAGTCATTAGCCCCTGTTCAGAAAGAGTTTCACATTAACCTTCAGTCGGACATCAATATTCTGCGGCATCTGTAGGACGTTGACAACGACGTGACAGAGGTGCAATTCATGAATACATATTCTCTTTTACAGGAAGTGAACAGATCAATCCATAGCGACAGAGTCAGACATTGTATAATATTACTTCCCAAGCAAAGTCAAATTTCATGGACTCCTCGACTTTAGGTCGTAGCTCAGCTTCTGAATGTCAAAGAGCCAAATCAATGTGCATCCCATGTGCATCAGAGTCGCATCTTCCTCTGGCATTTTACCCACACCCGTCGCTATGGGTGTGGGTAAAATGCCAGAGGAAGACGCGACTCTGATGCACATGGGATGCACATTGATTTTTTTACAATGTCCATAGTAAAAGCCTGAGTAAGACATCTTCATTTATCCACCATCGCCGTGAAGGCGCGCTGTCCTTGGTTCTGAAATGTTGAACCGCTGTCCAGCTCCAGCAGATCATTGATCTTCTCAATGACTTCAGCACGAGCCAAAGGTAAGCAGAGAGAACCCACTGGGCACAGACGTCAATTCAACCTCTTTTCCACCTTGGTTCAACGTAATTTCATTGAAACTACGTGGAAACAACGTTAATTCAACCAGTGTGTACCCAGTGGGAACGACCTCAGCGCTCAATAGATGGGGGTCTTGAATTAGAAAGGATTCGTTTTGTGGATTTAAGTGTGACTTTTCTTCATTCAGTTATAACTTCATATGACAAGTTAATTCCTACTGCTTGGAATTTTCTGGCAGACGACCAAACGGAGCGTTCACTGAAAACAAGATGGCAGTGAAGTGAAACACAAACAGACAGCGACTGACAGTAAGCGCTGAAAAGCTTCTTCCTCATCTTCTTCTTCTCCTTTCCCTCATCCTCCTTTCCCTCCTTCTTCTTCTTCATAAAGGAAGTGCTCTGGACTAAACGTCCATCCCGTCCCCAGCCTTTTAGAACAGTCCTCTTCTTCGGGGGTCTTTAGAACAGCCCTCTTCTTCGTGGGTACGTCCATGCTGCTGTTTGCTGTATTTCACTCTGTTCTGGTTTTAACACCAGGAGTGTATACACGGTCTGTGGGAGGATGCAGTTTGCATCAGGTGAGATTAGAAGACAGTCTAGCCTAACTAACCTGTACATTTTCATGTATAGCATCCAGTGTTTGCTGAACCAACATGTATAGCCAGGGGCGGAACCTAGAGGACATTTTTTAAAAAAACACTTGCTGGCCCTCTTCTCTATCATGTCTCTAGGCAACCTTGGCTGATGAACAGTCACACAGTATGTACAGTCATACAGGCCCCTGGCTGCCACCCCCAGTGACAGAAGTTGTCATCCCTGTTGTCTAGGAGAGGTGAGATGACAAACCTATCCTGTCCAGTCAGTGAAACCCCAGTGAAATCTCTCCTGTTTCAGAGGTGGCATGTGTCCAGTGCTATTGTCACTAGTGACAATACTTATTTTCCACCATAATTTGCAAATAAATTCATCAAAAATCCTACAATGTGACTTTCTGGAAAAAAAAATCTCAATTTGTCTGTCATAGTTGATGTGTACCTATGATGAAAATTACAGGCCTCTCGCATCTTTTTAAGTGGGAGAACTTGCACAATTGGTGGCTGACTAAATAATTTTTTCCCCCACGGTACATATTCACTCATTCATTCATCGTATTTATATACTCACCTCCAGATGTAATTGGACAGTGAAGCTAAAAATGTAAATTTGTCTCTATACTCCAGCATTTTGGATTTGAGATCAAATGTTTTATGAAGCGACAGTACAGAATGCCACCTTTCATTTGAGGGTATTTTCATACATAGATGGTTCATAGTTCAGGAATAAAAGCACTTTATGTATCTAGTCCCCCCATTTGAAGAAGTCGTAAGTATTTTCAACAAATTCATATATAGTGTACTAAAGTAGTCAAAAGTGTAGTATTTGGTCCCATATTCCTTGCACTCAATGACTACATCAAGCTTGTGACTCTACAAACTTGTATGCATTTGCAGTTTGTTTTGGTTGTTTCAGATTATATTCTGCCCAACAGGTACATTTGATCTTAAATCCAAAATGCTGGAGTAAAATGTTACCTTCACTGTCCAAATACATATGGAGGTCAAGTCAGTGTATAATATCCTTGGTCTTTCCCCAGCCATTCTGATGGTGATGGGTTGTACGAGACGCCCCGGAGGTGAAGAGGATGTGTGGTGAGAGGAAAGGCGAGTACACCCTGGGGAACTGTACGGTGAGGTGGACCTACATCCTGGCTATCAGCTGTGTCCTGGACTCTCTCATCCTGGCCTTCCTAGCCTTCACACTGGGTAACAGACGGGACAAACCGCTGCCAGGTGACTTCGAGGTGGAAGGGAAAGGTGAGGGGACAAAATTAGGAGATATTTGTTGCATGAGGGATTCATTCAAAAATAGCTAAGGGGTTTGGGGGGGGGGGGGGGGCATGCTGCATAGCACATTTCCCTAGTGGATATGAAAGTATACAATTCCATTTTATTTTATTAGGTGGGAAGAAGCAAAAAAAGGGGGTGTTGATGCAGTTGTAATGATGTGATAAAACACGTTTTTGTAGACTGAGGGATTCAGAAAATTAAAGAGCTTGGAGTGTGGGACACTGGGATTATCTCAATGTTTAAAACATAGCCCTACTTTTTCATTTATCTTATTTTAACTCATCCTGTTTTCATTACAGAAAAGCAATGAGGCACTGGAGTAAGAAGAGACCACGTCTTAAAACAGCTCAGCTGGTAGAGCACGGCACTTGTAACGCCATGGTAGTGGGTTCGATCCCCGGGACCACCCATACGTAAAAATGTAAGCACACATGACTGTAAGTCGCTTAGGATAAAAGCGTCTGCTAAATGGCATATTATATTATGATCATTAACATAATTCTGACGCTTATGACGACCGGGCCCGGGATGCAGCAAGGCCTCTATGGTTAGTGTTATTACAATAGACACTAAGGCGTCCTTTCCTCAACATTTATTTATTCAGTTTTATTACTCGTTATGCTAGGAGGGCAGTTTTATTACTCGTTATGCTAGGAGGGCAGTTTTATTACTCGTTACGCTAGAGGGCAGTTTTATTACTCGTTACGCTAGAGGGCAGTTTTATTACTCGTTACGCTAGAGGGCAGTTTTATTACTCGTTACGCTAGAGGGCAGTTTTATTACTCGTTACGCTAGAGGGCAGTTTTATTACTCGTTACGCTAGGAGGGCAGTTTTATTACTCGTTACGCTAGGAGGGCAGTTTTATTACTCGTTACGCTAGAGGGCAGTTTTATTACTCGTTACGCTAGGAGGGCAGTTTTATTACTCGTTACGCTAGAGGGCAGTTTTATTACTCGTTACGCTAGAGGGCAGTTTTATTACTCGTTACGCTAGTGGTCAGTTTTATTACTCGTTCGCTAGGGGCAGTTTTATTACTCGTTACGCTAGAGGGCAGTTTTATTACTCGTTACGCTAGAGGGCAGTTTTATTACTCGTTACGCTAGAGGGCAGTTTTATTACTCGTTACGCTAGAGGCAGTTTTATACTCTTACGCTAGAGGGCAGTTTTATTACTCCGGTTTACGATAGAGGGCAGTTTTATTAATCGTTACGCTAGGAGGGCATTTTATTACTCGTTACGCTAGAGGGCAGTTTTATTACTCGTTACGCTAGAGGGCAGTTTTATTACTCGTTACGCGAGAGGGCAGTTTTATTACTCGTTACGCTAGTGAGGCAGTTTTATATACTCTTTCGCTAGAGGGCAGTTTTATTACTCGTTACGCTAGAGGGCAGTTTTATTACTCGTTACGCTAGAGGGCAGTTTTTATTACTCGTTACGCTAGTGGGCAGTTTATTACTCGTTACGCTAGTGGGCAGTTTATTACTCCTTTCGCTAGAGGGCAGTTTTATTACTCGTTACGCTAGAGGGCAGTTTTATTACTCGTTACGCTAGAGGGCAGTTTTATTACTCGTTACGCTAGAGGGCAGTTTTATTACTCGTTACGCTAGAGGCAGTTTTATACTCGTTACGCTAGAGGGCAGTTTAGGTTTATACTCGTTACGCTAGGAGGGCAGTTTTATTACTCGTTACGCTAGAGGGCAGTTTTATTACTCGTTACGCTAGGAGGGCAGTTTTGTTACTCGTTACGCTAGAGGGCAGTTTTGTTACTCGTTACGCTAGTGGGCAGTTTTATTACTCGTTACGCTAGGAGGGCAGTTTTATTACTCGTTACGCTAGAGGGCAGTTTTATTACTCGTTACGCTAGAGGGCAGTTTTGTTACTCGTTACGCTAGTGGGCAGTTTTATTACTCGTTACGCTAGAGGGCAGTTTTATTACTCCTTACACTAAGAGGGCAGTTTTATTACTCCTTACACTAAGAGGGCAGTTTTATTACTCCTTACACTAAGAGGGCAGTTGTTTGGACCTTACTGTAACCAATGGGACCCCGTTTTCATGTGGCGTTTCCCCCTTTTTCGAGCCTTGGTAATTGAACTCAGTTTTACTTTATTATGTTGATATTTTGCAATGTCTTCTGTATACAATAACTGTATAAATCATCAATACACATTATATTTTCTGAGTTAAAGTTTTCTGTTCCTTGTATTTCTCATTTTTTAAAAAACTGTCCTATCAACAGTAGCTGGGTAAAGAATCAAGCTAGACTAGATTACATTTCATAATGTGAATAACTTTTGTTTTATTGTATGGTGTGGTGTAGTATACCATTTTATAGTGTCCAATTTTAACCCTACCTCTTTAAGGAATACCTGGAATAGTATAAAGTAATCCTTCTTCCCCCACCCAACAGTGGTTGTCCCACTTGCTATCATAAGTTGAATGCACCAATTTGTAAGTCGCTCTGGATAAGAGCATCTGCTAAATGACGTAAATGTAAATGGACATTTCTAATATGTGTGTGATAAACCCTGATTGGCAAAATGGAGCTTGATATAAAATGACCTTCCTCACCCAGTAGACCCAAGACTAAAAAGGTTCAACATGTATTAAGGACATCATTACAGTATATACAGGGGTGGAAATTGAGATTTTGACAGGTACAAATTAGTTTTTCAAGGTGGGTTTCGCACTTCGCAGTAACCTTTCCCCATTTCCACCCCTGAACATTAGAGCACCCTCTCATCCTATGGACCAATAACACACAGTGCCATTAAACAGCTGATGGACATGCATACGAAAGATCTTGCACACTTCTTCCAAATGCTTTATTAAAACATTACTACCTAAATCATTTTAGCTAAGACCGTAAGGTCCGTCCCAAATGGCACCCTATTCCACAGTGCATTCGGAAATTATTCAGCCCCCTTGACTTTATCCACATTTTGTTACGTTACAGCCTTATTTTAAGATTGATTTAAAAACATTTAATCAATCTACACACAATACCCCATAATGACAAAGCTTAAACAGGTTTAGAATTTTTTGCAAATGTGCTAAAAATAAAACAGAAATGCCTTATTTACATAAGTATTCAGACCCTTTGCTATGAGACTTAAATTTGAGCTCAGGTGCATCATGTTTCCATTGATCATCCTTGAGATGTTTCTACAACTTGATTGGAGTCCACCTGTGGTAAATTCAATTGATTGGACATGATTTGGAAAGGCACACACCGGTCTATATAAGGTCCCAAAGTTGACAGTGCATGTCAGAGCAAAAACCTAGCCTAGTGGTTAAGAGCGTTGTGCCAGTAACCGAAAGGTTGCTGGTTCTAATCCCCGAGCCGACTAGGTGAAAAATCTGTCGATGTGCCCTTTGAGCAAGGCACTTAACCCTAATTGCTCATGTAAGTCGCTCTGGATAAGAGCGTCTGATAAATTACAAAAATAAATAATAATATATATTTTTTAAAAATAGGGTACAAAAAAAATGAAATGTCTGCAGCATTGAAGGTCCCCAAGAACACAGTGACCTCCATCATTCTTAAATGGAAGAAGTTTGAAACACCAAGACTCTTCCTAGAGCTGGCAGCCCGGCCAAACTGAGCAATCTGGGTATTAGAGCCATGGTCAGGGAGGTGACCAAGAACCCGATGGTCACTCTGACAGAGCTCCAGAGTTCCACTGTGGAGATGGGAGAACCTTCCATAAGGACAACCATCTCTGCAGCACTCCACCAATGAGGCCTTTATGGTAGAGTGGCCAGACGGAAGCCACTCCTCAGTAAAAGGCACGACAGACGCTTTGAGTTTGCCAAAAGGCACCTAAAGGACTCTCAGACCACGAGAAACAAGATGATCTGGTCTGATGAAACCAAGATTGAACTCTTTGGCCTGAATGACAAGCGTCACGTCTGGAGGAAGCCTGGTGGTGGCAGCATCATGCTGTGGGGGTGTTTTTCAGTGGCAGGGACTGGGAGACTAGTCAGGATCGGGGCAAAGATGAATGGAGCAAAGTACAGAGAGATCCTTGATGACAACCTGCTCCAGACTGGGGCGAAGGTTCACCTTCCAACAGGACAACGACCCTAAACACACAGCCAAGACAACGCAGGAGTGGCTTCGGGACAAGTCTCTGAATGTCCTTGAATGGCCCAGCCAGAGCCCGGACTTGAACATCTCTGGAGAGACCTGAAAATAGCTGTGTAGCAACGCTACCCATCCAACCTGACAGGGCTTGAGAGGATCTGCAGTGAAGAATGGGAGAAATACAGGTGCCAAGCTTGTAGTGTCACACCCAAGAAGACTCGAGTCTGTAATCGCTGCCAAAGGTGCTTCAACAAAATACTGGAGTAATACTTACGTAAATGTAATATTTCCGGGGGTTTTTTATATACATTTGAAAACATTTCTAAAAACCTGTTTTCGCTTTGTCATTATGGGGTATTGGGTGTGGATTGATGAGGTGAAGAAAAAAACAATTGAATCCATTTTAGAATAAGGCTGTAACTTAACAAAAATGTGGAACAAGGGAAAAAGGTATGAATACTTTCAGAATGCAACGTATAGGGAAGCGTGCGCCATTTCGGCCACACCCTAGGATTAGTTAACAGTACATGGCTGTAATATAGAGCAAGGCAAACTCTTTGGTATTTACACACAATACTTTATTTTTTCACAACTTCTTCTTTTGAATGGGGCTCTTATGAACAGATTTGTGTTGAACGTTTTTCAAACATAATATTACTTTATGAAACCCACAAAACATGAGAAAACCAGTCTCCTATCCGATGAGTGATTCAACGGATTCTGAACAAAGTGTCAGGTGATATGGGTTTTACTGATCCGAACGGCAAGACAGTCCTCTAATGCATTTTCCTGTGGAGACCTAGAAATAGTTCCGTCAGGAAAGAGAGTGGAGTGCCACCTACAAGTCCGTTTGCCCTATGTGCAACTTCCTAATACAAAACAAACAAAAAAGCCTTACGAGTGAAGGTGTAACACAGAAGTACTCTTCGCCTTAAAGTGAACACAGACACACTAATTACATTTATCAAGAGAAAAACCAAGTTGTATCAAGTTATATGACAGAGATTTTAAAAGTGGTAGAGGGTACTAGAGACTACAGAGGTAGAACAAAACAAGATGGTGGTGGGAATCACAATAACAACAAGTCATCTTACACTACATAACCAAAAGTATGTGGACACCTGCTTGTCCAACATCTCATTCCAAAATCATGGGCATTAATATGGAGTTGGTCCTCCCCTTTGCTGCTATAACAGCCTCCACTCTTCTGGGAAAGGCTTTCCACTAGATGTTGGAACATTGCTGCGGGGACTTGCTTCCATTCAGCCACAAAAGCATTAGTGAGGTCGGGCACTGATGTTGGGCGATTAGGCCTGGCTCGCAGTCGGCGTTCCAATTCATCCTCAAAAGGTGTTCGATGGGGTTGAGGTCAGGACTCTGTGCAGGCCAGTCAAGTTCTTCCACACCGATCTCGACAAACCCTTTCTGTATGGACCTCGCTTTGTGCACTGGGGCATTGTCATGCTGAAACAGGAAAGGGCCTTTCCCAAACTGTTGCCACAAAGTTGGAAGCACAGAATCGTCTACAATGTAATTGTATGCTGTAGCAATAAGATTTCCCTTCACTGGAACTAAGGGGCCGTGCCCAAACCATTATTCCTCCTCCACCAAACTTGACAGTTGGCACTATGCATTGGGGCAGGTAGCGTTCTCCTGGCATCCGCCAAACCATGATTTGTCAATCAGACTGCCAGATGGTGAAGCGTGATTCATCACTCCAGAGAACACTGCTCGAGTCCAATGGCGGCGAGCTTTACACCACTCCAGCAGACGCTTGGCATTGCGCTCGGTGATCTTAGGCTTGTGTGCAGCTGCTCGGCCATGGAAACCCCATTTCACGAAGCTCCCGACTAACAGTTATTGTGCGGACGTTGCTTCCAGAGGCAGTTTGGAACTCGGTAGTGAGTGTTGCAACCGAGGACAATTTTTACGCGCTTCAGCACTCAGTGGTCCCGTTCTGTGAGCTTGTGTGGCCTACCACTTCGCGGCTGAGCTGTTGTTGCTCCTAGATGTTTCCACTTCACAATAACAACACTTACAGTTGACCGGGGCAGCTCTAGCATGGCAGAAATTTGACGAACTGACTTGTTGGAAAGGTGGCATCCTATGACGGTGCCACATTGAAAGTCACTGAGCTCTTCAGTAAGGCCATTCTACTGCCAATGTTTGTCTGTCCTCGACTTTATACACCGGTCAACAACGGGTGTGGCTGAAATAAGACCAATCCACTAATTTGAAGTGGTGGGTCCACATACTTGGTATATATAGTGTATATGGGTGAGAAGTGTACGGAGCACAGAATTATGGACCACCAAAATGATTGACCATAAACCAATGTTGCCTAGTAGCTTCTTTAAACACCATCAACAATGAAATAAAAAGGAGAAACAAAGACATATTCCTCCTTGATGATGATGATGATGATGGATGATGACAAAAATGTAAGAACACAAACCAAAACAGAAATAAATAATCATCTCAGACGCTTCAATTGGAAAGTGATCTGTTGCAACAAGTCTCTTGTAAGATGTTTAAATTTGCGTCGCAGTGGCCGGATGCCGCCACTGGAGGGCATACATCTAGGGATGTAATTCAGGGACGTGAAACACTACTTTTACATTTTAGTCATTTAGCACAGTGTTTCCCCAACTCCAGTCCTCCAGTATCCACAACTGTACACATTCTTGTTGTAGCCCCAGGTAAGCACACCTGATTCAACTAATCATCAAGCCCTCAAAGAGTTGCACCAGGTATGTTTGTCCAGGGCTACAATAATAACGTGTGCTGTTAGGGGTACTGGAGGACTGGAGTTGGGAAACACTGGTTTAGCAGACACTCTTACAGTCGCTCTGGATAACAATGTCTGCTAAACGACTAAAATGTCAAATGTAACATTGCAGATAGAAATGTAATGAAAAGAGCCGACACGATTCCCTATTCTATCTGACAGATGATCATATATCTGTTCGACGCCATACATTTTCATCCGAACGTTCAGTAACATTACATGCTCCTGAACATAGCCCCAGGGTTTTACGTCGCAGCGGTTGGACTGTTCCATCACGGGCCGCATTCAGCAGGGCAAAACGTTACGGAACGCTCAGATAGAACTCCTTACTGTAGAACAAACATGCCTCTATGACAAGTAGAAAAACTAGTCATGTCAGCTCCAGTCATTCAAATTAGCTGCAACATTCAAAAACGTTTGCCTACTGAACAGGCCCCAGGTGTTTTACATTGCAGTACTGGAGGCAGTCACTGGGGGGCGATCCAGGGGTGGCGCAGGCAGTCTGCGGCCGTGGCCCTCTTCTCCGGTACCAGCTCCAGCATGGGGAGGAGGAAGTCAGCGAAACAATCAGCCTCCTCTTTGGGCCACTCGTACTTATCCTGCAGCACCTCTAGTAACCCCCACGGCTTCAGCTTGGTGATGTGCTTCAGGTCACCTAGGGAAGAGAAGTTTTAGAGACAGACGGCACAGTCAGCCTCACAGAGAAAGATAGAAGGGTTAGACAGAGAGACAGATGGCAGTCAGTCAGTTAGAGACAGGGTTTCACATCACCACACTAACATGACAAGACTCACCACCATGACACACACACACACATCACTCAAGACTGTTACTAAAGCTTTCCTTTAAATGACAGCATACAAGAAAATAAAAAAGATTGGCACTGTGAAATACACGCACAGATGTTTGTGTTTACAACAAAAGGGGTGATAGGTCTTCATTTAAAAACTTTACATAACCACATTGCTTTACCTTTCTTGGTGAAAAAATCCTTGGAATATTTCCCAGCCGTTATGAGTTTGTGTGGGACTTGCCCCAGCAGCTCAATGATCAATGCAATATGGTCTGCTCAGACAAAAAAAACAAGAGCAAAAAAAGAGGGAGAAGAGAAGAGGGGAGGACGAGACAAACGACAGATTCATCAGACTTCGTGCGGCAATCACAAGCCCCCCCTGGGTGTGGGGGTCAATCTGACAGCACTTAGAGGAACCCACCTTTTATTTTGGGGTGTACAACCCTTTTTATTTTGGGGTGTACGACCCCTTTTATTTGGGGTGTATAATCCCTTTTATTTGGGGTGTATAATCCCTTTTATTTGGAGTGTATAACCCCTTTTATTTTGGGTGTATAACCCCTTTTATTTTGGGTGTATAATCCCTTTTATTTGGAGTGTACGACCCCTTTTATTTTGGGTGTATAACCCCTTTTATTTGGAGTGTATAATCCCTTTTATTTGGAGTGTATAACCCCTTTTATTTTGGGTTTATAATCCATTTTATTTGGGGTGTATAATCCCTTTTATTTGGAGTGTATAACCCCTTTTATTTGGAGTGTACGACCCCTTTTATTTTGGGTGTATAATCCCTTTTATTTGGAGTGTACGACCCCTTTTATTTGGAGTGTATAATCCCTTTTATTTGGAGTGTATAATCCCTTTTATTTGGAGTGTATAATCCCTTTTATTTGGAGTGTATAATCCCTTTTATTTGGAGTGTATAATCCCTTTTATTTGGAGTGTATAACCCCTTTTATTTGGAGTGTATAACCCCTTTTATTTGGAGTGTATAACCCCTTTTATTTGGAGTGTATAATCCCTTTTATTTGGAGTGTATAATCCCTTTTATCTGGAGTGTATAATCCCTTTTATTTGGAGTGTATAATCCCTTTTATTTGGAGTGTATAATCCCTTTTATTTTGGGTGTATAATCCATTTTATTTGGAGTGTATAATCCCTTTTATTTGGAGTGTATAATCCCTTTTATTTTGGGTGTATAATCCCTTTATTTCGGGGTGTATAATCCCTTTATTTCGGGGTGTATAATCCCTTTTATTTTGGGGTGTACAACCCCTTTAACTTCACCTGTAAAACAATACAAAGACACCCGCCTAAAACTAAGTAGAGAACACCCAGACATGACAGAGACTGGATTAAATGTGGTTCTGATTCTACGTAGTATGCTAGTGTTGACATTGGAACGTAGCAGCTGGGTGTTGGGACTCCTGGTGCTGTCAGAGGACCTTGCCTGCTCTACCTCCCCACGTCCCCCAGGGCAGGCCACAGACACAGATTAGCGTACCTATTCTGGTTAATAAAAATATTAATACAATAAAATCTCCTAGCAGGTTTCCTTTGGACTACAAAGCACTTTCAATGGAAAATCTCATCTGAACATGCTTTTCAGTCCAAGACTAGGCTTAAAATATCCAGGGAAACTGGCCCTTGAAGATTGACTATAGCTGACATATAGGCAGGTAGCATACTGTACGACGTGTTGTAAGCCAACAATTCCTTCTCTTCTATTAATGTATGGCATGACAATGACAGAACAGTTGGCTACAGTAATAAATAGGCCCAGGTTAGCTGACATATGCTATAACATAGTGTATCCAGGTGGCTATTAAACTACCGTATTTTCCGCACTATAAGGCGCACCGGATTATAAGGCGCACCTTCAATGAATGGCCTATTTTAGAACTGTTTTCATATATAGGGCGCACCGGATTATAAGGCGCATAGAATAGAAGATACTGCAGTCAAACGTTTGACTGGGGTTGCGTTATGCATCCACTAGATGGAGCTGTGCTAAAGGGAATGTCAACAAAACAATTCAGATAAAGTCAAACTTTATTAAGCGTTCCGACAACAATTTTGGGGTCTTTATACACACACACAAGTGGTGTGGGACTGTGAGTAAGCACAGTACCGGTGTTTACTGACTACGGTAGCTGTAATGCTGCAAGCGGTGCGGCTTTGTAGTTTACCAATCGTACTGAAACATTTCATTATTATTACTACATTGTTTTTATTGGTTTTTCATACTGAAACATTTTGACAGAGCACCTTGAGCGCCGTGTACAACCAGTATGGATCAACCAATTGATCCATATATAAGGTGCTCCGGATTATAAGGCGCACTGTCGTTTTTTGAGAAAATTAAAGGCTTTTAAGTGCGCCTTATAGTGCGGAAAATACGGTAATTAAAATCACTGTAATGGAGTAGCACAGACTGCACCGTTTATTGTCAACTAGACTACTAATCAATATTGTACCATCAAACACATTGCACAGTATTGTACCATCGAATGCACACACCGCCTACTGCAAAAAGCATAACTGTTGGTTTTTAATCATTAATACATTTATAAATATTTAGGACCAACTCAAACCCAAAAGTGATAAGAGATTGAATGAAAACCTATTAATATTTTGGAAGGTTTTTCACAGTATGCAAACGGTTAACGTCACCAATCCAAAATAGCTCTTCTCTGTAGGCCAGTGCTCTCCAAACCTGTTCCTGGAGAGCCACACTCCCGTAGTTTTTATATTGTCATTTTACCCAATTACGTGATCATGACCTTGTCTCATCACTGGAACTCCCCAACAGGCTCGGGAGAGGCGAAGGTCGAGTCACGCGTCCTCCGAAACATGACACGCCAAACCGTGCTTCTTAACACCAGCTCGCTTAACCCGGAAGCCAGCCGCACCAATGTGTCGGAGGAAACACTGTTCAACTGACGACCGCAGTCAGCCTGCAGGCGCCCGGCCCGCCACAAGGAGTCGCTAGAGCGCGATGAGCCAAGTAAAGCACCCCCGGCCAAACCCTCCCATAAACCGGACGACGCTGGGCCAATTGTGCGCCGCCCTACTGGACTCACGGTCACGGCCGGTAATGACACAGCCTGGGATCGAACCCCAGGCTGTAGTGACGCCGCGACACTGCGATGCAGTGCCTTAGACTGCTGTGCCACTCAGGAGGCCCTCCTGTAGGTTCACTCCAACCATGTTCCTGGAGAGCTACCCTCCCGTAGGTTCACTCCAACCCTGTTCCTGGAGAGCTACCCTCCCGTAGGTTCACTCCAACCCTGTTCCTGGAGAGCTACCCTCCCGTAGGTTCACTCCAACCCTGTTCCTGGAGAGCTACCCTCCCGTAGGTTCACTCCAACCCTGTTCCTGGAGAGCTACCCTCCCGTAGGTTTTCACTCCAACCCCAGTTGTAACTAAACTGATTCAGCTGATCAACCAACCAGCTAATTATTAGAATCAAGTACGCAAGATTAGAACAGAGGCAACCTTCTAAAAGTAGACTACTATACATATATTCAAATCAAGCAGAAGAACAAGCGGATGCATAACTACCTTCGTCCCTGGCGTAATCTTCCCCGGAATGGGGCTCAAACAAGTAGTCCCCTGTGGCTAGCTCAAATGCCTGCAGAGAAGGAAAGGACAATAAACAACAAAGGAAGGAAGCAGACACTGTACTGTAGGGAGGAGGATCTTGTCAGGCATTCTAAACAGGATCTCCTTTTTGAATCCCTTCTACGTTCCTTTATTTACTGGTTTTAAAATGTTGGTTTTATTTGAATGTAAAGTGTGTAAGTGGTTCTCTGTTGTCCAGGATTACCATGCAGGCTGTGCTCCATATGTCGGCTGGTGTATTGTAGCCAGACCCTATGAGCACCTCTACAGAACGGTACTGTCTCGTCTGGATGTCTTCTGTAAAGTGCTTGTGCTGCGGAGGAGAGAGAGAAAGGGGTGAGATGGAGACAGGTCAATGACACTGCTATTGCAGAACTGGGTTCAAATAGTGTTTTTCTTTTTGAATACTTTCCACGTTTGATTGAGCCTGCATGGAGTGGCAGCTGGGGCGGAGTTTAGACTTTTGGGATTATTCCATTGGCAAGCTCAACCAAGCAGGTGGGCGACATGAATGCCGGGAAGACTTAAGCAGGAAATCCCTTAGGTCATCTGCACACAGATACTCACCACCCAGCAGGCGTTCCCCAGGTCTGCTATCTTGACCTTCAGTCTGTCTGCGTTGAGTGGCTCCAGGGGGTTCACCAGGAGGTTCCCTGCTGCTAGTTTGGCTGCATCGAGAGCGAGAGAGAGAGAGAGAGAAACTCAGCAACCAACCATTTCAACACTGATCTGACTGTCAAATAAAAGGAATACAACAACGTACTGCACTAGAGTCGACGCCCGCACCTACATCTAATTAGCATAATCATCCAAAATCCCCAACAAAATCCACCTGTTTAAGACAGAGATATCTGATACCCGTGTTCTCAACATCATGACTGTGTACTCACCGTCCTGTCTACTCACCATCCTTCAGACTCTCCTGTTCTCCTCCATACTGGACGTTCTCCAACACCTCCTCTGTGGCCTCCTTCTCCCCACGACTCCTGTCCTGCGCCTCCTCTGTGACTTCCACTTGACTCCTTTCCTGATTCTTCTCCTCCTCCTCTGGCGATAGCTCCACCTCCTCCCGGCCACTAAAGCTTGTTGTCTCCGTCTCGGACGCTTTTGTCTTTATTTCAGTCTCAGCCATCTTCCTGGTCAGAGCTCCACTCTCTGGGGTGTCAGGCTCCTCTGTTCCCGGGGACACCAGGCCGTTACACACGGGCTGAAGAAGAGAGCGATCCACTGTTTGGTCTGCGTTACCGTTGTGTTGGTCATGCTCTCTCCACTCTGCTTTCTTCTCTTCCGTTCCATCCTCCTCTTCCTCAGGATGAAGGCCGTTACAGTTCACCTCCGCACCCGCAATGCACTCTGGGTATATGAGAAAATAACATTAGATCTAGTAGGAGGCTGGACTAGTAGTTTCCTTCTAATTAGTCTAATTCTGTGTTGTTCTTAATCCTAATCTTGGAGACCCACTGGGTGTGTAGGCTTTGGTCCCAGCTCAGCTGGTTCAACTAATCAAACACTTGATAATTAGTAGATTAGTTGAATCAGGTGCATCAGTGCTGTGTTGAGGAAAAATCTGTACAACTCAGTGTGGATCTCCAGGCCCATGATTAAAAAATACTAACGTCCCCTTGAGGGACAATAAAGTTGTATTGAATTGAATTCCAGAAAGTCACCTGCTGTGTCTTGGATGGCTACTTCCTGTAAGGAGATCTGTCTGAGAGGAGCACAATATTGCCGCTCCGACTTGGGAGAGACGGGAGACTCTGGGTCCTCCTCCTCTTCATCCTCCTCCTCCTCCTCCTCCTCCCTCCCCGGAGCCTTCTCCATCTCCTCCAGATCCAGAATGCATTTCTCCAAAAGCTCCGCCTGACGCTTCTGCTTCTTCTTTAACTTCTTCTTCTTGTTCTTGGACATTTTGGTCGTCTGGAGAGGAAGAGGAAGCAGGACAGACAGGAGTCAACAGGGTTTACTGAATACAACACTACTGGTTGTGGCTGCAGCAGCACAGCAACACTGAATGGCTAAAATTGTTAGCAGAGACAATGAGTGAAAAGGGGAGACTTACTGCTTTTGGAGCTGGAGCTGTGCTGACTGAAGAGAGAACAGAGCCAAGTCAACATTCTGCTGTACACCACAATTCATATTTTGGTGAACTTTTGCACGAGTGCTGGTGTCGCGCCGTGTCTGCATCTGCACGCGGCGTGTATGGGCGCAGTGCATGGACTTAACCCCTACCTGCGGACCCTGAGGGGGGGGGAGCCCCTGCTTTCTGCCACTCTGTAGCCTCCGCCGCCAGCCTCCTCACGTACGGCTCATTCACCGTCAACAGGATGTTCTCTGGCTTGATGTCCGTGTGGATGATTTTACACTTGGTGTGAAGATAGTCCAGCCCCTGGAGGACCTGCAGAAACACCCGGGGTAACACTAGTGCCATATTGCCATCCATCTCGTTCATTAGTCAAAGAAGTCTGGACATCAATTTCACTTTAGCCAGACACCCTGGGATAGTTTAAGTAGATTAGTAAGACTTTTTTTTTTTTTATGGGACTGAAAGTTTTTTAATTAATCTTTGCAAGGTCAATGAGGTGAAGGATCAGTAGCAGGGGTGGGGCCAATTCCATTTTAATTCATTGCTTTTCAATTAGGAAATAAGGAATCTCAGTTTACTTGCTGAATTGATATGGAATTGACCCCAATCCTGATCAGCAACAAGACATAGGATTAGGTTTGGATAGCCAAGGTATGAGGACTACGCCATGTGTCATTACCTGTCTTATGATGCTCTTGACGCAGGGCAGAGGAAGGCCCTGGTAGTTGGACTTGATGATCCACTTCAGTAGGTGGTACCCCAGCACCTCAAACACCATGCACACATGAGTCCCGTTGATGCCGGAGATCTTGAAGTCATCCAGTAGCTGGACCACCATTTCCCTCTTGGGGTCGTCAGGGTCTGTGTTTCTCACCTACGAACCACAAAAACCCAGGAAATAAAAAAATGTATCAGAACAAATGTCTGAAAGGAGAACAAAGGGAGGGAAGAAAATGAAATATCAGGCTGATGTCAGGCCGATCAGTATGATTGACTCGGAGTTAGCACTCACAGATCTCAGCAGTTTGATCTCATCCACAGCCGTCTCTGTGTAGTGCTCTGCACTCTTCACTACCTTCATAGCCACAAACCTCTTCACCCTACAAAACAGACAGTCAGTCAGTCAGTCAGGCTGACAGTGTATGTTAAGATTCTGTGCAATATAGGATTATTACAGCAAACAAATTAGGTTTAACAAATACTGCTTCTGGCATTGTGAAGATCTGTTGATCAGAATCTGGTGTGACGCAGTCTCAGGCCTTCACAGACAATGACATGAGAAGTGATCTTACTGGATGTCCCAGGCCAGCCACACAGTGGAGAAGTGTCCCCAGCCCAGCTTCCTGATCACATGGTACCTCCCATTGAACAGATCTCCTATCTTTACATGGTGATAGCCACCTACACACAGGAGAGGGAGATTAGTGACAGCAGGAAAGCAAACATCATTCAAAGGAGTCATTGGCTCACCCTTGAAGTCCAAAACAACCTAAATAAGCATCCCCCTCACCCGTGCGCCAGTCACCCGTGCACCAGTCACCCCCCCCACCACCCTTGCAGCAGTCATCCCCTCACCCTTGCAGTAGTCATTGGGGTCCTCCTGCTCCTCATCATCAGAGCCTAGGATCTCCTCAGGCTCATCTGGCTCCTGGGGAGTGGTCTCTGGCTGGGGCTGCTGCAGGGGTACTGACCCCCTGGGGTGGGCTGGCTGTCTGGATGGAGGACAAGTACAACAATGGTTAGAGGCCTTCTCGTGAGCACTTGGCACAGGCTTTGACAATATTTACCGATACTGTTTAGTGTTCAACTTTTCTCTCTTTCCTTAAATCATTAGAATAACTATTTTCAATAATAGATTTTTATTCACAGAGAATAGTACAAGAAAAAACATTCTGGTATTTCTGGTAGACCTATTACTAATGTATATTACTAACAGCACTAAGATGATCCCTTGTTGTAAAACAGCACAGTATTAGGCATTCCATAACCATAATTCCAGGGATAACATTACATAAAACTTTTTTCCAGAAATGAGTGAGACTTGCATGGGATTTACACTAACATTTTTCATTATTTGTTTTTGGGGGTAGATCAGCTTTAGCACTGCAGATAGATTGTAACTTCCATCAACGTAATTGTCTGCAATGCCCCATATGTTTTTTTTCCCCTCGCACACACACACCTACAAAGACATCCATTTTTATGTAAATAGATACAGTTGGGAGAACAAGTATTTGATACACTGCCGATTTTGCAGGTTTTCCTACTTACAAAGCATGTAGAGGTCTGTAATTTTTATCAAAATTAAGATCAAAAATCCAGAAAATCACATTGTATGATTTTTAAGTAATTCATTTGCATTTTATTAGATTCCGTCTCTCACAGTTGAAGTGTACCTATGATAAAAATTACAGGTCTTGTAAGTAGGAAAACCTACAAAATCAGCAGTGTATCAAATACTTGTTCTCCCAACTGTGTACACACACACACACGTATATATACACACACATATAGTGGTGTGAAAAAGTGTTTGCCCCCTTCCTGATTTCTTATTTGTTTGCATGTTTGTCACACTTAAATGTTTCAGATCAAACAAATTTTAATATTAGTCAAAGATAACACAAATAAAAACAAAATGCAGTTTTGAAATGAGGGTTGTTATTATTAAGGGAAAACAAAATCCAAACCTACATGGCCCTGTGTGAAAAAGTGATTTCCCCCTACAACCTAATAACTGGTTGGGCCACCCTTAGCAGCAACAACTGCAATCAAGCGTTTGCGATAACTTGCAATGAGTCTTTTACAGCGCTGTGGAGGAATTTTGGCCCACTCATCTTTGCAGAATTGTTGTAATTCAGCCACATTGGAGGGTTTTCGAGCATGAACTGCCTTTTTAAGGTCATGCCACAGCATCTCAATAGGATTCAGGTCAGGACTTTGACTAGGCCACTCCAAAGTCTTCATTTTGTTTTTCTTCAGCCATTCAGAGGTGGACTTGCTGGTGTGTTTTGGATCATTGTCCTGCTGCAGAACCCAAGTTCGCTTCAGCTTGAGGTCACGAACAGATGGCTGGACATTCTCCTTCAGGATTTTTTGGTAGACAGCAGAATTCATGGTTCCGTTTATCACAGCAAGTCTTCCAGGTCCTGAAACAGCAAAACAGGCCCAGACCATCACACTACCGCCACCATATTTTACTGTTGGTATGATGTTCTTTTTCTGAAATGCGGTGTAACTTTTACGCTAGATGTAATGGGACACACAACTTCCAAAAAGTTCAACTTTTGTCTCGTCAGTCCACAGAGTATTTTCCCAAAGGTCTTGGGGATCATCAAGATGTTTTCTGGCAAAAATGAGACGAGCCTTAATGTTATTTTTGCTCAGCAGTGGTATTCGTTTTGGAACTCTGCCATGCAGGCCATTTTTGCCCAGTCTCTTTCTTTAGGTGGAGTCATGAACACTGACCTTAACTGAGGCAAGTGAGACCTGCAGCTCTTTGGATGTTGTTGTGGGGTCTTTTGTGACCTCTTGGATGAGTCGTCGCTACGCTCTTAGGGTAAATTTGGTCGGCCGGCCACTCCAGGGAAGGTTCACCACTGTTCCATGTTTTCGCCATTTGTGGATAATGGCTCTCACTGTGGTTCGCTGGAGTCCCAAAGCTTTAGAAATTGCTTTATAACCTTTTCCAGACTGATGGATCTCAATTATTTTCTTTCTCATTTGTTCCTGAATTTCTTTGGATCGCGGCATGATGTCTAGCTTTTGAGGATCTTTTGGTCTACTTCACTTTGTCAGGCAGGTCCTATTTAAGTGATTCCTTGATTGAGAACAGGTGTGGCAGTAATCAGGCCTGGGTGTGGCTAGAGGAATTGAACTCAGGTGTGATAAACCACAGTTGAGTTGTGTTATAACAGGGGGGGGGCAAACACAGGGCCATGTAGGTTTGGATTTTGTTTTCCCTTAATAATAACAACCTTCATTTCAAAACTGCATTTTGTGTTTACTTGTGTTATCTTTGACTAATATTTAAATTTGTTTAATGATCTGAAACATTTAAGTGTGATAAACATGCAAACAAATAACAAATCAGGAAGGGGGCAAACACTTTTTCACACCACTGTACATATACACACACACACACACACACATATACGTACATATATACATACATTTACACACATCCTTTAAAAAAATATATATTTCCCTTTATTACTTTCCAACCCCACCACCCCTTCCCTAATTGGAGTAAACTTGTGAACACTTAGGCCTCTACTTCCAGCTTATACATACTATATACATTTTATGGACACAGTCAATTTTACAATAATTCAATTTTGTTTGTTTTTACTCCTGAACTTCCTCTACCCTCAACCTCTCTGATCATTTTCATGATGTCCATCCGGTTTGCTTCTATATGCCATATCTTTCTAACTGTGCTCTTTCACAAAAGCTCTCAACCTATAATCTATATACTTATTATGGACACAGTATGCTTACATTATTAGTTATCTTGTTGTTATTATTGTTAGTTGTTATTAGTCCCATCCTTCAGCTTCATTCAACACCTCCCATCGATCTCTTAACACCATCCATATAGGATTTCTATTTGCCATATATTTTTCAACTGTACTGTGATGTTTTACAAAAGTTCTGAACCTTCCTATTCTCATTGTTTCTACAGATTGTAAATTGAAAATAAACATTTTTGCTAAAAGTATTATATTATTGATCGATACAGGACTATTAGCCTTTCCATTCAAGACGTCTCACAGTTGAGTGACAGCCCAGTAACCACCTTACGTAAGGGATAATGCGTTCTATGGAAAATAATTAACAACCTTCCAATGAGTTGCATTATTTTCCAGAGAACGCATAGAGCCCCAAGTTGATAACCCTTTAATACCATGGCTATAATTTACATTTAAGTCATTTAGCAGACGCTCTTATCAAAGAGCGACTTAAAGGAGCAATTAGGGTTAAGTGCCTTGCTCAAGGGCACATCGACAGATTTTTCACCTAGTCGGCTCAGGGATTAGAACCAGCGACCTTTCGGTTACTGGCACAACGCTCTTAACCACTAAGCTACCTGCCACCCCATTTACCGATAGAAATGTGTTCATTTGCAGGTAGAAATGTGTTCAACATCCACTGAAGTAGCTAGCAAGTTTACTAGAATAGCTACAGTAGTTGCCTTGGTAACCAAACAAACAGACTTGCTCCTTTAGCTAACCAAACCATCAGTCCTAGCTTGCTATTATGAAAATCGAATTCAACAATGCCAATAACATTTTCAATTGGACTTTTGCTTTCAAAAGCAGCTCAAACATAGAACATGTAAGAATGAACTATAGCCATTGAATTCTACCGTGAAATATAATGTGCGTTATAGGGAAATAATGCACGCTCTAGAATGCCCTTCAAGCCAATCAGAAACGAGTATTCAACAATGCTATGGTATGATTAAGTGATAATGCCCGAGAAGCTGGTGTTGAGGATATATTCGTCTCGGGACGGCAAACCATGCCAATATATCCTCCAAACACCGGCATTGAGGGCACTCCCACTTTTATACAACGGGTTACCAACATACAGTTGAAGTCAGAAGTTTACATACACTAAGTTGACAGTGCCTTTAAACAGCTTGGAAAATTCCAGAAAATGATGTCATGGCTTTAGAAGCTTCTGATAGGCTAATTGACATCATTGGAGTCAATTGGAGGTGTACCTGTGGATGTATTTCAAGGCCTACCTTACTCAGTGCCTCTTTGCTTGGCATCATGGGAAAATCAAAAGAAAAATCAGCCAAGACCTCAGAAAAGAAATTGTAGACCTCCACAAGTCTGGTTCATCCTTGGGAGCAATTTCCAAACGCCTGAAGGTACCACGTTCATCTGTACAAACAATAGTACGCAAGTATAAACACCATGGGACCACGCAGCCGTCATACCGCTCAGGAAGGGGACGCGTTCTGTCTCCTAGAGATTAACGTACTTTGGTGCGAAAAGTGCAAATCAATCCCAGAACAACAGCAAAGGACCTTGTGAAGATGCTGGAGGAAACAGGTACAAAATTATCTATAGCCACAGTAAAATGAGTCCTATATCGACATAACCTGACAGCATCATGCTGTGGGGGTGCTTTGCTGTGGGGGTGCTTTGCTGCAGGAGGGACTGGTGCACTTCACAAAATAGAAGGCATCATGAGGAAGGAAAATTATGTGGATATATTGAAGCAACATCTCAAGACATCAGTCAGGAAGTTAAAGCTTGGTCACAAATGGGTCTTTCAAATGGACAATGACCCCAAGCATACTTCCAAAGCTTAAGGACAACAAAGTCAAGGTATTGGAGTGGCCATCACAAAGCCCTGACCTCAATCCTATAGACTCAAGTTAAACAATTTAAAGGCAATGCTACCAAATACTAATTGAGTGTATGTAAACTTCTGACCCACTGGGAACGTGATGAAAGAAATAAAAGCTTAAATAAATCATTCTCTACTATTATTCTGTTATTTCACATTCTTAAAATAAAGTGGTGATCCTAACTGACCTAAAACAGGGAATTTTTACTAGGATTAAATGTCAGGAATTGTGAAAAACTGAGTTTAAATGTATTTGGCTAAGGTGTATGTAAACTTCCGACTTAAACTGTATTCAAATAATGATTTACATATTTTCATTAAAAACTTTATTTTTATTATTTTATTCATACCATTTCATCCTTCCACAACATTTAGTCCCGACACAAATCAAAGGTTGCTACCCAAGTCGGCTGGTCGTTCGTTCTATCGGTTCGGTTGCCAGAGACGCGACCCAGTCGTTCGTTCTAATGTTCCATTGCCATACTGGCTGGCAACGTTCTTATCCCTTGCTGGCTAGCTAGCCAACTACAGCTAACTCACAGTCACGTCAAAAAGTGCAGCCAGAATAACAGCAAAGTAGCTGCATTTGCGTTTGTTTAAGCTGTTTTCTAGTGACAATTATTTGGATACATCCATAACAATGAGCTAATGATGCATGATTTCGCCTGGCATAGAAAATGTGCTCACTCGTCAGGACACTGTTGTTCAGCGGAGCTAGCCAACAACACAGTTAACACAATCACTTCAAACGGAAGCTGGAAAGACAGTAAACTAGCTGCACTTAGTTCATTTTTTACCTGTTTTCTATTGATAGTTCTTTGTATATATCCATAAAAACTATGCTGATTCATTTCGACTGGCTGAGAAAAAGCTGCATGCCTGTCGGTCTCGTCCCGACTCCCAACACGTTCATTACTATGGGACAGCTGGAGATCGAATTTCAATAGAAACAATGTTGCAAATGTCAGAGAGACAGACAGCAAGGTTTATACAAATCTCCACAGTTGAAAACTAAATGTAAGTCTAAAAGAAATGTGAGATAATGTCAAGGTGCTTTTTATAGTGGAGATCAAGTTTATACATTTCCTGGCTGGACTGATGAGACAGTGGATTGCGCAGTCAGATGGAAATAGGCATTTTAACGTCATAGATTTAGCCAATAGACACCGGCTGGAATGCGGTTTTAACCAATCAGCATTCAGGATTAGACCCACCCCGTTGTACAATCCTCTATAAATAACGTTATTCACACATATACATAGGATGAGTACAGTGTGCTAACCCATTGTTTGGAAGGACAACATTAATTTCGAAGTCATTTTGCTCATGTAATGTTTAAAATGTGATTTATTATTGTGAAAGAGGACAAACACTTCTATGTTGGCAATAGATGTCTGATGAGGTGCTCTTAAAATGTATTATTTTTTTTTTATTATTTTTTTTTATTATATGATTTATCATTGTTTAGGTTGAGCAAAAGCAGGAACTGACTAACTAATAATAACTTAAAGGGCAGGGCATTTTCCTCATCCATAATGTCATGTTTCAGCTGGCCAGTGCTGAGGACTTCTTCATTCTCCTGTTGTTTTAAAATAGCAGCACAGAAGCTAGGCATTACATAACACCGGGCCTACAGAAGGATGTCTGCCATGTGTGACGGCATAGTGTGGGTTGGCTTGGCTGTTGTTGGGTTAAATCACAACAAATCGCAATCCTTTCTATAACTGGATTTACTCAAATAATGTACATCATTCATAATAACATGTAAAATGGGCGTTAAAGGATTCTTTGAGGTATACTGTTGTTCCGGGCAGGCCCAAGAATCACCAACACTTGTATTTAACTCTGTGCCGGGTCTATTCAAATCTGGCCCTTGAGACCAGTTACACTTCTGATTTACTGTAGACCTGGGACACCAATTAACTATCCGATGGAAACTAAACCCAGAAGTGCTTTGGTGCCCCAGGAGTAGCTCTGCTCTATGCATTCAGATGTCTAATATCTACCTTGGATGTGCCATGGTCACATGCACACGCTACCATACACTGGTGTGATGGCAGTTTGTGTCACTATGTAAACATTGATGTTATTAGCTCATGACATTTCCAGATATGTTGCATTCCTTCTATGACTACAGAGAATAGATAAACCAGAGGCTGTTATAGTTCACACACACACTCAAAAGCAAATAATGAATCAACTGCTGCATGAAACAAAGGACAGGTGCAATCTAAAGTCTTTCTAGAAACTTCACACAAATGCATGCATTGCATTTTCTACAACATATCATATACTTTGAGCCTACATAAATAATTAACTGGGTTTTATGTATGTGGTAGAAAACGGATGTACTGACTGACAGGCAACTGACAATACCTTAACAAAAGGGAAATATAAGACATTACGGGTACTGCGACATCAGTACAACTGCCGCAGGTGCAGTCTAGTAGTAATGTGGCTGTCATCGACATACTGTACCACAACGCAGTAAGTCAGTCCGTTTTAGGACCCTACGGAAACTTCATTCAATGCTTATGGTCAAATTAAATACCTGTGTCAGATGTAGCCACGGGTTGTGCAGCGAGACATGCTAACTATGTAACAGTACACTACAGAATTACTCACTTCTTGCTCGACTTCTTCGCTTTCGCCCTCTTCTTCCTTGCTTGAAGTGCTAGAACTGTAATGCAATGAAGAACACATTTATTCAATGTCTAGTTAACTATCCCATTACTGGTTAACTAGTCTTTTAGAAGCTATGTTTCCATGTCGTGACTCACTGGATGGAACGTTATGTGCTAGCTAGCTAAGTTAGTTAGCCAAAGACATTTGAAAGCTGGCCAAGGTAGCAAATAAATTAACGTTAGCCACAGTTGTTAGCTAGCTAGCTATTGTCGCAGGAAACAGACACGAATCAAATTGTGGCCGTATTACATAAGTGAGATACTGGTTGAAGATATTCAGTAACGTCCTCTTTTAAAAACAGTAAGAGCCACTGCGATGTTTGGCCAGCTAACGTTAGCTAGCCAGCTTTCGTGCAACCACCACTCACTGAAGATCTGTTAATGCAAATCGTACAAATGTTGCATTATTCCGGCCACGTTTACTCAATTATTTTTTCATGGATAGCACAGGAAATGGACACAGTTAGGAATGGTCTGTAGGGGCAAGGTTGATGGTGCTAACTAGTTAATACTAGCTAGCTGCGCCAATACGTGCCTGGCGTTCAGTTTAGCAGGAGATGCAGTTCCACAAAACATTTCGTACATAAGATTACGTTGATATAATGAACTGTAACTTTAAAAACGACATCAATTTACGTTTGTTAATAATATATTATATTAACAAACAATTGCTTACTGATTAATCTTTTGTATCTTTATGAAGATTACCTTTTCTCTCCATGTTGGTCGGGTAGTTCAGACGTTCGTTCTGCCAGTAGCACAAACGATGATGTCACTCTCGTATGGCAATGAGGAAACCTTCAAATTAAAAGCCCGCGTTTCACTATTTCAATATCAATAACTGATTTAAATATTTTTAACTTTAATCAAGTATTTTATCAAAACCAAAAAATATGATTTAAAAAAGGCCCAGTGGAGTCAAAATTCTGTTTTTCCTGTGTTTTATGTCATATTGTACACCAGCTGACGAAACTAACACTGTAAAAGTGTGAAAAAAAAGTTGATCAGTGTTATTTCCTAATACAGTGGTTGCAGGTTGAAAATACAATCAACACAGGACCTTCTAAATCAGCAGGTTTGCATGGGTGGTAGTTTCAGCTTTACATGGTGACATCGACATGTGGTAAATTGGTTAATAGACCAATAACAAAGAGTTCCAAATCTCTGCCAATAACATGCTCGTTTTCAGTTTTCCCCTCCCCACTCAGCCCACTCTGACAGTCCAAGCAAAATTCTTGCTTGATAAATTGTTTTTTGCTAAAAAAGCTATTTTTGTCAATTTTTAATGGAAATCTATTACAGTAAGGTACTTAATTGTTACCCAGAAATTATTTGAAATTGGTATAAAAAACAAACACATTAGGCCTTTAAGACCAATAATGAAAATTACAATGTTGAGACTGATATGTTAAAAACATTGGTCTGTAGAGAAAAAACCTTACAACAGGGGTGTCAAACGTCCGGCCCGCGGGCCGGATCAGGCCCGCAAACGGGTTTAATCCGGCCCGCGAGATGATTTTGAAAAAAAAGAAAAGAAAAAATTATTTAGGAAAAAAACTAACAAAAAATATTTATTTTTGTAAAGTATAAAAATGCGCTGCAATTTTTCTATAAAAAAAACTGCTGTTCCAATTGAGTCCACTGGATGGCGCAATAGCAATTGTGTTAAGCAAGCAAACTGTTTATACCGGGGCAGAGCAAGTAGGTCAAGCACGTGCAGCCAATGAGCTACTTTGTTTTGCCCGCGATATTTATTACGGCTTCTACTTTTAACATTATGTGCTTTGGCACCCTCATTGCCCCAATATGTCTCTGTCAAAAAAGAGAAAAGTGGACGCAGAGTGCAGAGTGTTCCAAGAAAAATTGTCATCCTATTTATTCACGGAATTGAATGGGAAAGCTGTATGTTTGGTGTGTTCAGAGCATGTTGCAGTGCTGAAAGAATATAACCTTCGTCGCCACTATGTGAGTCTTCATGCCGACAAATATGACAACTTTCAAGGACAGCGGAGATGAGAGAAGGTGAATGAACTGTTGGCGGGTCTGAAGAAACAGCAGTCTGTGTTTACTCACAGCCGAGACATCAGTGATGCTGCAGTGAAAGCTAGCTACCTCATTGCTAATGAAATCGCAGTGGCTTCAAAACCATTTAGTGAGGGTGAATTTGTAAAAACATGCATGATGAAGGCAGCGGAGATTGTGTGCCCTGAAAAGCGGCAGGCTTTTGCAAATATCAGCCTGACAAGAAACACAGTTGCAGACAGGATTTCCGATCTTTCAGTGGATTTGGACAGCCAGTTGAAGCAAAAAGTAAAGTCATTTATTGCGTTTTCGGTTGCAATTGATGAAAGCACGGACATTACAGATGTTGCACAACTGGCCATTTTCATCCGCGGAGTTGATGACACATTGACCGTCACCGAGGAGTTCGTGGAGTTGGTGCCGATGACAGATACAACGACAGCAGCTGATATTTTTACCGCACTCGTCGGCGCGCTGGACAGGGTCGGAGTGGACTGGTCCCGTGCTGTCAGCCTGGCTACAGATGGTGCGCCCTCAATGATCGGGAAAAAAGCAGGCGTTGTGACAAAGTTCAGAGAGAAAGTGCAATCTGCAAATGGAGGACGTGATTTTTTGACTTTTCACTGTATTTTGCACCAGGAGGCTTTGTGTTGCAAGTCATTAAAGATGGATAACGTCATGAAGGTGGTCATCCAAACTGTTAATTTCATCCGATCCAGAAGCCTGAATCACCGTCAGTTTGACAGCCTTCTCAGAGAGAAAGACCACATCTATGGCCTGCCATACCACACTGAGGTAAAATGGTTAAGCCGAGGTGCTGTGCTGAGGCGTTTCTTTGATTTACGAGAAGAAATTGAACAGTTCATGGAAGAAAAGGGCAAACCAGTGTTAGAATTTCATTCCGCAGAATGGATGCAGGACCTTGCATTTATGGTGGATGTTACAGAGCACCTGAATAACTTGAACAAACAGCTGCAAGGGCGCAACAAAGTTGTCACGCAGTATTATGACAGCTTACGTTCTTTCAAGTTGAAGCTGTCATTGTGGGAGACGCAACTTGCCGGTGGTGATGCAGCTCACTTCCCCTGTCTGAAAAATGTGTGCGCGACCCAACATGTGGCAGACATGAAGCAGTTCAAAGATAAAATAACGGGACTGTTACGGGAGTTTGAGCAACGCTTTCAGATTTATGTTTATATGTTTTTATGTTGATGTGCTATTGTTTTTAATTGTTTTTATTTTATTTGTATATTTAACCTATTCTTGACTCTGTGGTTCTTGCACTTGTTTGGGGAACAGGATTTCATTATTTTTATCTACATTTCTGCCTGAGAAATGACACCCTGATATAGTTCTGTGATCTGTGATATACTTCTGTGAATCACTGAGGCATTGTGTGTTTGTGTGTTCTTTGTCCTCAGAACTTTCAAATAACTTGAGGTGTTTTATGATTAATAGTGATGTTGTGCTTTTGGACACTGTCCTCAGGCTCCAGCTTTATGTTTATGTTTTTATGTTGATGTGCTATTGTTTTTAATTGATTTTATTTTATTTGTATATTTAACCTATTCTTGACTCTGTGGTTCTTGCACTTGTTTGGGGAACAGGATTTCATTATTTTTATCTACATTTCTGCCTGAGAAATGACACCCTGATATAGTTATGTGATCTGTGAAACAGTTCTGTTAATCACTGAGGCATTGTGTGTTTGTGTGTTCTTTGTCCTCAGAACTTTCAAATAACTTGAGGTGTTTTATGATTAATTGTGATGTTGTGCTTTTGGACACTGTCTTCAGGCTCCAGCTTTATGTTTATATGTTTTTATGTTGATGTGCTATTGTTTTTAATTGTTTTTATTTTATTTGTATATTTAACCTATTCTTGACTCTGTGGTTCTTGCACTTGTTTGGGGAACAGGATTTCATTATTTTTATCTACATTTCTGCCTGAGAAATGACACCCTGATATAGTTCTGTGATCTGTGAAACAGTTCTGTTAATCACTGAGGCATTGTGTGTTTGTGTGTTCTTTTTCTTTAGAATTTTCAAATAAACTTGACGTGTTTTATGATTAATAGTGATGTTGTGCTTGTACTATTTTGGACACACTGTCCTCAGGCTCCAGCTTTATGTTGTATATTGATCGTATTAAAACAAAGAAAACAATCTGAAGTTGTTGTTTTTAAGTTATATATACCATGATTTTTCCGGTCCGGCCCACTTGGGAATAGATTTTCCTCCATGTGGCCCCTGAGCTAAAATGAGTTTGACACCCCTGCCTTACAACCTGTCTCAGCTTCGTGGCTGGAAATCATTCACTAAGGTCTGAGGGGGTCTGTGTCACATGACCTGCTGCTTGCTTTTTACTCCTACCCCTCCATTGCCCCCAATGCAATACAGTATATTACATATTGGGCTATAACAACAAAACAAAGCTGAGCTAAAGTGGGATGGAAAATACTCAGTAGGGTCTCTACTAACCAAATATGTTTAGAGGGGGACTCTCGTACATATCGAGCAGCACTTCATACTCCACCCTCTGTATTTAAATAGGTTTGAACATACCAGTATGTGTGTAAACTTTCAAAATAAATGCTGGTATATCTATTTTTCCTAGGTGGTTGCAATGCCGTGCAACACGTTTTACTGCACTAGAATGCTTCAAAAATCGACTTTCCCAAAGTTTAGCATGTCTTTGCAGGGGGACTATTATTTTTAGAAACAAATCCGCGTCTGTGCTGCCAGCATAATATCTAGCATAATTTCCTGCTGCTAGCATAACGGAGATGAGAAAACCTATTCAACTGTCAAGGCAATCAAAATCCTGTTTTCCATTCCGCAGCTTTCTTAATTAAATAACATATATGGAATAACATCAAATGTAGCCTATTGCAAAGAAAAGCTATATTCATTTGATTCATACTTTATTCTGGACTGAATGAACTGATGGTCAAATTAGTTTATATCCTAGCCTGCAGATAGTGAGACCATCAAGACAAGTAAACTGCGACTACTAGCGGCTGTTCAGGCTATAGCTAAAGCATTGTACATACAGATCATTACATTTACATTTTAGTAATTTACCAGACGCTCTTATCCAGAGCGACTTACAGTTAGTGAGTGCATACATTTTCATACTTGCCCCCCCGTGGGAAACGAACCCACAACCCTGGCGTTGCAAGCGCCTTGCTCTACCAACTGAGCTACAAATACTCCGAGACTATTTGTAGGGAATCTAAAATGATCCAACATAGCCCATGGTCAACCCTAACCACACCACATATAACACACCAATAATATAATCCTCCTAACATCTTGTATAAGGAAGGCCATTTTTTAAAAAGCTTGCCTGGGCTCAACAGTCACAGAATAGTTTCCCATCGAGGACCACTTTGGAAAGAAGTGTTTTAATTAATACTTTTAAGTGCTATCCTCTGGGAATACATTTACATTACATTTTAGTCATTTAGCAGACGCTCTTATCCAGAGCAACTTACAGTTAGTGAATACATATATTTTTTTTATACTGGCCCCCCGTGGGAATACAGTCATCATAAGTCAATTGTCCCGGAGTTTGCAGTACAGGGCCCAACTGGGATGCTCACGCTCACACACATTCCACATGTTTGTCATGCTCTTTATCCCCCCCTGCATCAGATGATTCCTGATGATTACTCAACGCCATGCCAGCTTCCTGTATAGACCATTGTAGAGCAGCACCGGCTGGCAGCTTGGTGTAACCCTCCTCTGTAATGTGTTCTATTCTCAGATAACCCCCAGGCCTATGTAGGGCCACACCGTGGAGGTGGGAGAAGAGCAAAGGCAAGTCTCTAGTTAGGGTGTAGCGCGACACAAACCCTAGCTGGGCAGGAATGTCCTTCTCCTCAGAGTACTCAAATATGGCAGCCATGTACTTGGAGATGTCTCTCCCCTTGGCTTTGGCACTGCCAAGCTCTTCTCCCACCAGAGCTACTACGGCTGCTGCCGAGCTTCGGCTTTGTGCCTCGTCGCTCTGAGATGGCCGCCTCTGTAGTCCCCGGGAACAGATGACCAGAACGAAGTCACTCTCCTGGATCCTCCTGCAGTGCCATCCCATGGGCCCCTCCTCTGCCAAGCTTAGAGAATCCCACAGGTCCAGATACACCTGGCGCAACAGACAACAATAAATAATAATACAAGTGATATAACAAGGTATTATAAATAACATTTACATTTGGCCCTTTAAAATGCAATTTTCAATTACAACCAAGAAGACCAGGTGCGTTCAGTTCGGTTTCAACGATTGCTATGTTGCATGACGGTTTGCACTGAATAACACGTTTCCACCCAAAACGGTGTGTAGCATTCTTCAACAGCCTTTTGAGGAACGTTTGCTCCCGTTTTGGTGGGTGTGGCCTGATCAATTTGGGTGTGACCATTTGGAAATGACGTGCAGCGCGGCATACACAATCGCTCTCTGGGGCCACTATAATCACAACATTCTTCAACTGGTCGTTAAGTACAGTACCGTTTCTGTTGAATTAAACGTTGCACACTGTTCTGTCGTACTGATATTCTCATCCCAGTGTTACCTGTGTAGCCATGTGCTGCTGCAGGAAGACTGCTAATTGCATGACTGCTCGGACATGGGCAATGCCGTCATCGCTGCTGTAGCAAATTAGTAATCGAGGTGGAGTTAACGTGCTGGTCAGTGACACATGTTCCTCATTCCCATTCTTGCCTAGATGTTGCTCGATTATTTCTGAAAAGCACAAAACAAAGTGTATGAAATGTATTGTATTGCCAAATTCTTGTTAGAGGAAAACGTTTGTCTGTCTGACCTGCACTGCACATGCAAAGAAAGCATCGGTATCGTTAGTGAAATGTAAAGATGCCGACCGTGATTTATCTCTGTCTTCCTCGTGTTCTGCCTGGGATTCTTCCAGATGACAGCCAGTAATAACACCACTAACATGGCTGCCAGGGCAACGCCAACAGGCAGCAGCAGGGTCAGGGATGGAGTGGCTGTGGGAGGTGGCTCTGCGGGGAGCAAGGTAGACTATATACACTGAACCAAAATATAAACTCAACATGCAACAATTTCAAAGGTTTTACTGAGTTACAGTTCATGTAAGGAAATGAGTCAATGGAAATAAAATCATTAGGCCCTAATCTATGGATTTTACATGACTGGGAATACAGATATGCATCTGTTGGTCACAGATAGCTTTAAAAAAAGGTGGATCAGAAAACCAGTCAGTAACTGGTGTGACCACAATTTGCCTCATGCAGTGCGACACATCACCTTTGCATAGAGTTGATCAGGCTGTTGATTGTGGCCTGGGGAATGTTGTCCCACTCCTCTTCAATGGTTGTGTGAAGTTGCTGGATATTGCCGGAAACTGGAACACGCTGTCGTACACATCGATCCAGAGCGTCCCAAACATGCTCAATGGGTGACATGTCTGGTGAGTATGCAGGCAATGGAAGAACTGGGACGTTTTCAGCTTCCAGGAATTGTGTACAGATCCTTGCGACATGGGGCCGTGCATTATCATGCTGAAACATGAGGTTATGGCGGTGGATGAATGGCACGACAATGGGCCTCAGGATCTCGTTACGGTATCTCTGTGCATTCAAATTGCCATTGATAAAATGCAATTGTGTTAGTTGTTCATAGCTTATGCCTGCTCATACCATAAACCCCACCGCCATCATGGGGCACTCTGTTCACAACGTTGACATCAGCAAACCGCTCACCCACACAACACCATACATGCTGTCTGCCATCTGCCCGGTACAGTTGAAACGGGATTCATCCGTGAAGAGCATACTTCTCCAGCGTGCCAGTGGTCATCGAAGGTGAGCATTTGCCCACTGAAGTCGGTTACGACGCAGAACTGCAGTCAGGTCAAGACCCTGGTGAGGACGACGAGCAAGCAGATGAACTTCCCTGAGATGGTTTCTGACAGTTTGTGCAGAAATTATTTGGTTGTGCAAACCCACAGTTTCATCAGCTCTCTGGGTGGCTGGTCTCAGACAATCCCGCAGTTGAAGAAGCCGGATGTGAAGGTCCTGGGCTGAAGTGGTTACAAGTGGTGTGCGGTTGTGAGGCCGGTTGGACGTACTGTCAAATTCTCTAAAACAACATTCAATTCTCTGGCAACAGCTCTGGTGGACATTCCTGCAGTCAGCATGCCAATTGCACGCTCCCTCAAAACATGAGACATCTGTGGCATTGTGTTGTTTGACAAAACTGCACATTTTTAAAGTGTCCTTTTATTGTCCCCAGCACAAGGTGCACCTGTGTAATGGTCATGCTGTTTAAACAGCTTGTTGATATGGCACACTTGTCAGGTGGATGGATTATCTTGGCAAAGGACAAATGCTCACTAACAGGGATGTAAACACATTTGTGCAAGAAAATTGAGAGAAATAAGCTCTTTGTGCTTATGGAAAATGTCTGGGATCTTTTATTTCAGCTCATCAAACATGGGACCAACACTTTACATGTTGCGTTTATATTTTTGTTCAGTATAAATAGCTAGATAAGCTGTTATACACTCTATACTGTTTCTCATTTTCAGAAAGGGAGTTTTTGACATTGCACAATTTATTTTAAAAGCCTGGGGGAGAAGGAGAAGTGTGGTGATTGATTGACATTTTTATGATAAATTCTGCAGGTAATGGAATTTTGTTTTGCGTTTTGTGCACACGCACTTAAATAAGTAGTGTCTTATAAGGTCGTACGGGCTGGGCACCAATTGGTCTATGACATGAAATAAAATAGCCCAATAAAAAAAATCTATCATATACCTATGCTAAGTACACAGCAAAAATATCTACAAGCATTTGTATAAGTTGTATAAACGTTGGTCTTGATTGGAACATACCGTGCTTAATCTGCATCACTTGAACATTGAATGTTTTTCTTACAGCGTCTACCTCATCAACTGCGATCTGAGATAAAAAAAAGTACAGATTTATGGAAACATGGGCTGAAACTACAAGTTTTTGTTTGTATAGTTAAGAGTTTGAGTTGTGCCACATTTTCAATGACTCACCTCACATGTGTAGTTGGACCCTTCCACCAGCCCTTGGAGATGATAACTGTAGTGAGTTCTGTTTTTTGTGGAATTCTAAAGACGGTAGCAATAAAAAAGGTAGAAATCATTATACACGGCAGACTAATAATGACAGTAAATCATTCTCCACATAGACATGTAAATAGTCGATCAAAAGCTCTCTCACTCACAGGTTTAATGATGTATCTCTTCAGCCCCCCTCCATAACATAATGAGAAGTAGCGGTTGATTCCAAAATGTGGGGGAGCAAGGTTGAATGTCACAATAATGTCAGACCCTTCCTGCTGAACTTCTATATGTTTTGGGTACCAATCTATAAAAGGAAGAAAGAAAAAAAACATTGACAAACAAATTAACCAATGCTGTACAGAGAGTGATTCATAAGATTGTCAACATTAACTCAACAAAGTAGTATTACTCACCTTTCTTGCAATGCTCAAGTCCATTTTTCTCTGGGCATGCTGCAAAACAGCCAGGGAATTCACACATTATTTACAATAGATTGCATTTTTTTTGACTGGATTATGTTTGATTGTAAATTTACAAAATAAATAAAAAAATAAAAAACATTTATGTCATAGTGGAAGCAAACAGTGTTAGTGAACATTTTACATTTTAGTCATTTAGCAGACGCTCTTATCCAGAGCGACTTACAGGAGCAATTAGGGTTAAGTGCCTTGCTCAAGGGCACATCGACAGATTTTTCACCTAGTCGGCTCGGGGATTAGAACCAGCGACCTTTCGGCGGTTACTGGCACAACGCTCTTAACCACTAAGCCACCTGCCGCCCCAATGTTCCTGTGTTCCATTTATGTGGTACTGTATAGTGTGAGGAAGATTTACTGCGTGTGGTGAACATTGTACTGTGGTAGAATTGATCCCACAACTCAGGCACTGGCAGGGCCATCACAGTGACAGCATACTGGGCACCCAGGTCTAGACGGGAGAAGGAGTCTGACTGGTACACCTACAACAGCCAATAAAAACACTGTTAGATGTCGTGGGAATCTTGACAAGACAAAACCCTGCTCTATTGGCCCGATAACATCTATCATTTTTTTTTACTTTAAACAGTTTTCACTTTACAGTAGCTTTCCTTTTCACTACCTTTCAGTGAAAATAGTATATACAAGTTCTGTAAGAACTTGGTATTGAGGTTGTACTGGGTTTTATCCACCTTTTCATAGATGTGTTTTCAAAACTAATTCAGACAAATTTGGGGAATGGGGTCATATCAGCAAAGTGTCCTACCCTTTGGGCATATGAGGCAGAGAGAGAAATATTGCTTTGAAAGAGAAAGAGCTGACAGGCAATATGAGATCCTCCCAAGGCCTGAAGGGAGACCTGGAACCCTCTGAGGAAGGAGATCCCTGGAACAAACACAAAGGGACAAGGCCGGTAAAGAGTGAGCGAGTTAACATGCATGATAATACTACTCATTAACATGAATGCATGTATTGTACAAAATCATTTTTATGGCAATACGGGATGAAAGTCACCATTATTACTGTATATTCAGATTGGTATCCTCTAGGCCAGTAGCCTTTTCTCTGAATTCATATTCCGTAAATTATAATGACCACTACATTGGATCTACAGTATATGATTGATGATTACAGGAAAATGTTTGCCCTTACCAAACTGGCTGGGTTGCCAGGAGACAACTACAGTGTCATATTTAGGATTCTCGTCGGCTACAAACTCTACAGTCACATCGTGAGGCGCGTGGACATAATGTTGGCACACGTCAGAGCTCTGTCCACCCAGAAAGACCAAACATGGCCATGGGACACAACCTGGGGAAATTGATGATAATAACAGGATTATAATAATAGTAATGATTAACATTTAACACACAGCGCTAAAATGGTAATAGCAGAAATGCAAAAATGGACTAATGGATATACATATACATCCACCTTATCCATTTTTTGCATTTCTGCCATGACCATTTTAGCGCTGTCTTTTAAAGCTCTATTTATTATACAGTGAGGTATATATATATATATATATATACAGTGGGGAGAACAAGTATTTGATACACTGCCGATTTTGCAGGTTTTCCTACTTACAAATCATGTAGAGGTCTGTAATTTTTATCATAGGTACACTTCAACTGTGAGAGACAGAATCTAAAACAAAGATCCAGAAAATCACATTATATGATTTTTAAGTAATTAATTTGCATTTTATTGCATGACATAAGTATTTGATACATCAGAAAAGCAGAACTTAATATTTGGTACAGAAACCTTTGTTTGCAATTACAGAGATCATACGTTTCCTGTAGGTCTTGACCAGGTTTGAACACACTGCAGCAGGGATTTTGGCCCACTCCTCCATACAGACCTTCTCCAGATCCTTCAGGTTTCGGGGCTGTCGCTGGGCAATACGGACTTTCAGCTCCCTCCATAGATTTTCTATTGGGTTCAGGTCTGGAGACTGGCTAGGCCACTCCAGGACCTTGAGATGCTTCTTACGGAGCCACTCCTTAGTTGCCCTGGCTGTGTGTTTCGGGTCGTTGTCATGCTGGAAGACCCAGCCACGACCCATCTTCAATGCTCTTACTGAGGGAAGGAGGTTGTTGGCCAAGATCTCGCGATACATGGCCCCATCCATCCTCCCCTCAATACGGTGCAGTCGTCCTGTCCCCTTTGCAGAAAAGCATCCCCAAAGAATGATGTTTCCACCTCCATGCTTCACGGTTGGGATGGTGTTCTTGGGGTTGTACTCATCCTTCTTCTTCCTCCAAACACGGCGAGTGGAGTTTAGACCAAAAAGCTCTATTTTTGTCTCATCAGACCACATGACCTTCTCCCATTCCTCCTCTGGATCATCCAGATGGTCATTGGCAAACTTCAGACGGGCCTGGACATGCGCTGGCTTGAGCAGGGGGACCTTGCGTGCGCTGCAGGATTTTAATCCATGACGGCGTAGTGTGTTACTAATGGTTTTCTTTGAGACTGTGGTCCCAGCTCTCTTCAGGTCATTGACCAGGTCCTGCCGTGTAGTTCTGGGCTGATCCCTCACCTTCCTCATGATCATTGATGCCCCACGAGGTGAGATCTTGCATGGAGCCCCAGACCGAGGGTGATTGACCGTCAACTTGAACTTCTTCCATTTTCTAATAATTGCGCCAACAGTTGTTGCCTTCTCACCAAGCTGCTTGCCTATTGTCCTGTAGCCCATCCCAGCCTTGTGCAGGTCTACAATTTTATCCCTGATGTCCTTACACAGCTCTCTGGTCTTGGCCATTGTGGCGAGGTTGGAGTCTGTTTGATTGAGTGTGTGGACAGATGTCTTTTATACAGGTAACGAGTTCAAACAGGTGCAGTTAATACAGGTAATGAGTGGAGAACAGGAGGGCTTCTTAAAGAAAAACGAACAGGTCTGTGAGAGCCGGAATTCTTACTGGTTGGTAGGTGATCAAATACTTATGTCATGCAATAAAATGCAAATTAATTACTTAAAAATCATACAATGTGATTTTCTGGATTTTGTTTTAGATTCCATCTCTCACAGTTGAAGTGTACCTATGATAAAAATTACAGACCTCTACATGCTTTGTAAGTAGGAAAACCTGCAAAATCAGAAATGTATCAAATACTTGTTCTCCCCACTGTGTGTGTGTGTGTGTATATATATATATATATATATATATATATATATATATACATACATACATACATACATACATACATACATACATACATACATACATACATACATACATACATACATACATACATACATACATACATACATACATACATACATACATACACTCTACCGGTCAAAAGTTTTAGAACACCTACTCATTCAAGGGTTTTCTTTATATTAACTATTTTCTACATTGTATAATAATAGTGAAGACATCAAAACTATGAAATAACGCATATGGAATCATCTAGTAACCAAAAAAGTGTTAAACAAATCAAAATATATTTTATATTTGAGATTCTTCAAATAGCCACCCTTTGCCTTGATGACAGCTTTGCACACTTGTCATTCTCTCAACCAGCTTCATGAGGTAGTCACCTGGAATGCATTTAAATTAACAGCTGTGCCTTCTTAAAAGTTAATTTGTGGAATTTCTTTCCTTCTTAATGCATTTGAGCCAATCAGTTGTTGTGACAAGGTCGCCCCCTTATACAGAAGATAGCCCTATTTGGTACAAGACCAAGTCCATATTATGGCAAGAACATGTCAAATAAGAAAAGAGAAATGACAGTCCATCATTACTTTGTCCTGTTTTCAACAGGACAATGACCCAACACACCTCCAGGCTGTGGAAGGGCTATTTTACCAAGAAGGATAGTGATGGAGTGCTGCATCAGATGACCTGGCCTCCACAATCCCCCGACCTCAACCAAATTGAGATGTTTGGGATGAGTCGGACCACAGAGTGAGGGAAAAGCAGCCAACAAGTGCTCAGCATATGTGGGAACTCCTTCAAGACTGTTGGAAAAGCATTCCAGCTGAAGCTGGTTGAGAGAATGCCAAGAGTGTGCAAAGCTGTCATCAAGGCAAAGGGTGGCTACTTTGAAGAATCTCAAATATAAACTATATTTTGATTTGTTTAACACTTTTTTGGTTACTACATGATTCCATTTTTTGTTATTTCATAGTTTTGATGTCTTCACTATTATTATACAATGTAAAAAATCGTAAAAATAAAGAAAAACCCTTGAATGAGTAGGTGTTCTAAAACTTTTGACCGGTAGTGTGTGTATGTACAGTATATATAGACTGCTCAAAAAAATAAAGGGAACACTTAAACAACACAATGTAACTCCAAGTCAATCACACTTCTGTGAAATCAAACTGTCCACTTAGGAAGCAACACTGATTGACAATACATTTCACATGCTGTTGTGCAAAATGGAATAGACAACAGGTGGAAATTATAGGCAATTAGCAAGACACCCCCAATAAAGGAGTGGTTCTGTAGGTGGTGACCACAGACCACTTCTCAGTTCCTATGCTTCCTGGCTGATGTTTTGGTCACTTTTGAATGCTGGCGGTGCTTTCACTCTAGTGGTAGCATGAGACGTTGTCTACAACCCACACAAGTGGCTCAGGTAGTGCAGCTCATCCAGGATGGCACATCAATGCGAGCTGTGGCAAGCAGGTTTGCTGTGTCTGTCAGCGTAGTGTCCAGAGCATGGAGGCGCTACCAGGAGACAGGCCAGTACATCAGGAGATGTGGAGGAGGCCGTAGGAGGGCAACAACCCAGCAGCAAGACCACTACCTCCCCCTTTGTGCAAGGAGGAGCAGGAGGAGCACTGCCAGAGCCCTGCAAAATGACCTCCAGCAGGCCACAAATGTGCATGTGTCTGCTCAAACGGTCAGAAACAGACTCCATGAGGGTGGTATGAGGGCCCGACGTCCACAGGTGGGGGTTGTGCTTACAGCCCAACACCGTGCAGGACGTTTGGCATTTGCCAGAGAACACCAAGATTGGCAAATTCGCCACTGACGCCCTGTGCTCTTCACAGATGAAAGCAGGTTCACACTGAGCACATGTGACAGACGTGACAGAGTCTGGAGACGCCGTGGAGAACGTTCTGCTGCCTGCAACATCCTCCAGCATGACCGGTTTGGCGGTGGGTCAGTCATGGTGTGGGGTGGCATTTCTTTGGGGGGGCCGCACAGCCCTCCATGTGCTCGCCAGAGGTAGCCTGACTGCCATTAGGTGCCGAGATGAGATCCTCAGACCCCTTGTGAGACCATATGCTGGTGCGGTTGGCCCTGGGTTCCTCCTAATGCAAGACAATGCTAGACCTCATGTGGCTGGAGTGTGTCAGCAGTTCCTGCAAGAGGAAGGCATTGATGCTATGGACTGGCCCACCCGTTCCCCAGACCTGAATCCAATTGAGCACATCTGGGACATCATGTCTCGCTCCATCCACCAACGCCACGTTGCACCACAGACTGTCCAGGAGTTGGCGGATGCTTTAATCCAGGTCTGGGAGGAGATCCCTCAGGAGACCATCCGCCACCTCATCAGGAGCATGCCTAGGCGTTGTAGAGGGGTCATACAGGCACGTGGAGGCCACACACACTACTGAGCCTCATTTTGACTTGTTTTAAGGACATTACATCAAAGTTGGATCAGCCTGTAGTGTGGTTTTCTACTTTAATTTTGAGTGTGACTCCAAATCCAGACCTCCATGGGTTGATACATTTGATTTCCATTGATAATTTTTGTGTGATTTTGTTGTCAGCACATTCAACTATGTAAAGGAAAAAGTATTTAATAAGATTATTTCATTCATTCAGTTCTAGGATGTGTTATTTCAGTGTTCCCTTAATTTTTTTGAGCATTGTATATATATATATATATATATATATATATATATATATATATATATATATCTCTGCAGAGATGATCGATCGGGTTCAAGTCCGGGCTCTGGCTGGGCCGCTCAAGGACATTCAGAGACTTGTCCCGAAGCCACTCCTGCATTGTTTTGGCTGTGTGCTTAGAGTCGTTGTCTTGTTGGAAGGTGAACCTTCACCCCAATCTGATTTCCTGATCGCTCTGGAGCAGGGTTTCTTCAAGGATCTCTCTGTACTTTGCTCCGTTCATCTTTCCCTCGATCCTGACTAGCCTCCCATTCCCTGCCACTGAAAAACATCCCCACAGCATGATGCTGCCACCACCATGCTTCACTGTAGATATGGTGCCAGGTTTCCTCTAGGCGTGACGCTTGGCATTCAGGCCAAAGAGTTCAATCTTGTTTTTCATGGTCAGAGTCCTTTAGGTGCCTTTTGGCAAACTCCAAGCGGGCTGTAATGTGCCTTTTACTGAGGAGTGGCTTCCGTTTGGCCACTCTACCATAACGGCCTGATTGGTGGAGTGCTGCAGAGATGTTTGTCCTTCTGGAAGGTTCTCCCATCTCCACAGAGGAACTCTGGAGCTCTGTCAGAGTGACCATCGAGTTCTTGGTCACCTCCCTGACCAAAGACCTTCTCCCACGATTGCTCAGTTTGGCCGGCGGCCAGCTCTAGGAAGAGTCTTGGTGGTTCCAAACTTCTTCCATTTAAGAATGATGGAGGCCACTGTGTTCTTGGAGACCTTCAATGCTGCAGAAATATTTTGGTACCCTTCCCCAGATCTGTGCCTCGGCACAATCCTGTCTCGGAGCTCTACGGACAATTCCTTCGACTTCATGGCTAGGTTTTTGCTCTGACATGCACTGTCAACTGTGGGACCTTATATAGACAGGTGTGTGCCTTTCCAAATCATGTCCAATCAATTGGATTTACCACAGGTGGACTCCAATCAAGTTGTAGAAACATCTCAAGGATGATCAATGGAAACAGGATGCACCTGAGCTCAATTTCGAGTCTCATAGCAAAGGGTCTGAATACTTATGTAAATAAGGCATTTCTGTTTTTTTATTTATTTTTATAAATTTGCAAACATTTCTGAAAACCTGTTTTCGCTTTGTCATTACGGGGTATTGTGTGTAGATTAATAAGGAAAAACATTTATTTAATCAATTTTAGAATAAGGCTGTAACGTAACAAAATGTGGATGAAGTCAAGGGGTCTGAATAATTTCCGAATGCATGGGGAATCGGGTGCTATTTGGGACACACCTTACGGTCTTAGCTAAAATGATTTAGGTAGTAATGTTTTAATAAAGCATTTGGAAGAAGTGTGCAAGATCTTTCGTATGCATGTCCATCAGCTGTTTAATGGCACTGTGTGTTATTGGTCCATAGGATGAGAGGGTGCTCTAATGTTCAGGGGTGGAAATGGGAAAGGTTACTGCGAAGTGCGAAACCCACCTTGAAAAATTAATTTGTACATGTCAAAATCTCAATTTCCACCCCTGTATATACTGTAATGATGTCCTTAATACATGTTGAACCTTTTTTAGTCTTGGGGTCTACTGGGTGAGGAAGGCTATTTATGTGGGAAAAGAGAAGGGGTCTGAATTCTTTCTTAATATACTGTATCCACTGAGTATACAAAACATTAGGAACGCCTGCTCTTTCCATGACATAGACTGACCAGGTGAATCCAAGTGAAAGCTATGATCCCTTATTGATGTCACCTGTTAAATACACTTCAAAATCAGTGTACATGAAGGGGAGGAGTCAGGTTACAAAATTATTTTCAAGCCTTGAAACAATTTAGACATGGATTGTGTATGTGTGCCATTCAGAGGGTGAATGGGAAAAACAGCCATTTTCAAGTCTTGCCATAGATTTTCAAGCCGATTTAAGTCAAAACCGCAATTAGGCCACTCAGGAACATTCAATGTCGTCTTGGAAAGCAACTGCAGTGTATATTTGTCCTTGTGTTTTAGGGTATTGTCCTGCTGAAAGGTGCATTTGTTTCCCAGTGACTGTTGGAAAGCAGACTGAACCAGGTTTTCCTCTAGGATTTTGTCTGTGCTTAAAGCTGTATTCAGGTTCTTTTTAGCCCAAAACACTCCCTAGTCCTTGCCGATGGCAAGTGTACCCATAACATGATGCAGCCACCACCATGCTTGAAAATATGAAGAGTGGTTCTCAGTGATGTGTTGTATTTGCGCCAAACATAACACTTTGTATTCAGGACAAAAAGTTAATTTCTTAGTCACATTTTTTGCAGTATTACATTACCTTGTTGCAAACAGGATGTATGTTTTGGCATATTTTTATTCTGTACAGGCTTCCTCATTTTCACTCTGGCATTTAGGTTAGTATTGTGGAGTAACTACAATGTTGTTGAGCGTTTTTTTTTCTTTACATAGTTGAATGTGCTGACAACAAAATCACACAAAAATTATCAATGGAAATCAAATGTATCAACCCATGGAGGTCTGGATTTAGAGTCACCCTCAAAATTAAAGTGGAAAACCACACTACAGGCTGATCCAACTTTGATGTAATGTCCTTAAAACAAGTCAAAATGAGGCTCAGTAGTGTGTGTGGCCTCCACGTGCCTGTATGACCTCCCTACAACGCCTGGGCATGCTCCTGATGAGGTGGCGGATGGTCTCCTGAGGGATCTCCTCCCAGACCTGGACTAAAGCATCCGCCAACTCCTGGACAGTCTGTGGTGTAACGTGGCGTTGGTGGATGGAGCGAGACATGATGTCCCAGATGTGCTCAATTGGATTCAGGTCTGGGGAACGAGCGGGCCAGTCCATAGCATCAATGCATTCCTCTTGCAGGAACTGCTGACACACTCCAGCCACATGAGGTCTAGCATTATCTTGCATTAGGAGGAACCCAGGGCCAATCGCACCAGTATATGGTCTCACAAGGGGTCTGAGGATCTCATCTTGGTACCTAATGGCAGTCAGGCTACCTCTGGCGAGCACATGGAGGGCTGTGCGGCCCCCCAAAGAAATGCCACCCCACACCATGACTGACCCACCGCCAAACCGGTCATGCTGGAGGATGTTGCAGGCAGCAGAACGTTCTCCACGGCGTCTCCAGACTCTGTCACGTCTGTCACATGTGGTCAGTGTGAACCTGCTTTCATCTGTGAAGAACACAGGGCGCCAGTGGCGAATTTGCCAATCTTGGTGTTCTCTGGCAAATGCCAAACCTCCTGCACGGTGTTGGGCTGTAAGCACAACCCCCACCTGTGGACGTCGGGCCCTCATACCACCCTCATGGAGTCTGTTTCTGACCGTTTGAGCAGACGCATGCACATTTGTGGCCTGCTGGAGGTCATTTTGCAGGGCTCTGGCAGTGCTCCTCCTGCTCCTCCTTGCACAAAGGTGGAGGTAGCGGTCCTGCTGCTGGGTTGTTGCCCTCCTACGGCCTCCTCCACGTCTCCTGATGTACTGGCCTGTCACCTGGTAGCGCCTCCATGCTCTGGACACTACGCTGACAGACACAGCAAACCTTCTTGCCACAGCTCGCATTGATGTGCCATCCTGGATGAGCTGCACTACCTGAGCCACTTGTGTGGGTTGTAGACTCCGTCTCATGCTACCACTAGAGTGAAAGCACCGCCAGCATTCAAAAGTGACCAAAACATCAGCCAGGAAGCATAGGAACTGAGAAGTGGTCTGTGGTCACCACCTGCAGAACCACTTCTTTATTGGGGGTGTCTTGCTAATTGCCTATAATTTCCACCTGTTGTCTATTCCATTTGCACAACAGCATGTGAAATGTATTGTCAATCAGTGTTGCTTCCTAAGTGGACAGTTTGATTTCACAGAAGTGTGATTGACTTGGAGTTACATTGTGTTGTTTAAGTGTTCCCTTTATTTTTTTGAGCAGTGTATGTAACATTTTTTAAATCACCATTGACCTAAGAGTGAAATCCCTGAGCGGTTTCCTTCCTCTCCAGCCACTGAGTTAAGAAGAACGCCTGTATCTTTGCAGTGACTGGGTGTATTGATATACCATCCAAAGTGTAATTAATAACTTTACCATGCTCAAAGTGATATTCAGCGTCTGTTTTTTTAAATTTATGTTTACCAATCAGTGCCCTTCTTTTAGAGGCATTGGAAAACCTCCTTGGTCTTTGTGGTTGAATCTGTGCTTGAAATTCACTACTCGATTGAGGGACCTTACAGATAATTGTATGTGTGGGGGTACAGAGATGGGGTAGTCATTCAAAATTCATGTTAACCACTATTATTGAACACGGAATGAGTCCATGCAACAAATTATTAAGCAATTTGAGCTAATTTTTACTTCTGAACTTATTTAGGCTTGCCACAACAAAGGGTTTGAATATTTATTGACACTAGACATATCAGTTTAAATGTTATTAATTTCTACATACAAAATTCCACTTTGACCTTATGGGGGTATTGTGTGTAGATCAGTGACACAAAATCTCAATTTAAACCATTTTAAATTCAGGCTGTAACACAACAACAACAACAACAACAAAAATGTGGAAAAGTAAAAGAGGTGTGAATACTTTCGGTCTGAAACAAACTTACTTCCAAATGCCTCGACAGAGGGAATGCCTAGGGTTCTTCCAACATCTTCTCTGTTGATTCTGCAGTATTCGCATCCTGGACTCCCCTGAGATGGTGCATGAGAAAGACAGGATACAGTGGGGGGAAAAAAGTATTTAGTCAGCCACCAATTGTGCAAGTTCTCCCATTTAAAAAGATGAGAGAGTCCTGTAATTTTCATCATAGGTACACGTCACACCTATGACAGACAAATTGAGAAAAAAAATCCAGAAAATCACATTGTAGGATTTTTAATGAATTTATTTGCAAATTATGGTGGAAAATAAGTATTTGGTCACCTACAAACAAGCAATATTTCTGGCTCTCACAGACCTGTAACTTCTTCTTTAAGAGGCTCCTCTGTCCTCCACTCGTTACCTGTATTAATGGCACCTGTTTGAACTTGTTATCAGTATAAAAGACACCTGTCCACAACCTCAAACAGTCACACTCCAAATTCCACTATGGCCAAGACCAAAGAGCTGTCAAAGGACACCAGAAACAAAATTGTAGATCTGCACCAGGCTGGGAAGACTGAATCTGCAATAGGTAAGCAGCTTGGTTTGAAGAAATCAACTGTGGGAGCAATTATTAGGAAATGGAAGACATACAAGACCACTGATAATCTCCCTCGATCTGGGGCTCCACGCAAGATCTCACCCTGTGGGGTCAAAATGATCACTAGAACGGTGAGCAAAAATCCCAGAACCACACGGGGGGACCTAGTGAATGACCTGCAGAGAGCTGGGACCAAAGTATCAAAGCCTACCATCAGTAACACACTACGCCGCCAGGGACTCAAATCCTGCAGTGCCAGACGTGTCCCCCTGCTTAAGCCAGTACATGTCCAGGCCCATCTGAAGTTTGCTAGAGTGCATTTGGATGATCCAGAAGAGGATTGGGAGAATGTCATATGATCAGATGAAACCAAAATATAACTTTTTGGTAAAAACTCAACTCGTCGTGTTTGGAGGACAAAGAATGCTGAGTTGCATCCAAAGAACACCATACCTACTGTGAAGCATGGGGTTGGAAACATCATGCTTTGGGGCTGTTTTTCTGCAAAGGGACCAGGACGACTGATCCGTGTAAAGGAAAGAATGAATGGGGCCATGTATTGTGAGATTTTGAGTGAAAACCTCCTTCCATCAGCAAGGGCATTGAAGATGAAACGTGGCTGGGTCTTTCAGCATGACAATGATCCCAAACACACCGCCCGGGCAACGAAGGAGTGGCTTCGTAAGAAGCATTTCAAGGTCCTGGAGAGGCCTAGCCAGTCTCCAGATCTCAACCCCATAGCAAATCTTTGGAGGGAGTTGAAAGTCCGTGTTGCCCAGCGACAGCCCCAAAACATCACTGCTCTAGAGGAGATCTGCATGGAGGAATGGGCCAAAATACCAGCAACAGTGTGTGAAAACCTTGTGAAGACTTACAGAAAACGTTTGACCTGTGTCATTGCCAACAAAGGGTATACAACAAAGTATTGAGAAACTGTTGTTATTGACCAAATACTTATTTTCCACCATAATTTGCAAATAAATTCATAAAAAATCCTATAATGTGATTTTCTGGATTTTTTTTCTCATTTTGTCTGTCATAGTTGACGTGTACCTATGATGAAAATTACAGGCCTCTCATCTTTTTAAGTGGGAGAACTTGCACAATTGGTGGCTGACTAAATACTTTTTTTCCCCACTGTATGCATAAAGTACTTGTATGTGACACAGTGAACAGGTAAACCCAGAGGTGGAGCCCAATGTTCTAATCCTTTCCTTCAGGATGTACGCTCGGTCATCTTGAAGTTTATTGTTAGTCTAAGAGAGAACAAAACACAGCTGGAGGAAATGAGAGTGAGAAAACAGGAACAGCCAGAGAACCCAGGCTCTCACCTGTCAGGTAGCTAGTAGAGTAGGTAGGTTAAAAGCCTCCATCTTGGAATATTTCTTAAACAGAACCTTTGCATGCATGACTGTAAATCGCTTTGGATAAAAGCATTTGCTTATTAATAGCATATATCACTTCCTAAATCAATCACTGTACTACTGTCAATAACTGTACTACTTTAAATCGACTCTACAGTGACTATTTACTGGGATTAATAATTTCGTACTTCTGTAATCCACTTCAAGATGTTTTTGTCCTTGATTTATCCAGGTTTTTTAAAAATTATCCTGCATGTCACAGTCCTTCGCTGGTCACTGTTACCTTTGTAATATTTTGGCATTTTTAAAAACCAGAAAATGTATATTATGCATTTGGTAAGCATTTGGTTTGTCTAGAAATCTTGACAACACGATTTGTAAAATAAGTGGTAAAGCGCCAGAAATCAAAAGCATTTTACCTTTCAGTATTCCTATTTTTTGCAGCTGCCAAAACACAATCAACTCAACTTTGTTGGTACAAGTCGTATACCTAATAACCCAGTCGTATACCTAATAACCCAGTCGTATACCTAATAACCCAGTCGTATAACTAATAACCCAGTCGTATACCTAATAACCCAGTCGTATACCTAATAACCCAGTCGTATAACTAATAACCCAGTCGTATACCTAATAACCCAGTCGTATACCTAATAACCCAGTCGTATAACTAATAACCCAGTCGTATACCTAATAACCCAGTCGTATACCTAATAACCCAGTCGTATACCTAATAACCCAGTCGTATACCTAATAACCCAGTCGTATACCTAATAACCCAGTCGTATACCTAATAACCCAGTCGTATACCTAATAACCCAGTCGTATACCTAATAACCCAGTCGTATAGCTAATAACCCAGTCGTATACCTAATAACCCAGTCGTATACCTAATAACCCAGTCGTATACCTAATAACCCAGTCGTATAGCTAATAACCCAGTCGTATACCTAATAACCCAGTCGTATACCTAATAACCCAGTCGTATACCTAATAACCCAGTCGTATACCTAATAACCCAGTCGTATACCTAATAACCCAGTCGTATAACTAATAACCCAGTCGTATAACTAATAACCCAGTCGTATACCTAATAACCCAGTCGTATAACTAATAACCCAGTCGTATAACTAATAACCCAGTCGTATAACTAATAACCCAGTCTGATTCCTACCCTTCAGCGTGTTCAACAAAAGCAGTGAAAAATGAGCCAAAACATTTTGTGAACAACATAGAAAGTCAGGTAGAGTGACAGAGAGAGGCTTAATTACTACGTGTGGAGGCTCACCTGCAGGACACATTCCAGACTGCAGTTCTGTGGTGAGATGGCTGTTAAGTCCTCCTGGGCCCAGAGGTACTGACTCAGAGTCAGAGCCTGGAGTAAGATGAGATTGGCTCTCCACATCCTGCCGAAATACACATCGCAGTGCCCAAAGTACCTGGACTCAAACAGCTCCCAAATCGGGACTGTATATCCGTTTTCTGTAACACAATAGGTGTTGTCTGGTCCTTGTATGTACAGTTTTGAAGAACGCTATGCAGTGTTGACATCTCAGGGTGAGTGCGTGAGAGAGAGAGAGAGCGAGAGCGAGAGACAAGGGAGTGGTGTCTTCAGGCTAAAAAGGTGTACACAAAACACAGGCAGCTCAACCTGCCAACTTTTAACAGATGTGTTCCAGTTTTTTTATTATCTCCAAGAGCCGAGTCTTACGATTATATAATGGAGCCAACCAAACCACACTCATTCATGAACAAGGCCAAATTAAAATAATAATATAAATTAATCAAGTTGATCTAATCTAATTTAAATCATCACAGTGGACAGCATCCAAGTGTAGGTTTATTTGTATTTCAAAAATAGGATCACATATTTTCATAGAAATTAAAGTTGGAATATTTATTAAACAGAACTGTTATCTTATTGCTAAAGAGATCACTATGGTTTCATAAAACAACACTTTGGGGAATTGACATAAAAAGTTGAGGAGTAACAATGAAGAGTAAGATACTGTTTTAAAGCGAATACAATTTATTAAATCTGAAAGGAGAATGCTTCTGACAATACATTCATAGTAAAACACAGAAATAAAATGTGTGTCCAGAATGATCCTGAAGACAATATTTTCACCGGATCTGAAAAACAAGAAATTAAGAAGAATATTTCATTTATGTTGCAACATCTGCACATTTTACGATCAACCTCCCAACTTCATATCCATGCTTTACCGAATAATAACATTTTCACTATAATTATTCAATTATTAATAGGTCTATTTTCGAGTTGCCTCAGATAGCCATTTCTGACATGTTTAATGAACCTACAACTGAAAGTGAACAGGACCATGCATGCAACGCTTTAAACACAGACACTCATACAGTGTCATGTGTTGCATACTTATGAAACCATCCCGTTGTTGCAGTTTGAAAAGGCTATAAATCATGAGCCACTAGGCACGATAACAATCTATCTAGCCATTGACGCTACATTCCTTTGATGATTTATTTGGACGTGTGATTGGCCACAGGAGGAAGTGCTGTGGAGGACGACATGACGTCACACTCGAAATAAAAACCCACAATACCAATTCACATAGTTTGATAAAACTAAGGAAGCAATTACAATATTCCAATGTAGATATTGGCAGTGTGTTAAAGTTAGACATACTACTCACAGTATATTTGTCCCATTTCTTCTCCGGGTCGTAGGGCTCCCAGCGGCTGGCGGGGAAGATGTGCTTGTTCTTTTCATACCAGCACCTCAGCACCACTTTACCTGCGTGAGACTACGACACACCAAGGAGGCTCACCGGTGTTAAAGCTGCACTGACAAATTACCTTTTGATTCTAAAAAGTATCAAAACACACTTGGAAATTGAACAGTATATTAATTGTGATTAAACAATACGGATCTCCTAACCTCGTCTTTTTCAACCGTGGCGTCGTTCACCAGCCGAATGTCATCGTGGACGTCAAAGCTGAAGAGTGGGCCTGTGGTAGAATAAAGTTAAATACATGCCATCAGTGAACTTCCATACATATTTCAATATACTGTACATTTTAGAAGAACTTTGAGGTTTCCACTCACCAGATTTGCCTCGAGCTTTCGTCACAATGAAGTCATAGAAACTGTGATGCTAGAAGAGAAAACAGAGATAACTAACTGTGATGCTAGTAGAGAAAACAGAGATAACTAACTGTGATGCTAGAAGAGAAAACAGAGATAACTAACTGTGATGCTAGTAGAGAAAACAGAGATAACTAACTGTGATGCTAGTAGAGAAAACAGAGATAACTAACTGTGATGCTAGAAGAGAAAACAGAGATAACTAACTGTGATGCTAGAAGAGAAAACAGAGATAACTAACTGTGATTCTAGAAGAGAAAACAGAGATAACTAACTGTGATTCTAGAAGAGAAAACAGAGATAACTAACTGTGATTCTAGAAGAGAAAACAGAGATAACTAACTGTGATTCTAGAAGAGAAAACAGAGATAACTAACTGTGATTCTAGAAGAGAAAACAGAGATAACTAACTGTGATTCTAGAAGAGAAAACAGAGATAACTAACTGTGATTCTAGAAGAGAAAACAGAGATAATTAACTGATTCTAGAAGAGAAAACAGATATAATTAACTATGATGCTAAGAGAGAAAACACAGAGATAATTAACTGTGATGTATGAGAAAACAGATATAATTAACTGTGATGTATGAGAAAACACAGAGATAATTAACTGTGATGTATGAGAAAACACAGAGATAATTAACTGTGATGTATGAGAAAACACAGATATAATTAACTGTGATGTATGAGAAAACACAGAGATAATTAACTGTGATGTATGAGAAAACACAGAGATAATTAACTGTGATGTATGAGAAAACAGTAGTCCCCTGTAGCTCAGTTGGTAGAGCATGGCGCTTGCAACGCCAGGGTTGTGGGTTCGTTTCCCACGGGGGGCCAGAATGAAAATGTATGCACTCAATAACTGTAAGTCGCTCTGGATAAGAGCGTCTGCTAAATGACTAAAAATGTAAAAAACACAGAGATAATTAACTGTGATGTAAGAGAAAACTGAGATAATTAACTGTGATGTACGAGAAAACAGAGAGATAACTGTTCAATTTAAGATCAAGAAGAGCTATAAATGTATAAATGGGATAAATCAGTCTAGTAGCACTTACATGTGGGATGATCAAATCCTCTTTGATATACATCAGTTGCTCCACACCAGCAGCCCTACGAACAACAACCAACATTTGACAACCTTCCTTCATAGATATATGTAAGGGATAATCAACGAGGGGCTATGCATTCTATGGAAAATAATAGACCATGTGGGAGGTATGTGCCACGATGCCAAATATTTATTTTTTGAACTAACCCAAGACATTGGAATACTAACCCTGTCGTTTTCCAATGGGAGCAAATTAATCATAGTGGGCAGAACAAGCAAGGAGGTGGGCAGAGCCAAACACGAGCTAGTGAAATCCTATTGGCGCGTTCTAGCATTTATTTGCATATTTCCATTAGGAAGCGCCTACTCTGAAGTGCACATGTGCGATAACTAAATTCGCCCTTGCACTCTTTCTAAACAACATAATATATTTTTTTTACTTTGGCAAAGGGTAGTCTACAAAACGCAGTCCACTCTTTGTTACAGATTCTAGTTTTGGAAACAAAAACAACTGTATGGACATCAAATGTTTAATCGATGAGAAAATTAGCAGAATGTCGGACAAATTCCTCCCACAGGCCTTCCTCTCACCACCATATTTGGTAGTGAGTGGAAATGCCAACCGGACGCTTCACATTTACACATCCAGTGAAATATCTGGCTCATCGCAGTGCTAACTGTGCCACTAGAGATCCTGGTTCGAATCCAGGCTGTCGCAGCCGGCCGCGACCGGGAGACTCATGGGGCGGTGCACAATTGGCCCAGCGTCGTCCAGGGTAGGGGAGGGAATGGCCGGCAGGGATGTAGCTCAGTTGATAGAGCATGGCGTTTGCAACGCCAGGGTTGTGGGTTCGTTTCCCACGGGGGGCCAGTATAAAAAAAATATATGAAAAAAATATGTATTCACTAACTGTAAGTCGCTCTGGATAAGAGCGTCTGCTAAATGACTAAAATGTAAAATGTAATGGTTCTAGCCGAGTAGCACCAACCTTCCACAGAGTTGCATTATTTCCCAGAGAACACAGAACCGAGAGTTGATTATCTTGCTTATACCGCGGCTATAATTGACACATTTCCCTCTAGAAATGTGTTCAACATCCACTGAAGTAGCTAGCAAGTTGACTAGATAGCTACAGTAGTTGCCTTGGTAACCAAACAGACTTTAGCTAACCGAACCATAGAAATAGAATGAATAGAAGGAGCATCTCTATTCAAGTCAAACGATGGTATAACGGGTGGACTGGCAGCCATTTTGAGTATACTCATGCCAGGAAGTAAAAGCTAGGTTTAAAATATACCCATCTTCAACCTAGAGTAAAAGCTAGGTAAAAGATGGGAAGGTTGAAGGGGAAATCAGCTGTTGCAACATCCATTTCTGGACTTAGAACTTAATAATATGTATCCATTGATTCTTGAAGAATAAAGCTTATAAATGCCTCATGAGACTAGTTCCAACTGTGGTACCCATCAGAACCCAAAACAAAAGCTTGTTTGTAAACAAAGTAAATGTAATAAACACTGTATAGCCTCAAAACATGGTTAAAACTATAACGTTCGAAAACAAATTAATGGGACCAGCGCTGTTGCTGGATTCTACAGGATTAGCAGTGAAACCGTGAACAGCAGTCGGGAAATCCACTAATAAAGTGTCTGTAAATAATTGTTTAAACGTCTAAATGAATAGAATGACAGTAAAGCAGTTATGCTATGTTTTCACTGAGTAGTTAGCTGAAATTCACTATGATTGTGTTTATTTTTCACTCTGATGGTTAACTTTCTGTGCTGCTACCATTCACTCCCAGTCATTCCAAATGCGGAAGCTGGTCCCTTGTTGAATAGTGGCGCAAGGAGTCATGTGATATTAGAATCCTGTTTTCTTAACCTGTATATTTTGAACCTAGAGTAAAAGCAGGAAGTGTCCTCTTCAATCTGGGTCATGGCTAGAAGGGATCCAGCTTCTGACAGAATTGACTTTTCGTAGCAGGCTTAGGAGAACCTGCGCGACAGGTTAGGAGAATAAACGTGGCAGGTTAGAGAATTAGGTTAATTAAGGTTAGAAAAAGGGTTAGGGTTAGCTAAAATGCACCCCCCCCCAAAAAAAAATAGATACACTTTTGACGTAAACTTTACAAAAGACGGATCCCCTCTAGACATGATGTTCAATCTGTGCTGTGATTTGTTGATTCAACTCAACTGACATTACAAAAAATACATTACATTGCATGAGCCACATCAGTTGAATGAACATTCTACATTACCATGGCAATCCATGTCAGTTGATAGACCATTCCAAAATACCATGGATATTATTGCATCACAATACCAGGCAGCCATTGCAAGTGTACCCATGAGTTTACCAGTCAAATCGCCCGGTTTCCAAGCTTCCAAGCCTGTTCTATTCATTATATTTATATGAACCAAACCATCAGTCCTAGTTTGCTATTATGAAAATCAAATTAAACAATGCCAATAATGTTTTAAATTGAAGTTTTGCTTTCAAAAGCAGCTCAAACATAGATCATGTAAGAATTAACTTCATAGCCATTGAATTATACTGTGCATTATAGGAAATAATACATGCTCTAGAATGTCCTTAAAGCCAATCAGAAATGAGTACTCAACAATTCCATGGTATATACTGTGTACTACCGGTCAAAAGTTTGGACACATCTACTCATTCACAGGTTTTTCTTTATTTTTACATTGTAGAATAATAGTGAGGACATCAAAACTATTAAATAACACATATGGAATCATGTAGTAAACAAAAAAAGTGTTAAACAAATCAAAATATATTTTATATTTGAGAATCTTGAAATAGCCACCCTTTGCCTTGATGACAAATTTGCACACTCTTGGCATTCTCTCAACCAGCTTCACCTGGAATGCTTTTCCAACAGTCTTGAAAGAGTTCCCACATATGCTGAGCACTTGTTGGCTGCTTTTCCTTCACTCTGCGGTCTGACTCATCCCAAACCATCTCAATTGGGTTGAGGTCGGGGGATTGTGGAGGCCAGGTCATCTGATGCAGCACTCCATCACTCTCCTTCTTGGTAAAATAGCCCTTCCACAGCCTGGAGGTGTGTTGGGTCATTGTCCTGTAGAAAAACAAATGATAGTCCCACTAAGCCCAAACCAGATGGGATGGCGTATAGCTGTAGAATGCTGTGGTAGCCATACTGGTTAAGTGTGCCTTGAATTCTAAATAAATCACAGACAGTGTCACCAGCAAAGCACCCCCACACCATAACACCTCCTCCTCCATGCTTTACGGTGGGAAATACACATGTGGAGATCATCCGTTCACCCACACCGCGTCTCACAAAGCCGCGGCGGTTGGAACCCAAAATCTCCAATTTGGACTCCAGACCAAAGGACACATTTCCACCGGTCTAATGTCCATTGCTCGTGTTTCTTGGCCCAAGCAGGTCTCTTCTTATTATTGGTGTCTTTTAGTAGTGGTTTCTTTGCGGCAATTCGACCATGAAGGCCTGATTCACACGGTCCCCTCTGAACAGTTGATGTTGAGATGTGTCTGTTACTTGAACTTTGTGAAGCATTTATTTGGGCTGCAATTTCTGAGTCTGGTAACTCTAATTAACTTATCCTCTGCAGCAGAGTTAACTCTGGGTCTTCCATTCCTGTCGCAGACCTCATGAGAGCCAGTTTCATCATAGCGCTTGATGGTTTTTGCGACTGCACATGAAGAAACTTTCAAAGTTCTTGACATTTTCCGGATTGACTGACCTTCATGTCTTAAAGTAATGATGGACTGTCGTTTCTCTTTGCTTATTTGAGCTGTTCCTGCCATAATATGAACATGGTCTTGTACCAAATAGGGCTATCTTCTGTATACCCCCCCTACCTTGTCACAACACAACTGATTGGCTCAAACGCATTAAGAAGGAAATACATTTCACAAATTAACTTTTAAGAAGGCACAGCTGTTAATTGAAATGCATTCCAGGTGACTACCTCATGAAGCTGGTTGAGAGAATGCCAAGAATGTGCAAAGCTGTCATCAAGGCAAAGGGTGGCTAATTTAAGAATCTCAAATAATAAAATATATTTTGATTTGTTTAACACTTTTTTGTTTACTACATGATACATGTGTTATTTCATAGTTTTGATGTCTTCACTATTACAAAATAGTAAAAATACAAAATAGTAAAAATAAAGAAAAACCCTGGAATGAGTAGGTGTGTCCAAACTTTTGACTGGTACTGTGTGTGTGTGTATGTATATATATATTTATATATATATATATTTAAACTTAACTATTTTTCTAATATATATTTTATTTTATGCACTTTGATATTGTTGTATAATGAAAAACGCTTTACAAATGTAATAAATTATAAAAAAGGATCAAATCAATGGTAATGCTATAATGTTAGTGCCCGTGGGCACTCGCTGCAGGACACTATAAACCTAGGGTGTATTCATTAGACGAAGACTGTAGCAAACAGTTGCAAAACATTTTACTAAGGAAATAGTTTACTCCAAATGGAAAACGTTTTGAAACGAAAAAGAGTTTCTATTGGAAAAAATTCAGGTAGGTCCCTCCCAGTTTCATTCTGTTTTCTAGTGAATACCTCCTATATAAAACCAAAGCCACCGCTTCAGTCACTCATCACCTCTTACCTGAGCTCACTGAAATCTTTCCTCAGGACCTCCAGTGCTTTCTGAAGGAACTGCTGCATGGTGTTGCCTTTCTTCATCTGTAGTAAACAACAGTGTAGACCGATACATGCTATAGTGTACGGGTAGGTACAGTTGAAGTCGGAAGTTTACATACACTTAGGTTGGAGTCATTAAAACTAGTTTTTCAACCACTCCACACATTTCTTGTTAAGAAACTAGAGTTTTGGCAAGTCGGTTAGGACATCTACTTTGTGCATGACACAAGTAATTTTTCCAACAATTGTTTACAGACAGATTATTTCACTTATAATTCACTGTATCACAATTCCAGTGGGTCAGAAGTTTACATACACTAAGTTGACTGTGCCTTTAAACAGCTTGGAAAATTCCAGAAAATGATGTCATGGCTTTAGAAGCTTCTGATAGGCTAATTGACATCATTTGAGTCAATTGGAGGTGTACCTGTGGATGTATTTGAAGGCCTACCATCAAACTCAGTGCCTCTTTGCTTGACATCATGGGAAAATCAAAAGAAATCAGCCAAGACCTCAGGAAAGAAATTGTAGACCTCCACAAGTCTGGTTCATCCTTGGGAGCAATTTCCTAACGCCTGAAGATACCACGTTAATCTGTATAAACAATAGTACGCAAGTATAAACACCATGGGACCACGCAGCCGTCATTCCGCTCAGGAAGGAGACGCGTTCTGTCTCCTAGAGATGAACGTACTTACGAAAAGTGCAAATCAATCCCAGAACAACAGCAAAGGACCTTGTGAAGATGCTGGAGGAAAGAGGTACAAAAGTATCTATATCCACAGTAAAACAAGTCCTATATCGACATAACCTGAAAGGCAGCTCAGCAAGGAAGAAGCCACTGCTCCAAAACCGCCATAAAAAAGCCAGATTACGGTTTGCAACTTCACATGGGGACAAAGATCTTACATTTTGGAGAAATGTCCTCTGGTCTGATGAAACAAAAGTTGAACTGTTTGGCCATAATGACCATCGTTATGTTTGGAGGATAAAGGGGGTGGCTTGCAATCCGAAGAACACCATCCCAACCGTGAAGCACGGGGGTGGCAGCATCATGCTGTGGGGGAGCTTTGCTGCAGGAGGGACTGGTGCACTTCACAAAATAGATGGCATCATGAGGAAGGAAAATGATGTGGATATATTAAAGCAACATCTCAAGACATCAGTCAGGAAGTTAAAGCTTGGTCGCAAATGGGTCTTCCAAATGGACAATGACCCCAAGCATACTTCCAAAGTTGTGGCAAAATGGCCATCACAAAGCCCTGACCTCAATCCTATAGAAAATGTGTGGGCAGAACTGAAAAAGCGTGTGCGAGCAAGGAGGCCTACAAACCTGATTCAGTTACATCAGCTCTGTCAGGAGGAATGGGCCAAAATTCACCCAACTTATTGTGGGAAGCTTGTGGAAGGCTACCCGAAACATTTGACCCAAGTTAAACAATTTAAAGGCAATGCTACCAAATACTAATTGAGTGTATTTAATCTTCTGACCCACTGGAAATGTGATGAAAGAAATAAAAGCTGAAATAAATAATTCTCTCTACTATTATTCTGACATTTCACATTCTTAAAATAAATTGGTGATCCTAACTGACCTAAGACAGGGAATTTTTACTAGGATTAAATGTCAGGAATTGTGAACACGAGTTTAAATGTATTTGGCTAAGGTGTATGTAAATTTCCGACTTCAACTGTACATGGACGGAAAGTTCATGTATAGCTCCAACAATGGATTTGCTATCCGGCAGAAACCTGTTTTGTCTCACTGTACCTTGACAGTCTTACGATGCCCCGATCCATCCCAGTAGGAGAATGTGATCTCAATTTCTTCACCTGCACAGAAGATTAATGAGTGTCATTATCATGACAAGGTTGTAATTAGCAGGGTGGTGAACTATTCATTTAAACTCATCTTAGGGCGGCAGGTAGCTTAGTGGTTAAGAGCGTTGTGCCAGTAACCGAAAGGTCGCTGGTTCTAATCCCCGAGCTGACTAGGTGAAAAATCTGTCGATGTGCACTTGAGCAAGGCACTTAACCCTAATTGCTCCTGTAAGTCGCTCTGGATAAGAGCGTCTGCTAAATGACCTATTTATTTATTTATCTTTACCATAGAGACCAATATAAAAGGGCTGTGGATGTACAATAGGGACCAATAGAAGGACAGTGGATGTACCATAGGGACCAATATAGAAGGGCTGTGGATGTACCATAGGGACCAATATAGAAGGGCAGTGGATGTACAATAGGGACCAATATAGAAGGGCGGTGGATGTACCATAGGGACCAATATAGAAGGACAGTGGATGTACCATAGGGACCAATAGAAGGGCAGTGGATGTACCATAGGGACCAATAGAAGGGCAGTGGATGTACCATAGGGACCAATATAGAAGGGCAGTGGATGTACCATAGAGACCAATATAGAAGGGCTGTGGATGTACCATAGGGACCAATATAGAAGGGCTGTGGATGTACCATAGGGACCAATAGAAGGGCAGTGGATGTACCATAGGGACCAATATAGAAAGGCAGTGGATGTACCATAGGGACCAATATAGAAGGGCTGTGGATGTACCATAGGGACCAATATAGAAGGACAATGGATGTACAATAGGGACCAATATAGAAGGGCAGTGGATGTACCATAGGGACCAATAGAAGGGCAGTGGATGTACCATAGGGACAAATATAGAAGGGCAGTGGATGTACCATAGGGACCAATATAGAAGGGTGGTGGATGTACCATAGGGACTAATATAGAAGGGCAGTGGATGTACCATAGGGACCAATATAGAAGGGCTGTGGATGTACCATAGGGACCAATATAGAAGGGCAGTGGATGTACCATAGGGACCAATAGAAGGGCAGTGGATGTACCATAGAGACCAATATAGAAGGGCAGTGGATGTACAATAGGGACCAATATAGAAGGGAAGTGGATGTACCATAGAGACCAATATAGAAGGGCAGTGGATGTACCATAGGGACCAATAGAAGGGCAGTGGATGTACCATAGGGACCAATATAGAAGAGCGGTGATGTACCATAGGGACCAATATAGAAGGGCAGTGGATGTACCATAGGGACCAATATAGAAGGGCAGTGGATGTACCATAGAGACCAATATAGAAGGGCAGTGGATGTACCATAGGGACCAATATAGAAGGGCTGTGGATGTACCATAGGGACCAATATAGAAGGGCAGTGGATGTACCATAGGGACCAATATAGAAGGGCAGTGGATGTACCATAGGGACCAATATAGAAGGGCAGTGGATGTACCATAGGGACCAATATAGAAGGGCAGTGGATGTCATCGTCATGGATATTTATTATCACACCTACTCTTAATCTTTTCTTGCTTTCCCTCCCACTCCTGGCGCAGTTCCTCTCGAAGACGATTCTCCTCCTCCTAAACTCACAATAACACATTTTAAGCTTGAGCTCTGTGTATATACAGCATAGGACATGTATATAGTGTATTCCCTGTGCATGCTGGACAGTAGTCAAAGAACTCTTGATTTACACGCAGGCCAGATTTCAATGTGAGAGGTTAGATTTTTAGAAAATGAGTGTGACTCGTGTTATGAATAGTGGGCATGCATAAGGCTCACCTCTCGGTCCCGGTCAGGCAGGAAACTGGTGTCCACATCTGGGTTCTTCCCTAGCTTCTTCTTCTTAGCAGGGAAATCTTTAGAAGATAAAAGTCAGTATTCATTGATTGTTCTCAAACAATAATAATATACTGTAACGACCCTGGGTTTATAAGCGCGGATATCGACTCTGCCACGGGAGCATGCTTTTGGGGCACAGTCGATGGCGCACTGGACTTCGGGCTAGAAGGTTGAGGGTTCGAGACCTGCTCCCCTGCCTTTTTCATTACATTGGTGTCAGAAGTGGGATCGGACCTTGCATCCACGAACGTGCGTGTGCTTGGCCGGTGAGCGCGTTCCTGTAAGACGTTGAGTTGTAGGTTAGCGCGAGGACGTTCACTTTGAAAGGAGGGAGTTGTGTAACGACCCTGGGTTTATAAGCGCGGAGATCGACTCTGCCACGCGAGCATGCTTTTGGGGCACAGTCGATGGCGCTCTGGACTTCGGGCTAGAAGGTTGAGGGTTCAAGACCTGCTCCCTGCCTGTTTCATTACAATACATAAGTCTTGTGGATATAAACAACTGATTTATTATTAACACCACTCACAGTCCTCTTCCTCTTCCTCTTCATCGGTCTCCTCTTTCTCCTCTTCCTCCTCCTCTTCATCTTCCGGATTAAAGGATAAACTGGCTATCTTTCTCTTCTGCTCTTCCTTTCTCTTCTTCTCCTTCTGCTTCTCCAGCTTCCTGAAGGTAGACAGAAAGAGAGACGAGACACTGACAACAGATTCCTGAAGGTAGACAGAAAGAGAGACGAGACACTGACAACAGCTTCCTGAAGGTAGACAGAAAGAGAGACGAGACACTGACAACAGCTTCCTGAAGGTAGACAGAAAGAGAGACGAGACACTGACAACAGCTTCCTGAAGGTAGACAGAAAGAGAGACGAGACACTGACAACAGCTTCCTGAAGGTAGACAGAAAGAGAGACGAGACACTGACAACAGCTTCCTGAAGGTAGACAGAAAGAGACGAGACACTGACAACAGCTTCCTGAAGGTAGACAGAAAGAGAGACGAGACACTGACAACAGCTTCCTGAAGGTAGACAGAAAGAGAGACACTGACAACAGCTTTCGACAGAAGACCAGAAGACTTCGTCCATAATCATGAGTCATTGAGAGATCATAGCAGACAAAAGTGTCAGGGAATACAGTAACTCAGGGAATACAGTAACTCACAGCATCAACTCCTTTGATTGCTCCTTCTTGGCCAGTTGCTTTTCTCGTTCTTTCACAAGTGCCTCCTGCCTGGCCTTCATATCATTGAGTGTCACCAGACCTGACAAGGTAACACATTATCGCAGTAAGATTGTGTTCTTAACAATTACGTATTGAAACATTCATCCTAGTAATAAAAAAGTGCCTGACATGCAAAAATACCATTATTTTCTTATAACTTGCCTAGCTAGCTACAATACTTACCAACAGTGCTGGATTTGAGCTCTGCTTCCACCGCATCATAATGAGCTGAGAACTTCTTATCGATGTTGGACTTGACCATGTTGTCCTGCAGGAGACATTCAGATAGTTAAGAGGGGGGAAATAGGTAATGCTGTAACGTTGAAGGCTTTCAGTAACTGGAAAGCATAGAATATGCAATAATATTACTTAGCTTGCTAACTAACAAGTTAACTGACCTGAGCAATTTTCTCCTTTAGCTGTGAAAGTTGTTCTCTTTCCTTTTCACGCTTTTTTATCAGCTGCATGGCTCTTCCAGCCTCGCTTGCTGCTCCTTTGTACTGCGCCATGACGATATCTTTGAGAATCAAACAGCGATAATCTGAAAAAGTAGCTAAATGCCACAGACAAATTGTCTTCACAACAACCAAACACCGTTTTATAACAGTGTAGAGCGAACCGCTAACAGCTTACAGCGAACCGCTATTGTAGATGCTGAGATACCCTAGCATCACAACACCACCAAAAACGGTCTCGGTGAAGTGCATTCTGGGTAGTGTGCGATCCTGTAACAAAAAACACTTCCGACGGGGTTTCAAAATAAAAGTACAGCAGCAGCTGCTTGCATCTACTAGTGATGGACATTCAGACTCTTTTCGATGAGCCGGTTCATTTGGCTCAGTTCAAGTAAAAGAGCCGGCTCATTTGGCTCCCAAACGGACCAGATTGACGCGCTCTCCCCACTTTTATTGTTTCTGCAGTGAGGATTCATCCTCTTTAGATCATTATTTTGTAACTTATCTGCAGAAAAACGTTGTTTTGAGCTCAGAAAGCAGTAGTAGCCGTATGCAAATCAGGGAACCAAATGAACGGCTCTTTCACCGATGCGATTCACCAAAAAGATCCGTTCAAAAAGAGCCGTTTGTTCGCGAACGACCCATCACTAGCATCTACTGCACTGACTCTGCTGATGGTGACAACAAAGCTGATTTAACATGATGCTCACTGTACCTGGCGCCGGAATTATCATATTATTTGCTTGGCTCTCTCCAAGTTACTCTCTCTATTTTCACATTGGGGAGACAGAGAAAAAATGCTTTATAGAGGAAATTCCAGATGAGACTATGGTTATTGGTAAGTTAGTTAGCTATGGTTTTAGCGTTAGCTATTGCTGGTTAACGTTAGCTACCTAGTTAGCTAGCTGCTTCTGGCCCATAGGCTATTTTTATTAAGCCAGTCAGTCAGTGCATGCATGTCTTTTATTTCCTGACTGATGTAGATTTGATGGATGAAAAATATCTATCACATGGGTCTTAATAAATAAATGTTTTCTAGCTAGCTTCAAAAGATGAGAAGATGATAAACGCTAATATGGGGTGAGCCAGTGTAGTGTATTGTTATTTGAGATGGAGTAAATTATGCCATCTATTGACGATATGAGGAATAGCCTTTCATAAGATTATTTATACCTCTCAATTATTAGGGAAATACAGGACCCAGCTGTGGGACAAGCAGACCGGATCCTTCCTCCCAGCCACCCCTGGCCTTGGAATGCATGTGGAGATCAAGGATCCGGATACTAAGGTCAGTCCATCAATGAGAAAAGAGATTAGATGTAAAATAATCTCGGTTAACCCAGAACAAAAATGCGTAATTTACGTTGTCAGTCCACGAGAGATTAAGATATAAAATTAACACACACTCAAATGTGTACAGTCACTACAGTTTGTATGTTCAGAAAACCTGAATGACCTCAATGAGGCAATTCATTTTGCATCACACAATACAAAGACACAATCTAAAATCACATCTTCATGCACACAATGCCTCCTCGTGTTTCATCGGCATGTCTCGTATTTCTTTCCAACCCTCTATTCTAGATAATCCTGTCTCGTCAGTATGGGTCTGATGGACGGTTCACCTTTACGTCCCATACACCAGGCGAGCATCAGATCTGCCTGCACTCCAACTCCACCAAGATGGCCCTCTTTGCTGGTGGCAAACTGGTATGAGTGGGATGTTGTTGTTCATACAGAATGGGTTGTTCAGAAAATATTCTGCTCACAAAAACCTTCCATAAAGTACTAAATACACTGAGTATACCAAACATTAAGAACACCTTCCTAATATTGAGTTGCACCCCCCCCCCCCCTCCCTTAGAACAGCCTCAATTCATCGGGGCATGGACTCTACATGGTGTCGAAAGCGTTCCACTGTGATGCTGGCTTATGTTGACTCCAATGCTTCCCATAGTTGTGTCAAGTTAGCAGGATGTCATTTGGGTGGTGGACCATTCTTGATACACATGGGAAACTGTTGAGCGTGAAAAACCCAGCAGCGTTGCCGTTCTTGACACACTCAAACCGGTGCGCCTGGCACCTACTACCATGCCCCGTTCAAAGGCACTTACATCTTTTGTCTTGCCCATTCACCCTCTGAATGGCACACATACACAAGTCTGGCATTCTATCCTTGTGTTCTATCTTACAGAGAGTGCACCTAGATATTCAGGTCGGTGAGCATACCAACAACTACCCCGAAATCGCAGCAAAAGACAAGCTCACAGAGCTGCAATTAAGAGCTCGACAATTACTGGACCAAGTAGAACAAATCCAGAAAGAGCAAAACTATCAGCGGGTGAGTTGAAAGATAATGTCTACATTTTCAGTTGAATAACTAAGCCACAACATATGTGATAATAAATATTGAAATGTATTTAAACATGTCATACAAAGCAGTGTTGTGAAATGTTTGTCTCTTCACAGTATCGTGAGGACTTCACCTTGTCTTTCAGTGTTCTAGTGACTGTCTGTCTCTTCACAGTATCGTGAGGACTTCACCTTGTCTTTCAGTGTTCTAGTGACTGTCTGTCTCTTCACAGTATCGTGAGGACTTCACCTTGTCTTTCAGTGTTCTAGTGACTGTCTGTCTCTTCACAGTATCGTGAGGACTTCACCTTGTCTTTCAGTGTTCTAGTGACTGTCTGTCTCTTCACAGTATCGTGAGGACTTCACCTTGTCTTTCAGTGTTCTAGTGACTGTCTGTCTCTTCACAGTATCGTGAGGAGCGGTTCCGCATGACGAGTGAGAGCACTAACCAGCGTGTGCTTTGGTGGTCTATAGCTCAGACACTTATTCTCCTCACCACTGGCATATGGCAGATGAAGCACCTCAAGAGCTTCTTTGAGGCCAAGAAGTTGGTGTAGTGCCCACAGGACATCACTGATTGAGTTCAAGACAGACGTCACAGCCATACAGAGCTGACTGGCAGAGAGACATGGTGTTGATGTGATTAGTAGAGATGCTTAAAAGGGCAATTCCGCCACTTTCAACGTCAATTATTCAAAAACAGTGCATTTGTAGTTAAAAAGATAAGGTCCTATAATAACGCTTCTCTGTGACTAGGATTAAAAGTAAAAAAGTGATTTTCCAAACCTGCAACGAGTTTCTAGCCCAAGGGAGGGTATTTTCTTGCTCCCCATGTCACCGCAAATCTCATAGTTTGAAAATCACTGTTTTTAAAATGTTTTAACTTTTGATGTCATCGGGTAGAACTTTACTTAATATTTTTTCTACAAAATGTAGAAAATGTGCCGTTTCACATATGTTGACACTGGTATTGTGCTGGAGATAATGAATGAGGTTGACAAGTGGTAGAATTGCCCTTTAAAGGGGTAATCTGCAGCTGAGGGATGGGGCTGTTAAAAAAAAAAAAAAAAAAAAAAAACTCACATTTTTAGACAGCTATAAATTCAAGGCCTGACCAACTATGAGATCAAAATGATAGTTTTAACCATGTTCTGAGGCTAGTGTTTGTTTACATTTACTTTGTTTACAAACACTGGAGTAAAACAAGCTTCTAATTTGGGTTCTGATGGGGTACGACAGATAAACTAAACTCACGAGGCATTTATAAGTTATATTCTTCAAGAATCGATGGGTACATATTAATTCTAAGTCTAAAAATGTATGTAGCAACTGCAGATTGCCCCTTTAAACCTGGGAGGCAAATTAATTGAGACCATCCAGTGTGTTATGTATTGTCCATTATTATTCAGTGATTTGAATTATTGTGATAAGGAGTAAGCAGCACCTGTGTCCATTTTGTTTTTATTATGTCTACTGTTGTATAGTTTTTGTTGTATACACTTTGTTGGACTGTACATATAAGCAGTGGCAAATGTACCTAAGTTAACTTTCATTTGTCACGTTGGACTAAGCAGTCACAGATCCGCATGACTAGTATTTTGTAGATCTTGGTCTTTCTGCAAACTGTATACTTTTGGTTTACACACTTGTATTTGGACTAGATTGTGATTTAGTCTACTAACATTATTGTAACATAGCTAATAATAGGGATATCTTAATGACTAACTTGTTCACTCCCAAACAGCAGTTCACAAGCCGAATGGCATCCACATCCTTAGTTTCTGTTGAAGAGTATCATTCCAGGAAACATCATTATTTGTTTCTAGAGGTCCAAACAGACACGTTTTTTTTAAAAGACCAACTAAATCATTAAATCAGGTGTAAATTACATTTGAATGTTGTGAAATTAATGCCCATGATAAAATACCATGAAGTTATTCAAAACTGAACAAGGTTTAGGTTACAATCTAGATATCAGTAAGCTGCGAATACAATGTTTAATGACAATACTGTAGTGGTATGATGAGGAATAAAGTCACAAGGTCTTCATTTGTCATTATTAAGGGTTTTACTTTTGGTTCGCTGTCATTTCAATGTACTCAATAAAAATTGAAAAAAGATTTGATTCACATCTGTGGTTCTTTGTTTATATAACATTCATTTACATTTCCTGAATAGGGAAAAAATATAACACAACAGTTATTTTCAATAAATATTTTATTGCTCGTCAGCTTCTTTAATATCAACTATAACCCTGTATCTTGTTTAAGTGAATGTTTAGCAATACAATTCACAATGTAAGCATTATCACCTTTAGTTATGGATTTAGTTTTACATTGATGGTAACTACAGCATCATTGTTCCATAATAACTATAGGGTAGAAATTGTCATAACAGAACAAACTAAACTATTTCCTCTTTGCATAGGTTAATTGTTCAATCTTTTAGTGCACCAACAAATAATTCAGACCAAATGAATCACTGACATCACACAAAATGAAATACTGCAACGTAAACATATGGTATGAATCGATCTTTACCTGCCGATTTGTAATTTTGTTTATCAATTATAAAAAAACGTCAAATATTTGACACCATACAAAACAATTCAATTTACTCACAATACCATATGTACGCACTCACTAACTAAGTCGCTCTGGATAAGAGCGTCTGCTAAATGACTAAAATGTAAAATATGTCATGATAAGGGGGGGGGGGGGGGGGGGGGGTGAGATATGATTTAATAAACATAAGTATTTTGCAAGAAAAATAGGACATTTTACCAATGTAAGATTCCCAATCACTGGGATATTGAACATGTTCATTCTAGGTTGTAAAAATATCAAATCATCAAAACATTTGCTTGTTTAGATATAAACTCGATCTCCGCTTGACTCTCCGAATGATCTCTATTTACGTTATCGTGTTAAACGGTATCTATTGAACCTAGAGTTGGCACAAGATCAAGATGGGAGGTCTGGAACGTCTTATATCCAATATCATCAATTGATTAATGAGAATCTATGTCTAATGTGAGAAGAAGTTTGTAATGTCAACTTAAAGATCGAACGCCATCCAAAAATGCTCAAATAAATGAACGGGCTCTGTAGAAAAGTACTATATCAACCAAAGACATCATTAAGACATACTGTGGAAGCTTGCTGTTGTTTTTTCCAGAAAATCTCATAAAATACTAAATCCTTTTCAGCCTGTGTGAGTGTAGGAAGGAGAAACATCACTGTTCTGTCAGAGTGAGACGCTCCATCTTCTTAGCTGCCTCTTCTGTCCGAACCTTTGACTTTTTCTCTGGACTGGGAGTGTTGGGATAATCCCTATTACCAAAAATAGTACTACCCACTCGCACGTTGGTTGAACCCACCTCAATCTAAAGGAGGAAATGAAAGAGGAGATATACCTCAGAAGGGTATAAACTTAGAGAAACAGCATGAGCATTCGAGTAGTAATGGGTAGCCTAATCAATATCTGATCATTCAATATGTTAAGAACGTATTGTGTTAGCAATTAACAAGGCTGAGACAGTGGAACTTACCGCGTGTTCAAAGTCAGTGGACATGCCCATACTAAGCTCAACATCCTCAAGCGGGAGCTGTAGACTGGTACACACTTCCTGTCGCCGACTCAGCAAAGCCTGGTTGGTGATGCACAACAGACGTAACACACACACACACACACACCTATAGAGCTTTACCAAAATCTGTAAAATAAAAAATGAGGGTAATCATAACAGAAAAATACCTGAAAATCTGGGTTAGGACCATCAGCTAGGTCGTAGCCATAGCGACCAATGGTCATGAGTCCGGAGAAGTGTAGGGCGGAGCATTTGGATAAAATGTGTTTCACTGTGGTCACGGTCTCACCAGGAGGCAGTCCATGTTTACCTAGAGGCAATATACACAGTGTACAAAACATTAAGAACACATGCTCTTTCCATGACAGACTGACCAGGCCAATCCAGGTGAAAGCTATGATCCCTTATTGATGTCAATTGCTAAATCCACTTCAAATCAGTGTAGATGAAGGGGAGGAGACCGGTTAAAGAAGGATTTGTAAGCCTTGAGACATGGATTGTGTATGTGTGCCATTCAGAGGGTGAATGGGCAAGACAAAATATTTAACTGCCTTTGGGTGTGGTAGTAAGTGCCAGGCGCACCAGTTTGTGTCAAGAACGGCAATGTTCTGTCTGTGTGTGTGTGTGTGTGTGTGTGTGTGTGTGTGAGAAGCAGGCTGACTTTATTGTCATAAGTCTTGCCCTGGATGCAGAACTGAGCGATTTCCGCTAGATGGGCCAGCTGCAAAGTCGAAATTGGCTAGATATACAAAAATATACACTACCGGTCAAAGGTTTTAGAACATTCAAGTTTTTTCTATATTTTTACTATTTTCTACATTGTAGAATAATTGTGAAGACATCAAAACTATGACATAACAAATATGGAATCATGTAGTAACCAAAAAAGTGTTAAACAAATAATAAATAAATAAATATTTGAGATTCTTCAAATAGCCACCCTTTGCCTTGATGACAGCTTTGCACACTCTTGGCATTCTCTCAACCAGCTTCAGCTGGAATGCTTTTCCAACATTCTTGAAGGAGTTCCCACATATGTTGAGCACTTGTTGGCTGCTTTTCCCTCACTCTGTAGTCCGACTCATCCCAAACCATCTCAATTTGGTTGAGGTCGGGGGATTGTGGAGGCCAGGTCATCTGATGCAGCACTCCATCACTCTCCTTCTTGGTAAAATAGCCCTTCCACAGCCTGGAGGTGTGTTGGGTCATTGTCCTGTTGAAAAACAAATGATAGTCCCACTAAGCCCAAACCAGATGGGATGGCGTATAGCTGTAGAATGCTGTGGTAGCCATACTGGTTAAGTGTGCCATGAATTCTAAATAAATCACAGACAGTGTCACCAGCAAAGCACCCCCACACCATAACACCTCCTCCTCCATGCTTTAAGGTGGGAAATGCACATGCGGAGATCATCCGTTCACCCACACCGCGTCTCACAAAGACACGGCGGTTGGAACCAAAAATCGCCAATTTGGACTCCAGACCAAAGGACAAATTTCCACCGGTCTAACATCCATTGCTCGTGTTTCTTGGCCCAAGCAAGTCTCTTCTTATTATTGGTGTCCTTTAGTAGTGTTTTTTTTGCAGCAATTCGACCATGAAGGCCTGATTCACACAGTCTCCTCTGAACAGTTGATGTTGAGATGTGTCTGTTACTTGAACTCTGTGAAGCAATTATTTGGGCTGCAATTTCTGAGGCTGTTAACTCTAATGAAGAAACTTTCAAAGTTCTTGAAATGTTCCGTATTAAAGTAATGATGGACTGTCGTTTCTCTTTGCTTAATTGAGCTGTTCTTGCCATAATATGGACTTGGTCTTTTACCAAATAGGGCTATCTTCTGTATACCTTGTCACAACACAACTGATTGGCTCAAACCCATTAAGAAGGAAATAAATTCCACAAATTAACTTTTAAGAAAGCACACCTGTTAATTGAAATGCCTTCCAGGTGACTACCTCACGAAGCTGGTTGAGAGAATGCCAAGAGTGTGCAAAGCTGTCATCAAGGCAAAGGGTGGCTATTTGAAGAATCTCAAATATAAGATATATTTTGATTTGTTTAACACTTTCTTGGTTACTACATGATTCCATATGCTTTATTTCATAGTTTTGAGGTTTTCACTATTATTCTACAATGTAGAAAATAGTAAAAATAAAGAAAAACCCTTGAATGAGTAGGTGTTCTAAGACTTTTGACTGGTAGTGTGTGTGTATATATATATATATACACATACACACACAGTGGGGGAAAAAAGTATTTAGTCAGCCACCAATTGTGCAAGTTCTCCCACTTAAAAAGATGAGAGAGGCCTGTCATTTTCATCATAGGTACACGTCAACTATGACAGACAAATTGAGAATTTTTTTCCCAGAAAATCACATTGTAGGATTTTTTATGAATTTATTTGCAAATTATGGTGGAAAATAAGTATTTGGTCACCTACAAACAAACAAGATTTCTGGCTCTCACAGACCTGTAACTTCTTCTTTAAGAGGCTCCTCTGCCCTCCACTCGTTACCTGTATTAATGGCACCTGTTTGAACTTGTTATAAGTATAAAAGACACCTGTCCACAACCTCAAACAGTCACACTCCAAACTCCACTATGGCCAAGACCAAAGAGCTGTCAAAGGCCACCAGAAACAAAATTGTAGACCTGCACCAGGCTGGGAAGACTGAATCTGCAATAGGTAAGCAGCTTGGTTTGAAGAAATCAACTGTGGGAGCAATTATTAGGAAATGGAAGACATACAAGACCACTGATAATCTCCCTCGATCTGGGGCTCCACGCAAGATCTCACCCCGTGGGGTCAAAATGACCACAAGAATGGTGAGCAAAAATCCCAGAACCACACGGGGGGACCTAGTGAATGTCCTGCAGAGAGCTGGGACCAAAGTAACAAAGCCTACCATCAGTAACACACTACGCCGCCAGGGACTCAAATCCTGCAGTGCCAGACGTGTCCCCCTGCTTAAGCCAGTACATGTCCAGGCCCGTCTGAAGTTTGCTAGAGTGCATTTGGATGATCCAGAAGAGGATTGGGAGAATGTCATATGGTCAGATGAAACCAAAATATAACTTTTTGGTAAAAACTCAACTCGTCGTGTTTGGAGGACAAAGAATGCTGAGTTGCATCCAAAGAACACCATACCTACTGTGAAGCATGGGGGTGGAAACATCATGCTTTGGGGCTGTTTTTCTGCAAAGGGACCAGGACGACTGATCCGTGTAAAGGAAAGAATGAATGGGGCCATGTATCGTGAGATTTTGAGTGACAACCTCCTTCCATCAGCAAGGGCATTGAAGATGAAACGTGGCTGGGTCTTTCAGCATGACAATGATCCCAAACACACCGCCCGGGCAACGAAGGAGTGGCTTCGTAAGAAGCATTTCAAGGTCCTGGAGTGGCCTAGCCAGTCTCCAGATCTCAACCCAATAGAAAATCTTTGGAGGGAGTTGAAAGTCTGTGTTGCCCAGCGACAGCCCCAAAACATCACTGCTCTAGAGGAGATCTGCATGGAGGAATGGGCCAAAATACCAGCAACAGTGTGTGAAAACCTTGTGAAGACTTACAGAAAACGTTTGACCTGTGTCATTGCCAACAAAGGGTATATAACAAAGTATTGAGAAACTTTTGTTATTGACCAAATACTTATTTTCCACCATAATTTGCAAATAAATTCATTAAAAATCCTACAATGTGATTTTCTGGAGAAAAAAAATCTCAATTTGTCTGTCATAGTTGACGTGTACCTATGATGAAAATTACAGGCCTCTTCTTTTTAAGTGGTAGAACTTGCACAATTGGTGGCTGACTAAATACTATTTTTCCCCACTGTATATACACATACAGTGAGGGAAAAAAGTATTTGATCCCCTGCTGATTGTGTACGTTTTCCCACTGACAAAGACATGATCAGTCTATAATTTTAATGGTAGGTTTGTTTGAACAGTGAGAGACAGAATAACAACAACAAAATCCAGAAATACACATGTCAAAAATGTTATAAATTGATTTGCATTTTAATGAGGGAAATAAGTATTTGACCCCTCTCAATCAGAAAGATTTCTGGCTCCCAGGTGTCTTTTATACAGGTAACGAGCTGAGATTAGGAGCACACTCTTAAAGGGAGTGCTCCTAATCTCAGTTTGTTACCTGTATAAAAGACACCTGTCCACAGAAGCAATCAATCAATCAGATTCCAAACTCTCCACCATGGCCAAGACTAAAGAGCTCTCCAAGGATGTCAGGGACAAGATTGTAGACCTACACAAGGCTGGAATGGGCTACAAGACCATCGCCAAGCAGCTTGGTGAGAAGGTGACAACAGTTGGTGCGATTATTCACAAATGGAAGACACACAAAATAACTGTCAATCTTTCTCGGCCTGGGGCTCCATGCAAGATCTCACCTCATGGAGTTGCAATGATCATGAGAACGGTGAGGAATCAGCCCAGAACTACATGGGAGGATCTTGTCAATGATCTCAAGGCAGCTGGGACCATAGTCACCAAGAAAACAATTGGTAACACACTACGCTGTGAAGGACTGAAATCCTGCAGCGCCTGCAAGGTCCCCCTGCTCAAAAAAGCACATATTCAGGGCCGTCTGAAGTTTGCCAAAGAACATCTGAATGATTCAGAGGAGAATTGGGTGAAAGTGTTGTGGTCAGATGAGACCAAAATCGAGCTCTTTGGCATCAACTCAACTCGTTTGGAGGAGGAGGAATGCTGCCTATGACCCCAAGAACACCATCCCCACCGTCAAATATGGAGGTGGAAACATTATGCTTTGGGGGTGTTTTTCTGCTAAGGGGACAGGACAACTTCACCGCATCAAAGAGACGATGGACGGGGCCATGTACCATCAAATCTTGGGTGAGAGCCTCCTTCCCTCAGCCAGGGCATTGAAAATGGGTCGTGGATGGGTTTTCCAGCATGACAATGACCCAAAACACACGGCCAAGGCAACAAAGGAGTGGCTCAAGAAGAAGCACATTAAGGTCCTGGAGCTGCCTAGCCAGTCTCCAGACCTTAATCCCATAGAAAATCTGTGGAGGGAGCAGAAGGTTTGAGTTGCCAAACATCAGCTTCAAAACCTTAATGACTTGGAGAAGATCTGCAAAGAGGAGTGGAACAAAATCCCTCCTGAGATGTGTGCAAACCTGGTGGCCAACTACAAGAAACTTCTGACCTCTGTGATTGCCAACAAGGGTTTTGCCACCAAGTACTAAGTCATGTTTTGCAGAGGGGTCAAATACTTATTTCCCTCATTAAAATGCAAATCAATTTATAACATTTTTGACATGTGTTTTTCTGGATTTTTTTGTTGTTATTCTGTCTCTCACTGTTCAAATAAACCTACCATTAAAATTATAGACTGATCATTTCTTTGTCAGTGGGCAAACGTACAAAAACAGCAGGGGATCAAATACTTTATTCCCCCTCACTGTATAATTATTTGGGCCTAATTCAGATAGTGGGCCTAATTCACATAATGCAGGTAATAACAAGATGCCCAGCGCTTCAAGGCAAGCTTCCTCCATCCTCACCCTCAAAATTTCAGTTGCATCTTGCGCCCTACACTGTGACTGGCAGCACAGTGTGTGTGTTTGTCTTTCTATAGGATTAAACAATGCTGTTATGGCAAGAAAAAATCTTAATGACTTTCCTATACAGATTCAATTGGTTATCCGCTCCATAGCAAACTGCTCTATCCGCACTGATTGGTAATTTAATTTAATGTCGAGCTTAATGTAAAAATAAATGTATATTTCAGAGGTTTAAAAAGGAACAGAAAGGAATTTTATAAACCTGTACTTTTTTGGGGTTTGAACCGGTACAGAACTTTATTTTGCTGGTCGGAACAGTGGAACGGAATGAAAAAAATTATAGTTCTGTTCAGAACAAAACGATTGGAAAATAAACACTTACTTTCCTCCCCACTGGTGTTGATCTGAACCATGATCTTTAACGTCTGCGTGCTAACTGTTCTCAACCGCTGCCAGGAGCTGTTTACCTTGTCGGCCAACTTGACAGAGTCCACTGTCTCCACCATGAACAGGTTTGGTACACCTGTGGGAAGTGTGTGAGTAGAGTTAAGATATGCCAGTGCTACTAAAGGCTTCTATGGAATGGTGTTCAAAGCTTGCTTTTTGACAAAGCTTTGACAAAGACCAATGGGTATAGAGAGACATGCAAGTTGATGTTGACAGCTTTAGATATGGAGGCATAACATGTTGCACAAGAAGTGACATGTTACTCACCCAAAAGTTTGTTGACATTGTTCTTCTGTAAATGGCCAATAAAATGCCACTCAATTTCTGGGCATGATTCTAAAATCTAGATTAGGACAGAAATATTATTTTTATTGGTTGCTGGATAGAGAGACACATTACATAAAGTAAAGATTAATGTGACTTTAAACCTTTCAACAAACCTGAGGATTTGAAGCTTTATCCACAAGTTCATTCACCTACAAGTGAGGGGTAAAATGACAAAAAAAAGTCAAGCCGCAAAGATCTTACCACTACTTGTAAAGGTTTTATGTGATACTGTACATGTTCCTATCATAATAATAATATATATCATTTAGCAGATTTATTTTATCCAAAGCGACTTAATCACGCGTGCATTGGATTATACGTACGGGTGGTCCCGGAAATCAAACCCACTATCCTGGCATTAAAAGCGCCATTCTCTACCAACTGAGCTCCTTGCCCTTGATCACGACTCTCAGTTCCATTACATTACACAAGACTCATTGAACGAAGACGTCTTCTGTACAGGAGGGTGTTTTGTAAAGAGCCCCGACGCTCAATCTGAACATTAACACGCGTTGCTTGCGGTACTGGAAGCATAAGGACCTTATCTTACATATCAACAATAAATACTTTTCTAAAATCAAAAAGGTTAAATTGATACACACCTTGATAGGGTTCCCACTTGGCTACATATCCATGTTACAGCGCTTGTTTATGGAAAAAGACGGAAGACAAGAGGCGACCACCTGTGCTAATTAGCTATCTAGCATGCTCCGGACACCTGTGTGGAAGTGTAACTCAGGAAGTGTAGAGGAAGTGTAGTTTCATCGGATGGAGGCACCCATAGCTGTATGGATCTGTAACTGCTACAGTAAGTATCTTTATTATTTGAAGGATTCTATCTCGCTGATGAAAGATAAGGGCCATATGTTTCGAGTGATGATTATTGACTGAGCTACAGAGGACCATGCTCTACTAACTGAACTACAGATGACCAGTGTACAATACTCAGTACAACACTCACATAGTTTTCACCAAAGTTGCGATGTCCTTTTCGGTAAGCCTCGATCACCATGTCAGGTGGTTTCGTCTTACTTACAGCTACCAGGCGGGGCGGCACCGCAGGCAACGTCTTGGATGGAAGAGGCGGTGGGTTAACGAAGAGCAATAAAATATATTGTAAATAAATGAATGATAAAAGTGTGTCACATCTTGGATAAACCTGAACCCAGCCGACATCTGAGGCTCATTCAGGAAGGCATATTGGGGACACAATACAGAACATAAATATTTTGTGTAGAGCAGGTATGCCTCTGTCATGTAGAGAACTGAATTGTGTTAGCTCTTTTGGCAACGTTTAGAACATTGTGCTCTCCTTAACACAACCCAGATATGCTGTCCAAATCAGTGGTCCAAATGGAATTATTTTAGCCTGCTGGCATTTCCTTACAACCAATATGACAGAAATCTGAAAGAGTTTTCTTTGTCTGTCCCCATATTATTGTGCGCAACAGTGAATTTGCCAGATTAATTGAATGAACCCTGGCTGGAATTGACAGTTGCTCCATCTAATTTCTGTGTATGTGTGGTCTGATATGTCAACTGGAGTCTATCAATTTCTAGTATACCTACTGTTTTCAATTGTGGTGGGATGGTTTCAATTGAACCAATCAAAACGTTAATTCACTTACGAAACAGGAGTGAACGGAAGTTGATGGAAACATTTTTTGGCAACGTTTATGAAACATTGTTGACGTTACCATCAAAATTATTAAAGCACCAGCAGATTAGCAAATCGTCTAGAACCATCCACGCGCAAACTGGTTGCATGCAGCGTGCGCCTTTAAAGAGAGTTTGCCGTAAGATAATTAGTATGTATCAAAATGTAATGTGCATGTTATGGTGTGCTGTCTCAATCCAAAGGTTGGTGTTTTGCCTTTCATAACTGGTCCACCGACACTCAAACGATAAGACCATTTCGCACGACATGACTGTCTAAAGTAGATACACTGGTTCTTCCCAAGATAATACTGCACTTGATTTACCTTGAGGCGACGTGCCGCGGCTTGATTTACCCTGTCTACCACCGCTTGCAACGCTTTTCCAACCTCCTCCGACATTCCTACTTTCCACATACCCTCAATACGCCGACTGTGCGTAAGCAACACCAACGTGATCAACCTGTCAAAATAAAAGTCCTATTTCATAGAAAGCCTGTGTGAGGCGAGAGGGCGACGCCTTGTGTTGACTGTTGATAAACCATTCCGTGTCCATTCAATCTAGTGTACACTATCTAGCTGTGTGTGTGTTGAATTAGGGCAGTTATTTACTAGTGGATAATCTACCTAACTATAAATTGCCTTTAGAGGGATACTTCTTATCTATTTCCACAGGCAGATGAACGTATGGATAGGGCCCTGCACGGCATGAATGTTAAACCCGAGCCCTACCATGACGTTCAGGCCCAGGCCCGATTGCATCTGCCGAAATTAAGGCCCGGCCCGAAACCAGAAATAATTTACTCCGTTAGTAAATCAATTACGGCGGCTCTGGGTCTGTGAGTATCTATATAGCAATGCTGGCTCCGCTTGGGCTCCTCTGCTCAATGACGAGACATGAGAGCAGTTTGCTACTTTTCGTCATCAAGGAACGTTATTTTCTGTGTAATTATCTCTCCTGTTTTATCTTTGACTTCCCTTCTGAGATTTATCTTAGTCAGATATAACTGTATTGCGCAGCTGAGCAGCAAATGGCTCAGCTTCAAAATGTTAGTAATCAATTTAGTGATACCCGAGCTCTGCCCATACACTAATTATTGATGAAAAAACGTCCCCTACCCAATGCATAATGTCGGGCTCGGTTCGAGTAACAGAGCTCTACTTGTGGATACCATTTGTATGTCTCTGCGTGCAGTTTGGAGGAAGTTGCTAACTAGTGTTAGCGCAATGACTGGAAGTCTATGGTAACTGCTAGCATGCTAGTAGATACAATAGACTTCCAGTCATTGCTCGAACACTAGTTAGCATTGGCTCGCGAAACGTACTCTAACTTCCTTCATACTGGAGACAGAGACATAAAAATGGTATCCACGAGTTCATCTGACTCTGGGGTGGTAGATAAAGGGCCTCATAGCCAACATCCCAAAGTATCCCTTTTAAATGTAACTTCTAATAAAAGGCTATGTATGCACACCTTGTCAAGAATAAATCAATCAAGTGCTTGAAACATGTAGAGCTAAAAACACAATTACGCAAAAATAAAGAAAACAAATATCCAAGTTTATTCACAAGATTTCACAATTCGAAACATTTCCAAATGAAACATCTGTTTAAATGTATCGGAAAAAAACAGTCCATTATTCCACTTTCTTGAAGCCGATTCTGCCATCCCAACCCCTCATACTCTCTCAAGTGCCTCCAACATGATGATACTGTTTCCTCGGATTACCTACAGATAGTTAAAATAAAAAGAAATAGCATAATTCATTGATTTACGTGCAAAAAAAAAAAAAAAAGGTATGTGGTGACATTGATGAATAAAAGCTAAATGTGTCTGTCCCCAGAGGTAGTGTGGATGTAGTTAACAATGCTGTAGATACTGACCACCATGCCTATCGTGTTCTGTAGCCCCCCTGGGGCCATCTCCAAGCAGTCATCCATCACCAAGTTCATGAAGGGGTCAAACCCTCGCAGGACTCCTTGGACCTGCCTGCCACCGTTCAGCTTCACTGAGGGACAAGATGTACAACTGTAAGAACAATAAGACAGGGTTCCCCGATTTTCATTGTTAGCCACAAGACTAAAAACACCAGGGAATGAGCTCAGTGATTTTAATTTTAAGAAATCTGTTCCCAAGTATTCCCATGCATATGAGACGCGTAATGGTATACCAATGTAAGCAAGGCTTGGAATTATATTTTAGTCAAACATCTGTTTGGGCTTCTTGCAGTCTACAAATGATTTTTAATTATAAACTGGGTGGCTCGAGCCCTGAATGCTGATTGGTTGACAGCCGTGGTATATCAGACCGTATACCACGGGTATGACAAAACATTTATTTTTACTGCTCTAATTACGTTGGTAACCAGTTTATAATAGCAATAAGGCACCTCAGGGGTTTGTGGTATATGGCCAATATACCACAGCTAAGGGCTGAATCCAAGCCCTCCGCGTTGCGCATAAGAACAGCCCTTAGCCGTGGTATATTGGCCATATACCACACCTCTCGGGTCTTATTGCTTAATTATGTTCCAGCCCCCCGACCATCCGCTCAAGAAAAAAAAAGATGATCCCTGCAATAACGCAAAACAAGTTGGACACTTTTCATTTCAGTCCTTCACCTCCCTGACCAAGGCCTTCTCCCCCGATTGCTCAGTTTGGCCGTGCGGCCAGCTCTAGGAAGTGTCTTGGTGGTTTCAAACTTATTCCATTTAAGAATGATTGAGTCCACTGTGTTCTTGGGGACCTTCAATGCTGCAGACATTTTTTGGTACCCTTCCCCAGTTCTGTGCCTCGACACAATGCTGTCTCGGAGCTCTACAGACAATTCCTTCGACCTCATGTCTTGGTTTTTGCTCTGACATGCACTGTCAACTGTGGGACCTTATATAGACAGGTGTGTGCCTTTCCAAATCATGTCCAATCAATTGAATTACCACAGGTGGACTCCAATCAAGTTGTAGAAACATTAAGGATGATCAAAGGAAACAGGATGCACCGGAGCTCAATTTCAAGTCTCATAGCAAAGGGTCTGGTATGTTTTTACTTTTTTTTTTTTTTATACATTTGCAAGAATTTCTAAAACCTGTTTTTGCTTTGTTATTATGGGGTATTGTGTGTAGATTGATGAGAAAAAAACCATTTAATCTATTTTAGAATAAGGCTTTAACTTAACAAAATGTGGAAAGTCAAGGGGTCTGAATACTTTCTGAATGCACTGCATCAAATTAACGTTTTAGCGACTAAGTCGCTTTGGATAAAAGCGTCTGCTAAATGGCATATTATTTATTATTATTTAGCGCAATGTTCCAAATGCCTGTATCGCAAAAATCTAGTTTTTAAAAATGTTTTTATGAGCGTTTGTTTCTCTGGTCTCCTTTGCTCCTTCTGTGCACCTTCCCACTCGCACACAGACACCATGCTCCTCACAACTACAAAGATCACTTCTTCCTCTCTGACAAGCAGTTTCAACTTGCTACTTGGTATCGTTAGATTCCCCTTCTAACGATACCCTTATGTCTCAACTGCCAACACTTTTAACAGAGCAGACACTTAAAAACGTGAGTATCAATTAACATGATTATGTTAAATTAATGTTCAGTTTGTCGCGCACGGCATTGCGGCTAGCAGCATTTTAGCCACATGCTGTTGTGCTAGCTGTCTTGTTTGTGTTTTATAAATGTGCAATGAGCATATAAAGACTAATTTATATAAGAAATTGACAACTCGTTCTCATTCTGAGAAATAAGCATCTTATCCAGGTAGGCCACTTGATTTCAACATCTAAACAAAGTGAACAGGCTATGTTGATTCATTACAGTTCAACTGTTCTACCTTGTTAGCAAGCAAATAGATCCAAGTAGGCTAGACTTCAAATATAAAAGATTAGCTGGCTACTCACTAGCATGTGGACTTGTGCTAGAGAGATTGTTTATGAGAAGTGTTAATGTTCTATAATGCCTGGTACCAGAAATTAGTCATTGTTATAGTTCTGGTAAAATGTGTAACAAAAAGGGTATTTCCATAGACTTGAAAGCCAGATCAGTGATTGCAAAAAGCAGGTTAAACCTGGGGTTGCGTTAACACAGGATTTAGCGTTTTTCAACCAGAAAAGGCAGATCTAAAATTGTACATTCTGCTTGGCTTCAGTAAGGGTTCGCTCCAAATCAGGAATGTAAAAGGACACATTTAGTTGCACCTCTCCACTCGGATGAAATATCTTATCCTTGCTCTTATCATTGGATCACCAGACTGATGTGTAGGCAATCTTTTCTCCAGTACTTTCCTCCGGTAGCAAAACATTAGGAAATGTAGCTGGCTACATTCTTTCTGTGATAAACAATAGAAATATGACGGCCTGTTCCCTTTAGTTTTTTTCCGGCACTGAGCAGATTTCAGATCTGCTGAGCGCAAACTTCAATCAAAAACAATGGAGAAAATGCATCCCATAACATTTTAACATGGAAATGGCTGTTCTATCATTCAGCCTACAGTAGCAGCCAATGTGTGGTGTTCAATGTGGGCCTACATTCCATGAGACTTTTGAATGCAGGGCTTGACATTAACCTGTTTATCCACTTGTCCTTCAGACAAGGAGGTGACTGAAAATGTTGTGTTTGATGCAAGAAACCACTTTACAAAATAAAATCCATTATTATTCCCATACCATTCTTACAGAAAATCAGACAAATTATCGTACCCTCTGCCTATTAGCTACTTAGCTTACTCAAGCCTGTCTCAAAATAAATCACTGCCCCTTTAAGACAAGAAAAGCACTTCACATGACTGGCTTTTCAAAGAGGTCTAGAAACGTACATGTTTTGTGCTCTTGTAGGAAGCTATCACTCCCCCATTGCTGACTAGAAATGATCTATAACTGGGTCTAGTAACTCACTACTAGCAAAGGATATGAACAAAATGTTCACACGTGGCTACACGCAGCTCTCGCTTTGATCTCAAAACAAGCGCTTCTACTCACGACCGCTCATGGTGTAAACACAGTCCAGTTCAGAGTGAATGGCACAGATCCATATATGGCAACGGTCTATTTGCATATAGGCCTACTGCAGCTCTGATTGGTTATGCCCCACTGGTCCGTGTAGAATCCTACTCCGATGCGTTGTGCCTACAACAAAATCTCACGCTTCACCATTTGACATTCCGACGTAAGAATCTGGGATTGGCGGATGCCAGGAGAACTCTACCTGCCCAATGCGTAGTTACTGTAAAGTTTGGTGGAGGAGTAATAATTGTCTGGGATGTTTTTCATGGTTTGAGCTAGGTCCCTTAGTTCCAGTGAAGGGATATCTTAATGCTACAGCATACAATGACATTCTAGACGATTCTGTGCTTCCAACTTTGTGGCCACTGTTTGGGGACGTCCCTTTCCTGTTTCAGCATGACAATGCCCCCGTGCACAAAGCGAGGTCCATACAGAAATGGTTTGTCAAGATCGGTGTGGAAGAACTTGACTGGCCTGCACAGAGCCCTGACCTCAACCCCATCGAACACTTTTGGGATGAATTGGAATGCCGACTGCGAGCCAGGCGTAATCGTCTAACATCAGTGCCCAACATCACTAATGCTCTTGTGGCTGAATGGAAGCAAGTCCCCTGCAGCAATGTTCCAACATCTAGTGGAAAGCCTTCCCAGAAGAGTGGAGGCTGTTATAGCAGCAAAGGGGGGGACCAACTCTATATTAATGCCCATGATGTTGGAATCAGATGTTGGACAAGCAGGTGTCCACATACGTTTGGTCATAAATTGAGAAAAAAAATCTAGATATGATTTTTAGGCCACATTACCCAGCCCTAATTGGGTTTGTCAACATTATGCAATCAGAGTCTCTGCACCCAAAGAGATGAGGTTTGTCCATTCAACTCAGCAGAACCATGGATATTCAGAATCAGTACTCACACGAAAGCTTCTTGTCCATGAACCTGAAATGAAAAAAAAAAACATGTTATTATTAGTTGCTAAATAAAGATTGCTACACCACAAATTGTATGGCTATACCAGAGAGGGTTTGGCTGTGCATGTGTATACCAGGCTAGCTCTGGTCCACGCGCATACGTCTGATTTGCACTACGAGCTGCATGCGCGTGGACCTGGACCAGAACTAGTTTTGTCGGTAAAGCATCAAAAGTTTGTTGAAATTACCCTTTTTACACAAGAGATCCATATAGCACGTTGGGGACAGAATGTACACTGGCTACCCTTCTATATTGCACACCCTTTAGGTTTGTCCATTTTTCATCTCACACGGTTTTACATGAATATTTTAAAATGGCTTTTATTTATTTCAATAGTTCCCTGGTCATGTGACCTACCACCCTAAAAAACATGCTCTAGATTGTCCGTTCACTAAGCCTTCATATCAGACACTGTTGTTTGTCTACTTTCATCTAACGCTATTAGACTTAAATATGCAAGCGTGGGACCCAGTAGGTGTGGACATTGCTGCACAGTGGACACCCACACTCAGAAGTCATTTGGGGGGTTAAAAAATAGTATATGCTACTTGTATTATTCTCCTGTAAATTGGTGTAGAATGGGGCATAAAGGAAATTACCGCTAATAGATTATGCTGATAAGGAAAACAGCATACAGTTTTGGCCTGTGTATTCATTTGCCTATAACTAAATCAGAATTCCATTATGTTTACATTAAAAAAAAGAGACTACTTCAAAATGAGAAGATCCTGCCATGGAAAAGACGACTGGGAGGACATAAAGTGGAAAGGAGGGGAAATAACTCCCACCATGCAGCAGGACACCTTCAGCTGAGGGGTCTTTGTAATGCAGGTTTGATAGTTATATTTTCAATAATGAATGGTTAGCTGTTATGTGACAATTAGGTCAAAAACTCCATTTTATTTTTTGGTGTAGAGGGCCAAGGAAGTTGCACAGAACTTCCAACATCACCTCCCAAATGGATATAGAACCTTCACAAAAACACATGGAGCAACTGCGAAAATAAATGGCTGAGGATATACTAAAAATGTCTGGTATGTAAATGACATTTTATTCAAAGTAAATGTCAGTTCTTTATTTTTTATGTAGTTGTGTGGGACAACCATATGTTCAGTTCATGCCTATGATTTCCGAGTTCAACAAAGCCAACAACTGCTTCATGTGTGCCACTGATAAAGAACCTGGATGTGGCCCAGATACTGACTGGGTTAGTAACTTTATGTAACATGTTTATAATCTTTTGACAACAGTGACGGCATGTAAGACAATTTATGATATAACACAATGGATGGCTAATTTGTCATACTGCATTGATATTTATAATGTGTTACGCTTTGTTCCGTTTTAGATTGAATGTTTTGCATGCCAACAGTTGTTCCATGTGCTGTGCCTAGGGATGAATACAAAATAGTTCAACATAGTGAAGAACACAAACTGGAAGTGCTGTCTTTGCTAAACCCCATCCACGCTGAAGAGGCTCTGAAATTTACATCAACCAGGGATAAAGAGAAAGTGAACACTGAAATGTTTTGTAATTATTTGAAGTAAACTGTCTGTTGACATGTTGGAAAAGTTTAAAGGTCTACAATTTGTGTTTAATTTGTCAATATTCAATTGTAATTCATTGATTATCTGGCCACCATTATTGTGGTTACATGTTCAGTGTATGTATTGACCAGCGAACCCACTGCAGCCTACCTTACTATCCGTGCAGTTCACTCTCCATCCCTGCTTTGGACAATGAATAAGGTGACTCTCGTACTTTGCCCTTTTCCTTTATGGTTGATATTAATGATGAAAGGAGATATTCTCTTTATCTCTCCTATTGTGTTCCGCTGTTAAATACTTTAGCAAAATGAAGACTTAAGGAAAGGGAAAATAAGTACTCAGAACTACCAATTATTATAGATAAACATTAAAGAAAAGAGAGTAAACACAACACTGGACTGAACCCCCTAATTGTCAAAATAATATTCTAATATGTACAACAATATAGAAGATACATAACTAGGTTATGCAATGTGGGTATATATCCACTACACACTTCTTAGGTGTGTAACTGACATGACCAAGGAGCTATTGAAATTCAAAACTATGAAAAATGTATGTAACACCGCGTGAGATTACAGTACACAAACAATATATGTGTGCAATATAGAAGGGTAGTCAGTGGACATTCTGAACCTTGTTTGAAAATGTATGCACTCACTAACTGTAAGTCGCTCTGGATAAGAGCGTCTGCTAAATGACTAAAAATGTCAAAGTAAAGGTCAGTAGGTCACATGACCAGAGAGCTATTGAAGAATGAAAAACAGGAAAATTCATGTAAAATCACCTGAGATGAAAATTGACAAACTAAAGGTTGTGCTACATAAAAGGCTACTCAGTGGAGATTCTGAAAGTAGTTTGAGGGTTGTAAGTCATATGACTAAGGAGCTATTGAAATTTGAAACTTTTCAAACAAAATGGTGTGCAATGTGTAGATCCACTGAGTGTACATTATGAACCTTGTTTGAGGTGTATGGTTCACATGACCAAGGCTCTATTGAATTTTAAAAATTATAATACATAATTTAAAATAGTGCGAGATGTAAATCAACAAAAAAGTGTGTGCAATATGTGTCTCTGCCATCTGGTTAGCTAGAACCCGTTTTTAAAGTTTTAGGAGTAATGGTTAAAGAGCTTTTAAAATTTGAAAAATTAGATTTGTCACTATGTTGACGGTCCCTACTGCTGTTGGTGGATGTAAGGAAAACTACAGGCGAATATCCAACCTCAATCTGTCTTTACCTCGGTCATTTTAATGCGACAGAGCGCAGAGGCAACTCGTTGTTGTCGAGCGATGGACCAGAGCTAGCCCGCCACAAGCTTGGTCAACCTGAGAACCCAACTGTTCAAATCGCTTTCGTTCATAATACTGACACTTTTAATGATATTCGTGCATCAATTCAATGTCAATGATTGCATGGTTTAGTTATCTAACCGTTTAATTCAATAGCTAGCTATACATTTTACTAGCCACAACAGCGTTAGCTAGCTACCGACTACGGGTGGCTTTGTGCTAGCGCGTAGTTACCTATGATAGCTTGCTAGCCACAGTATATACAATGAACAGCGAAATATTAGCGATTAAACTGGATCGAAGATTAAATATCTCTATATATACTTTTTTTCAACTCACTTTTTCAACTCTGGTGGGTGTGCTTTACTCATGTTTCTTCTTTTTGTTGTGGACCTTCAGTTCGTAAGACTTGCTTCTGTGAAAAAAGCGGAAAGCATGTACGAGCAGAGCCGGGAAACGTCTTCTTCTATGATATAATAGCGGTCCGCAAACAAACGTTAAAGGTGCATGCCGCCACCTACTGTGCTGGAGGTTGTGGTCAATGTAATCCATTAGCTCCACATTTCTAAATCCTCCTACCCAACTCCGTACTTCTAAAAAAAATTACTAAATAAAAGAGCCCAATTAACTTTTAAAAGACCCTCGCCCATCCCCAAATTCCCGTCCAAACCCCCCCCCCAACTTCCTCTAACATAAACGGGCATGTCACCGCTCTACTGTATGGGAGTAGATCATTGAAGAGTGGATGTACTGCATCTTGCTTTTTTTCTCTCTTCACATAAATTGCAGAACTACCTTGACAGAAAAGTTTTGTTCGAAATGTGTGCCTATTTACTGTGCCATATAACATTTCTTACTCTCCATAAATCAGAATTATTTGTTGATTTGAGGGTAGTTTCACAATCTGCATCAGTGTAAAAATGTGCCATGTAAATCAACAAATCACATTTTAGAATGCAGGGCAGTGCCACATCTGAACAACTCTGCAAGCCCAAGATCTTTTCTTATGTTGTAATGGATATCGTATATATAGATAGTATAGTATTGTGTCTATTGAATAATGTAGCAATATTTTATTCTGTAACAAGATCAATGGAGTAAACACAAAACATCTTAATGGGAGAATCCTTTTAATGAGGTATGTTCTAAGAAAAGGTTGCTAACTCGAACACAAAAAGGCACTTTTCCGAAGTAGAAAAAAAATACAAAAATTCAAATAAAATATTACTTTCTTTGAAAGGTAGAATCAGCGATGACGTAGATGCAGAAAGTAAACAGCATAGTGGGTCAATTTCCGAAACAACTAAGAGTGTCGAAGCGCGACGTCTACCTTTAAGTCTTTTTTTTTTACAAAACTGCAGAAAATGAATAAACCTGGTAAACCAATTTCTAACCAACAGTAGCAGGAAGGTTGCAATCACTGCTTGTTTTGCATAATATCCAAGACAAATCTTCTTCCAGAGAAAATGTTATGTTATGTCACATTGTTAAAGATGGACTTAACTGGCTCCATGAGTATGCATCACACACACAGACAGAAAGGCAGACGCATAGGTAAATAATCATGAAATTAATGCTAAATCAGTGTCACACTTACATATAAGTCCAATGCCATCAAGACTAAAAACAAATCCCATTAAATGGAAATATGGTCATCATGAGTCATCAAAACCTGACCATGTACTTTTTTTCACGCACATTTTCCCGTACCGAATTAAACATCTAAAAAGTTCAATGTGTTTCCATCGCATTTTCAACTCTACCGATAGTTTTGTCACAAAATGGTAGTAGATGCCAGGCACACCGGTTTGTGTCAAGAACTGCAACGCTGCTGGGTTTTTCACGCTCAACAGTTTCCCATGTGTTTCAAGAATGGTCCACCACCCAAAGGACATCCAGCCAACTTGACACAACTGTGGGAAGCATTGGAGTCAACATGGGCCAGCATCCCTGTGGAACGCTTTCAACACCTTGTACAGTCCATGGCCCTATGAATTGAGGCTGTTCTGAGGGAAAAAGGACTCAATATTAGGAAGGTGTTCATAATGTTTGGTATACTCAGTGTATCTTTCCACACTATGAGGTTGGAATAATACTGTGAAATGGTGAAAATGATGATAATGCCCTTTTAGTGTAAGAGCTGTTTGAAAAGACTGACTGAGATTTCAGCTTGTTTCGGTGGGATGGAGTACATTTTGGGTAAATCAGTTAATAGCAAATAAGAGTTCCAAACCTCGATCCCAATAACAGCTTTCAGTTTCCCTCTCCCCACTCAGCCCCCCCAGACAGTCCTAGCAAAATTCTTGCTAGAGAAATTGCTCTTTGCTAAGAAGCTATTTTTGTTTCTTTTTGACCATTTAAATTTAAAACAAAATCACAGTAAGGTACTTAATTATTACCCAGAAATGATTTGATATTGAGATAACAGCTGCACTGGACCTTTAATGCTCCAGCAACATGCTAAATTAGTTCTCGCATATATTCATTTCATTTCAACCAAAATCGACAAATGGATGGTTGGATCCGATCAACATTTGTAATGGAATATAAAATGTCTAAATCGAGAATCAACAATGACGAGGATTTAGGCCTGTTAAGATTGTTTCTGCACTGCTTTCACAGCATACCACTGTTGGCCAGTCACAAAATGAATTGTATCAGACAGCACACAAACAAAAACAAAAATAGAACAATAAATTGTTGCAACTTGAATCACATGTTGATATGAATTACATTCAAACAGCTATTCTGGTGAGTGGTCTAAATATAGCACACTTTAAATGTACATGAACACATATCATCTTGGGAACTCAGTACAGCTTGTTAAAAAAAACGAAGGAGTACATCATCTCAGATTTTGCTGTCAGGGTCATAATCGCTGCCCTCCTCATCGCCACTGACAACGAGGTGATCTTGGCAGTGTTGTAAGAAAGTGTCCAGTGTAACAAAAGCCTTCAGGCAGGGCACACAATGGTAGGCCCTCCGAAGCTTGGCCCCAGGCTTCTTAGAGATGCCCATGCCCTGACTGCACACGCTGCAGTGTCTCATACTCCCTGTAGGCTGATGCAGCTCCTCGTGCTCCTTCAGGGCAGACTGCAAAGAAAACACCTCAGCACAAGACGGGCAAGGAAACTCTCCCTCTTCCTCTGGAATTTTCTTTGGTCTCCCTCTGCCAGCCTTGACCAGTGTTCTTCCCACCTTCCGCGCTAGATTGATTTTAGACTTTTTTGGCGTCTTCTCAGCTAACTTGGGCTCCTTGGCTGATTTCCCAACCTGCTGAACTTGGCTTGGTGGTTCTTGACTATGGTTCTTGACATGTGCCTTAAGTGACAAGTGGTGCAAGAACACTTTGCCACAAACTTCACAGGGGTAAGTCTCTCTTTTCCTCCGCTTGCTAATCAGCGGCCTTGGATCTCTTCGGATATCCTTCTCTCTGCTGTGAGACTCTTGTCTGTGCAAGTACAGCTTGGCAGTGCTTAGGAAGACCCTATCACAGGAACGACAGGAGAGAAGCTGGCTCTTCTGCTTGGATTTTCCATTTACCTGCTTTCTCCCTCTTCCTTTGGGTTGGGATGGCCCAGACTTCTGCTGGGATATTCTATCGACCCCATTTGTGCATCCTCCTTTTGGTGGGAGATACTTAGAGATGCTCCACTCCTTCTGATGGGTGGATCGCTGATGGCAGGCAAGGCCAGCCCCAGAGCGAAAGCTCTTGACGCAAAGTGGGCATTGGCTTGGCCTGTCAGGATCTGGGGAACTAGTGGCATCAGGTGGGGGAGAGTCAGGTGGAGAAGAGTCAGGTCGGGGAGAGTCAGGTGGGGGAGAGTCAGGTGGGGGAGAGTCAGGTGGGGGAGAGTCAGGTGGGGGAGAGTCAGGTGGGGGAGAGTCAGGTGGGGGAGAGTCAGGTGGGGGAGAGTCAGGTGGGGGAGAGTCTGAGACGGCAGATTCAGGCGAGGGAGAGTCAGCGGGAGGGCTGACAACCTTCGAAGTTCGTGAGGCAGATTTACTGCAGCCAGCCTGCTGATGGTGAAGCAAAGCTTGCTTTTGGCTAAAGCTTTTACCACACGGAGCACAGGCATATAATCTGCTTTCATGATGGTGGGACTGGTGATGAAGGGATTTATTCTGGACACTCTGAGAGTCTGAGGTTGAAGCCTTGCATGCACTGCATGGAGCACCTAGCTGAGATTTACCACAACAGAGCTGACAAGGGGCTGCATCATGAATGCACTTGTGCAACTGCAGAGAGGATAGGAGAGAAAACTCCTTGCCACAGGAAAGGCATCGGTGACGCTTACGTAAGGCATGTTCTCCCTGCTGGTGGTGCAATAACTCGGCCATGTCAGAGAATCCCTGGCCGCACTCTGCGCACACACATGGGGACACATCAGGCAGTAGTTGGTTTTGGCTTTCACTCTCTTGCTTTTGTGCCACAAGTTTTGCCAGCTTTGTTAGAGCGTCTGATGCAGGCTTAGTCCGAGCAAACGACTCCTGGACTCTTGTAGTGTTCCAAGTGCAAGGAACTGCATCCATCTTCAACCAAGGCACCTAGTTGGAGGTACAGAGGACAGTCCTATTAGACACGTTCATGGATAAAGGAAATATATTACATTCCTCATCCTGATGAGGGAAAACTTAGCTATAGCCTACAAAACATTTCCTTGGTCTCTCTTTTTATAGCACAATGGTTGCCTGTATATCTGTCACTCTCTGTAGCTCGGTTGCTATTGCAACGACAGGATAGTGGGTTTCGATTCCCGGGACCACCCATACGTAAAATCTATGCACGCACGACTAAGTCGTTCTGGATAAAAGCGTCTGCTAAATGGTAAATTCCCCTTGACGGGTGCCTACCAACGAATGTTGTCTCAGTGACTTTTTTCAAGGTGTATGTCCCTAGAGTTGGAATGTGTGATAGCAGTGCAGCGATGGCAGCTTTGTGTGGTATTATTATTTATTTAATCCCTCCATCCTGTTAATATTCCCCATATGACAAACGATGTCATTATATGAAAAGGTATTGCTCGCTTATACCCTGTAGCTCATGTTGGTTGAGTATGGCGCTTGCTACGCCAAGGTTGTGGGTTCGATTCCCACGGGGGGCCAGTTTGAAAAAAAATGTATGCACTCACTAACTGTAAGTCGCTCTGGATAAAAGCGTCTGCTAAATGACATTTTTTTTTTTTTTTTATGTAATCATATCTCATTGGAAAGCTTAGATTCACAGTTATCCGTCAGACACATTTTCAGAAAGTTCAGGTCAACAGAACTTTGACCTCTAGGGTACATATTAGAATTACATGTGTACATGGCTTTAAAGCGGAAACCATGATACATTTTAAATTTTGGTTTGACAAGTGGTTCTGAAAGGTCATGAAATTACCTTTCAAATGATATATAATATAACCAACTTTGAAAGCACCAGATACAACTATTGATTAAAAATCACCAATTTTGTGCCATTGACATTAGAATGTTGGATGCTTAGCCATAGAATTCCATGTAATGGGGTAGCTATGTTTTTGGATATCAACTTTGGTGATATCGGTACCAAATTGCACACATGGCTAGAACAGGGTTTTAAAAAGATTTGTAGATATAGGGCCATCACAGAATTCACTCCTTAACCCCACAGAAGCCTTTTTCCAATATGGCTGCCAAACAACTCAATGGGGTCTCATTGGATAATTTCACATGCGATACCTGTATGAAATATAATTGTAGTATGCCCAGAAATATCTTTAAAATGTTAATAGTGATGTAAAATACACAATCAAATGAGCCAGGTGTGCCAGATATATCAGGATGTTAAATTATTCACAGAATTGGGGTAAGAATGTGCCCAAAAAGCTGTCTGAATCGCTGATTTCTGAAGATACGACCAATAATTGCAATATTTCATCTTCAAACATGTCAAATGGATATGTACATGTGAATACTCATGATGTCAGCCAATTAAAAATTATATACGTTATCCTATTAACTGTTTTCGTAAAGCAGAGGACTAGAAACTTGCCGCATACATTACAATGTAAAATTACATAGTAATGCCAATACGTTTTCACCTGATTGTAAGAGCAGCAAACCCTTACACATAGTCTAAATTAAACTGTATTCTTACTATGGGGACATAGCAGATTGGTCTGTTACTAGAATACTAAAAGTAATATAATTGGCCTCAACAGGCCCAACATAGGATTTTACTTTGCAATTGAATGTACAAGGCATGGTTTATAGTCCTCATAAAGAAAACCAAATTATGTGAATAATTTAACAACGTTATATATCTGGCACACCTGGCCCATGTGGTTGTGAATTCTACATCACTATTAACATTAAGACATTTCTGGGCTTAAACCAATTATATTTCATACAGATATGGTCATGCGAAATTGTCCAATAAGACCCCATTGAGTTGTTTGGCGGCCATATTGGAAAAAGGCTTCTGTGGGATTAATGGGTGAATTCTGTGATGGTCCTTTATCTACAAATCGTTTTAAAACCCTGTCCTAGCCGTGTGTGCAATTTGGTGCCTCTATCACCAAAGTTAAAATCCAAAAACATAGCTACCCCATTACATGGAATTCTATGGCTAAGCTTCCAACATTCTAATGTCACAACATGGGCGATTTTTAACCAATAATTGTAGCTGGTGCTTTCAAAGTTGGTTATATTATATATCATTTGAAAAGTAATTTCATGAAATTTCAGAAGTTAGAACCACCTCTAAAACAAAGTTAAAATGTATCAGGGTTTCCATTTTAAAGCCATTTATACTTGTAATTCTGATATGTACCCTAGAGGTCAAAGGCCACATTTCTGTTGACATGAACATTCTGGAAATGTGTCTGATAACTGAATCTAAGCTTTCCAATGAGATATGATTAAAGGGTATAAGTGAGCAATAATTTGTTGTGTAGCTACTGACCTTTTTTGTTTGTCATAAGGTAAAATTGAATCCCAGCATGTACTGCAAATGTGGCTAGCTGTGTTGTAGCCCAATAATGGACTAAAGGAGGCTAACATTGCTCCTGATAGTGTAGGGCCGTTTTGTTTTGTTTAAAGGAGAATTTACTCAAAATACTCAATCTATTTGTCAATTGGGGTACGGTTCTAGAAACATAAATCCTTCTACTTTCATATCCAATCAAAATAATTTCACAATCGTAAAATACACACTTATTATACACTGTTTTAACACAGTTGCAGCCGACAGCACCTTTGTGAAGTCTATCTTCTGTTAACACACTGGTGTTCGAGATGCAGATAGTCAGTTTCCGTAAACTGGAAATATGGCCGTGTGGGAACCCTATAAAAAGGTGTGTATCAATTAAACCTTTTTGTTTTTAGAAAAGTATTTCTCGCTGCAATGAAAGATGAGGGCCTTATGCTTCCGAAACCGTACCGCAAGTTATGCGTTTTAATGTTCAGACCGAGCGTCTGGGCTCTTAACAAAAAAGCCCCCCCGGCACAGAAGACGCCTTCGTCCAATTACTTATGTGTAATGTGATGGAACTGAGTCATGATTAATGGCTAACTGTGTGGTAGGTGAGTGTAGGCAATTCCCTACTTCTAAAACGACAGAAAAGCTTTACTGCCTGAATAGCAAAACAGGCTACATGCAGTGACAAATAGTAATAAAGCAAATAGCATGAAACATTATGCATAAAATCGCTAATGGTTAACGAACTAGCTGCGTTAACTAGGCTAGCTATAGCCGATTAACCTCAACTCCACGATTTACTATGTCACATAAAATTACGTTATATATATATTTTTTTTTTTTCAACGACTGATTTGAGCACAAAAAGAATAGCCCGCAATTACACACGACATTGTTCTTCGTAATTGCGGGCTATTCTTTAGGTGCTGAAATCAGTCGTTTTTTTATAAAAACATTTTGTGACGTCGGAGCTCCAGTCCGCCCACACTAGTAGCGTCTCAACTCCATCGTAAATTGTGGAGTTTAGTCGGCTAGGCTAGCTAGCTAAACAAGACAAGACTGTTAAACGTGCTACTCATGCAACGAAATTAGCCTACCTTTTTTTGCCAAACAAATTTGAATACTGGCGAAACATCAGTTTCCAACAAGTTAATGGAAGCAATTTATAAAAGATAAATACTTGGCTACCTAAACGTTGTTTTCATTCCCTGCAGCACCGTAGCCATGTGTTCCAAAGTGAAGCCAAGTTGTTTGTGTACTTTGAGCTTTGGAAGGACTACAAAACATTGCATTCTGGTACTTCCTTTTCGGACAACGAGTCATTCGCGAACACAAATTATTTCACGAAAGTTGGTGATAACCGTAGAGATGAACACCATGGTTTATGATTAGAGAATGAAGTGGAAAGTAAAATATTGGATTTATCCAGAGAGGAGCATATAAAAACACCTGATTTAGCATGGACATTCAAAATGTTTCAAAGTGTAAGGGATCCGATTTAGCATGAAAATTCAAATGAACTCTGATCTGTGTGTGGAAATCAATGTGGGCATTTAATGCAAAAAATAATCTGGCCACTTGCCTCCATCCATCTGAGTTTATCACGTGTATTTCAATGAGGTGAGGTATGCATCCTCTCCCACTAACCCCCCTTATGCACAACACCATGACTCAGTCAAAACAAAGGGTAGCAATCGTTTAATATAAACAAAGCATTTATATACAGCAGATTACTGTAATATTTCCTCCATTTAAGGTTAAAACCAGTATTGACTACAGAAGCATTGAACTGAATGAAAACATTATTGGCCGGATAGTTTGGCATTGAAGATAAGGAAAATAAAATGAATGATTGTAAATTAATTTAGACAATGAATTCAGGTTTCATAGTGCTGTTACTGTATATCCTGTTTTTAAAACCAAAATGCAGTGAACCTTTGAATGACCATAAAACAACACAGGGCATGGAGTGAATAATACAATCGTATAATTAAATTGAAATTATACAGTCATACATTTTTTAGAGCAAATAAGCAAATGAGGACAGAGGAGAGTTTACTTTAAGGCTGAAAGGCAAATATTCAAATACACAAACAAATCATTATATATTTGCAAATGCCAACTAAGAACAGACGTCTGAATTTGTTCTACAAAAACACTGAATTGAGAACTGAATTGAGAAGACATGGTAAAATGTGCACCTGGAACAAGCAGAAATCAAAAGTAGAATGATTCAATTAGATGATTAAATTGCAGAAAAATCCTAATTGAACGACATGGTGTTCTTGAAAACCAATATGAGAATAATACTGGTACGGAAGTTATGGCACTTCAGTTTCCTCAGTATCATGAAGGTAATTCATATCATTACAGGTCCAATACCACCGGGTGCACTGTCCTAGCACTGATTATTGAAAAACTGAACATCAGTTAAAAAAAGATAGGTTGTCATTGGGTCACTAAAACCTGACAAAACAAATTTACTCCATATTGTTCAATGCCATATCCACATGTCAATTTCACAAACTGAACCTCAATGCCAATACAAGAATTGTGAAATCTAAATGAATGATTGGCAAATCTTTCGTACCATAGCAGAGAAATGGTTATGAAGGTTGGTGAAATAACATCAATATTCACACCCCATTGCTTAAATGTAATTACCATTCCTGCTTTACGTCACCTGAGGTGACAGCAGGCAGGATACTACATCACCCCAATATTTAAATTGAAACACAAATGATGTACAAACAAAACAGGGCAAATGATAACATTTCAGCTTTCTATGCTTAGTCAAAGTGCATTACAAATGCTTATAACAAAGGCATCATTACAGACTTGAAATACAGCTGTGTTGATGTCACAGTTTCCAATAGACCAAGTAACTGTATAGGGACTCGGGAGGGCTACTAAAAGTTGCCTTTGAATATCAACATCAGGAGACAACCCTCAAGAGGCAAGGCAAAACACATTCATTTACTGAAAAACTAATCTTAACATTTGAATTCTTAATATACACAATTTTCACTTCTATATTATTAAAGTTTACAGACGACTGTTTAAGTTAACCATACTGAATAAGACTAGATGATGTTGCAAACAACAGACAGGGAAGTACAACAATTCTTCAGGCATTTTCTCTATTATTTGAATAACTTCCTGGATGGTTGTTACATTGTGCTGCAGACTGTTGATTTAGATTGCACTGGCTGCTTTGTATATTTCTTCAGAAAGAAGGAAATAGACTAAGCAAAATCTTCAGCGCATGTTATGGACACCGCAAACATACAAAATATACATTTGGTAAAGTGTCAGATACCTTTAGATGTACACTACTTGAAGGGTAAACAAGTCTCATCAGTTGTAAATTACAACTTCATTTTGGACCAATTTAGTAACTTTCATATGTGCCACAGTTTTAAATAATCTAAAAAGAAAGTGTGACTAATCTGAATGTGAAAATTAAGCTTGAGAATTACAAAGCAAAATAGCTAGTAATCAGTTGAGATAAACGTTAACCTAGATCCAGATTAACTGCACAAGTGCAAACTTAAAGAAGGGGGGAAACTTCACAATAATACACCATCAAAAAAATAGAAGGTCCCCATTCTCATCCTATTCTCATTGAGGCCTTGGGATTCAATATGGCACCACTATAGATAAGCCCTGAAATAGAGTACCTATTCCTGGTATACAGAGTGGCTATTAGTAACAGCTGTGGCACATCCTGTACCATGTTGTACTACATTGTACCATTTCTTCAGTAGATATTCAGACTGGCCTTTTAGTGGACTCTATATATCCATGAAGAGAACATATGGGGGGAAATAAGCAGTAAAATATGTGGGCTAGCTTTACCACAGAACTCTGTTAGATAAAAAGGATAAACAACATAACTCAAATATATTCGCTCTGAAACTTGAACGATGATCACGTAAACATTAATCATCCATTCAGAGTGCTTTCCAGTGTATGTTAAAACTTCTGAGACATTCAATGCTGATTAATGCCAGTATGAATTTGAATTTAAAAGGCCATGGCCAAGTATTTATCCCCTCCAGATTAAAATACCATTAATTTATGTAGTACAGTACCAGAACAGTATAGAGTTCCAATACCAGAACAGTATAGAGTTCCAATACCAGAACAGTATAGAGTTCCAATACCAGAACAGTCTAGAGTTCCAATACCAGAACAGTATAGAGTTCCAATACCAGAACAGTATAGAGTTCCAATACCAGAACAGTATAGAGTTCCAATACCAGAACAGTATAGAGTTCCAATACCAGAACAGTATAGAGTTCCAATACCAGAACAGTATAGAGTTCCAATACCAGAACAGTATAGAGTTCCAATACCAGAACAGTATAGAGTTCCAATACCAGAACAGTATAGAGTTCCAATACCAGAACAGTATAGAGTTCCAATACCAGAACAGTATAGAGTTCCAATACCAGAACAGTATAGAGTTCCAATACCAGAACAGTATATAGTTCCAATACCAGAACTCACATAAGGTTATGGTTAAGTTTAGGAGTTAGGTTAAAGGGTTAGCTGTGTTTTATGTCCAGACCCTACTCGATGAATTGTAACAGACTACTATTAAGATGTCGAAGCCAGTGGCTCTGAGATAATACGCTGTAGTCTCAGTGGAATGAAACTTGGCAATACAAAGTCTTAACAATAAAAATATTCTAGAAATAGGGTTCAGGGTTCCCATTTTGAGTGAATTATTCTGTACCTGTGTGCAAGCTATATGTCTGTCAGTCATATCAGAGAGGGAAATAAACCCCTACATTCCTCCTAACAGTATATCAGAATCAGTTTTACACCGTTGCATAGAGGCCTATCTCTTGTAGTGATTGGGCGCATCAGCAAACATGTACTTGAGTCTGTATGCTTCAGCCAGGAGAAGGCCCACTTCCTCGTTCCCCCAGTGGATTGTGGGAAGGTTTTGGAGTAACATGAGAAGACCCTGGAAAGGCAGATTTTATGACATGAACACCATTTTGGAACTGGATGGGTGGAAGTGTGTGAATAATCCCTCGTGGGCCTCAGTCACAATCTGCAGTGTCATGAACACTGAAATATGCAGATTTGTTTTTAATGAGAGCTTTTCACTGGAGGGGTCAGGTCATACAAAGAAAGTAGCACATTTCCAAATACAGAGTACTCGAGTACTGTTCACTCAAACAAATCAAAGAAAGGATATAATTAATTGTACCTGAAAATCGACCATGGAGAGGATCTCTTTGCGCCACTCGATCAGGAAAGCAGCACAGACGTACAGGTGGAAGTGGGAGAAGCCCTCTTGCTCAGCCTGCAGGGATACATGACAGGTGAGCACGTGAAGAACACATACATCATCTCTAAAATCACACAAACATTCAGATCGAAAACACAAAGGTTTTAATGCAAATATCTATGTGTTTGTGTGTGACCTGATAGGTGTCCCAGAGGCGGATGGTGCAGCGCAGAGGCAGTTCTCTCATCAGCAGGTTGTTCATCCAGCGGAAAGCAAACTGCAGGTACTCCACCTCATACCTCTTAAAGTAGTTGTGTATGTCCTCTGAGACAAAAAGGACGCAGCCACACAGTGAGTAGAGAAAAGACAAGAGAGATGAAAACTGACACTGAGGCCGTCTGAAATAATGGATATCTATTTTCATATTAATTAAAAGGGTGTCTTGAGGTAAGGTCTTACCTCGGATACTGTAACAACATGAGGAGATCATATCTCACCATCGATTCTGCTGACCAATTCTTCCAAAGCTTTCACTTTGTTCTGAATCCCTGGCTGAGCAAAGGTGTAGTTGTCCTGCAAAGATGCAACCACAATAATATTAACGACACATCATGAGGAGGATTTGATTTGTGATTGTAGGGGGGGCTGCTGGAGACAACAGTGACAGAATGAAGACCATAGGAGCAGATGGAGAAAATAACTGAATAACAATACCAACCTGTATTCCATCCAGCAGCTTGGTCATGCACCAGAAGCTGTCTGCCTCAATGTTCCTCTGGGTGTCAAGAGGCAGGGACGCTACGTCAAAATTCTCCACATCCTCCTCTGTGGATGTAAACCCAAACGATCAGTGCGCAGTCAGCGAAACACAACCCTCCTTCCAGTTCACTAAGGCAGGGGTGTCACTCATTTTCCCTGCGGGCCGTATTCGGTCTTCACCGAGGTCCTGAGGGCCGCACTTACAAGTTGATTATTTTTCCTCATCGTCAAAATGTGCATCGCTTTTGCCATTTTCGATGCTCCCTGACTGCCTAGCTTTCGTTTCGATCACTGTTAGCAAGCTGGACAGAGTGAAGAGACTGTACATGTAGGTCCATTATTTCTACACAGTTTCCATTTGGTTTCAGTCATTTCAATGTCGATTGAGATCGTTTTCCCAGGAGAAAATAATTAAATAAATAAAGTATTACGCAAACCTGATTAAATTCGGCCCGTGGGTGGTTTGATAAAACATGACATTTTTTTGTTTGACATTTGCACTAAGGGAAGCAGACTTGCCGGTTTGTAATGCTGACAAATAACCAGACAGGAAAAATGAATGCATGTACACTACCGTTCAAAAGTTAGGGGTCACTTAGAAATGTCCTTGTTTTCGAAAGAAAAGCACATTTAAAAGAACATAAAATTGATCAGAAATACAGTGTAGACATTGTTAATGTTGTAAATGGCTATTGTAGCTGGAAACGGCTGATTTTTAATGTAATATCTACATGGGCGTACAGAGGCCCATTATCAGCAACCATCAGTCCTGTGTTCCAATGGCACGTTGTGTTTGCTAATCCAAGTTTATCATTTTAAAAGGCTAATTGATCATTAGAAAACCCTTTTGCAATTATGTTAGCACAGCTGAAAACTGTTGTACTGATTAAAGAAGCAATAAAACTGGCCTTCTTGAGACTAGTTGAGTATCTGGAGCATCAGCAATTGTGGGTTCGATTACAGGCTCAAAATGGCCAGAAACAAATAACTTTCTTCTGAAACTCGTCAGTCTATTCTTGTTCTGAGAAATGAAGGTTATTCCATGCGAGAAATTGCCAAGAAACTGAAGATCTCGTACAACGCTGTGTACTACTCCCTTCACAAAACAGTGCAAACTGGCTCTAACCAGAATAGAAAGAGGAGTGGGAGGCCCCAGTGCACAACTGAGCAAAAGGACAAATACATTAGAGTGTCTAGTTTGAGAAACGCCTCACAGGTCCTCAACTGGCAGCTTCATTAAATAGTACCCGCAAAACACCAGTCTCAACATCAACAGTGAAGAGGCGACTCCCGAGATGCTGACCTAGGCAGAGTTGCAAAGAAAAAGCCATATCTCAGACTGGCCAATAAAAATAAAAGATTAAGATGGCCAAAATAACAGACACTGGACAGAGGAAGATTGGAAAAAAGTGTTATGGACAGATGAATCGAAGTTTGAGGTGTTCGGATCACAAAGAAGAACATTTGTGAGACGCAGACCAAATGAAAAGATGCTGGAGGAGTGCTTGATGCCATCTATCAAGCATGGTGGAGGCAATGTGATGGTCTGGGGGTGCTTTGGTAGTGGTAAAGTGGGAGATTTGTACAGGGTAAAAGGGATCTTGAAGAAGGAAGGCTATCACTCCATTTTGCAATGCCATGCCATACCCTTATGAACGGCGCTCCTACAACAGGACAATGACCCAAAGCACAGCTCCAAACTATGCAATAACTATTTAGGGAAGAAGCAGTCAGCTGGTATTCTGTCTATAATGGAGTGGCCAGCACAGTCACCGGATCTCAACCCTATTGAGCTGTTGTGGGAGCAGCTTGACCGTATGGTACGTAAGAAATGCCCATCAAGCCAATCCAACTTGTGGGAGGTGCTTCAGGAAGCATGGGGTGAAATCTCTTCAGATTACCTCAACAAATTGACAACTAGAATGCCAAAGGTCTGCAAGACTGTAATTGCTGCAAATGGAGGATTCTTTGACGAAGTTTGAAGGACATAATTAATATAAAAATCATTATTTCTAACCTTGTCAATGACTACATTTTCTATGCATTTTGCTATATTTCCTATTCAAACTCATTTCATGTATGTTTTCATGGAAAACAAGGACATTTCTAAGTGACCCCAAACTTTTGAACGGTAGTGTATATTAATCCTTCTGCATGTAATATAAGACAAGATTATTGGACATTTTCCTTTATTTTTTTTTATTTAGCCTCATCTGGTTGGACAGAAATCTATGACACACACACCAGAGGAGGCTGGTTGGAGGAGCTATAGGAGGACAGGCTCAGTGTAATGGCTGGAATGGAATAAATGAAACAAAGTCAAACGTGGTTTCCATGGGTTTGATGTGTTTGATACCATTCCATTCCAGCCATTACAATGAGCCCGTCCTCCTCTACAGGTGTAGGATCTTAATTTGATCACTTTTGTTGCTGAGAATTGTTTACTGCACAGGAGGAAATGCAAACTTGTAGTGTATTCGAGGTTTAAAATGGCTTCTAAAGTTTGTAATTTCCACTTTAAAATGTCAGACCTAATTTGCCCTAACAAAAAATGTTTCAACCCCTACAAAAAAAGCCCATTAATTATAATCCACATAATAATTCCCATTTCCTGTTGCTGCAGAATTATTTTCCTGCTGTAGCAAACTGGCTCAAATTAAGCTCCTACATCTGTAGCTCCTCCCGCCAGCCTCCTCTGACACACACACACATTATCCTCCAGCCAACCTACCCAAACATTATCCTCCAGCCAACCTACCCACACATTATCCTCCAGCCAACCTACCCACACATTATCCTCCATCCAACCTACCCAAACATTATCCTCCAGCCAACCTACCCACACATTATCCTCCAGCCAACCTACCCACACATTATCCTCCATCCAACCTACCCAAACATTATCCTCCAGCCAACCTACCCACACATTATCCTCCAGCCAACCTACCCACAAATTCGGAGAGGAAGACCACAAAGAATGGAGTGACCAAGTCGTTGATTCCCTGGACATAGCCACTGGCTGGATGGCGGATAGCCCAGATGAAGAGGATCCGTTCAAACACCTAATGAACACATGAAGGCACAGACAGAACAGAATTCAATCCAAAGTGATATGCCATGTATATTACATGTTAACAAAACTCCTCTCCAGAATATCAAAAAGTGGAATTGGCGACTGTCCATCCAAGCCAGGCAACTAGTATGAAGAGCTGAGAGAGAAGCTCACCTCTTGCACCGTGGGCTGCTGGAAAAGTGGAATTAGCGGGTTTGTCCTCGGAATGTCAATGTGGATCTGTGGAAACAAAGCATAAGCTACTTAATCACTGACTCACTACAGTAGGCAGGGCTACTTAATCACCGACTCACTACAGTAGGCAGGGCTACTTAATCACTGACTCACTACAGTAGGCAGGGCTACTTAATCACCGACTCACTACAGTAGGCAGGGCTACTTAAAACACTGACTCACTACAGTAGGCAGGGCTACTTAAACACTGACTCACTACAGTAGGCAGGGCTACTTAAAACACTGACTCACTACAGTAGACAGGGCTACTTAATCACTGACTCACTACAATAGACATGTGCTACTTAAACACTGACTCACTACAGTAGGCAGGGCTACTTAAAACACTGACTCACTACAGTAGGCAGGGCTACTTAAACACTGACTCACTACAGTAGGCAGGGCTACTTAAAACACTGACTCACTACAGTAGACAGGGCTACTTAATCACTGACTCACTACAATAGACATGTGCTACTTAAACACTGACTCACTACAGTAGGCAGGGCTACTTAAAACACTGACTCACTACAGTAGACAGGGCTACTTAATCACTGACTCACTACAATAGACATGTGCTACTTAAACACTGACTCACTACAATAGACATGTGCTACTTAAACACTGACTCACTACAATAGACAGGGCTACTTAATCACTGACTCACTACAGTAGGCAGGGCTACTTAAAACACTGACTCACTACAGTAGACAGGGCTACTTAATCACTGACTCACTACAATAGACATGTGCTACTTAAACACTGACTCACTACTGTAGGCAGGGCTACTTAATCACTGACTCACTACAATAGACATGTGCTACTTAAACACTGACTCACTACTGTAGGCAGGGCTACTTAATCACTGACTCACTACAATAGACATGTGCTACTTAAACACTGACTCACTACAGTATGCAGGGCTACTTAAACACTGATTCACTACAGTAGGCAGGGCTACTTAAACACTGATTCACTACAGTAGGCAGGTCTACTTAAAACACTGACTCTCCAGAGTGGGTAGCATTGGTTGTTAGGATTTATTGCGTTGGTGACTCATGTATTACCTGTCTATATGTGTCTTTGTAAGTCTCGTCTGTCCTGGAGTGGTAATACTGTTCAATGAAGCCAAAGTACTCATCTCTCTTCCTCATCAGCACCAGATCTCTGCGCTCCATGTTGGCTGGGAGGTAACCCTGCCATGACAGAGAGGACGACAATGTAAAGAAAAGAGGATACTGTAGCGGAACAGCAGGGTAGAAGAGTGATATATGCCAAGGGTCAAGGGTCAACCCTACAGTCAAGATTATGTTGATCATATCACCAACGTGTGTTGCAGTTGTCATATATAAATACAGTGAGTGTACGAAACATTAAGAACTCTCTTTCCATGGCATAGACTGACCAGGTGAAAGCTATGATCCATTAATTATGTTTTAAATCCACTTCAATCAGTGTAGATGAAGGGGAGGAGACAGGTTAAATAATGATTTTTAAGCCTTGAGACAATTGAGACATGGATTGTGTATGTGTGCCATTCAGAGGGTGAATGGGCAAGAGAAAAGTGAACTGCCTTTGGGTATGGTAGTAGGTGCCAGGCGCACCGGTTTGTGTCAAGAACTGCAACGCTGCTGGGTTTTTTACGCTCAACAGTTTCCCGTGTGTATCAAAAATGGTCCACCACCCAAAGGACATCCAGCCAACTTGACACAACTGTGTGAAGCATTGGAGTCAACATGGGCCAGCATCGCTGTGGAATGCTTTCGACACCTTGTAGAGTCCATGCCCTGACAAATTGAGGCTGTTCTGAGGGCAAAAGGTGGGTGGAGGGGGGGGGGTGTTCTTAATGTTTTGTACACTCAGTGTCTATCGTCATACTCTTTGTGTGTGATCTCCAGCCTAGTCAAAGGTCATCATGGTACTTACAGAGAGGAGCCTCCATGTGATGGGCCTCACTTCTCGTGGAATGCCTGACCAGCTATGCTTCCGGAGCGCCTCTGTGAATCACAAGGCCCAGGAGATAGAATGACAATACATACATTGTAAACACAACATTGGCCTTCTTGTATTAGCTATTTCAATCTATAAAGGTGGTGTTTATTCTCACCGAGGTCGGTGTTAGGACAGGACAGAAGGTATTTGAATTTGTCCAATCGGCTCTTGTCTCGCACTGTCATGATTGGGGCCCCCGAGGAGTTTTGGTCAGAGATTCTAGCGACTAACGGGATGATAGGACGAACTGGGAGAGACTGTTGCTTCTGCAGGGTGGAGCGCACTGTGGAGGAAACTGACCCAGAGTGAAGGATCATGGAACAAATCGCAGAGAGCAGATTATCAACAATATCAGGCAGTTTTGAGTTGATAATGAGCAATATCTTTAATACATCCACATGGGATATTAACACTAAATGCAAAGACATGTTCCCTAAAATCCACCCCACCCCTGTCGTTAGTGTCCAGTGTCCACATTACCTGTATTGGTATTGAGCAGGGCCTCACTGCTGGACTTCACCACCACTCTGCCATTGATCTGTCCACAGTCTGTGTTCTCCTCCTGCTGAAGACAGACCTCTGCTGTTGGGGGAGCCAGCTGGTCTGCAGGCCCTGGCCCCGTGTCTGGCTCCCTGGTGGTGTCACTGGGTTGTTGTGAAGGAAGAGGAGGCACCTGGTGCGGGGAGTGCAGGGTGGGCGGGAGAGATGAAGGGTGAATGGGAGCTAAGAAGTCCTCATCCTCCTCCTCATCAATGTCCCAGGCATCGTTGGTGCTACGGGCAAATTCGTGGAAACTAGACGCCTTTTTAGACTTGAGATTGTTTCCCTTAGGAGTGTCTTTAGGAAACCTGCAGAGAGAAAATGGGGGGGAAAAATGTAATCTACGTGTCACTGATACAAAGAAGATACCATTGACTAGCTACAGCACTCTCATGGTAAAGACAAGATGATACATTGGCAACATACAATATAAAAAGGAACAGCTGGCCCAAAGTCCAATAAAATAATAGTGAAAGAAGAAAGACGTGGAACAATCAAACCAACAATACCACACATGTTCAAGGGCTTGGCAATATAGACAAGACACGAACATCTACGATCTAAAGTAAGCATACAAAAATCAATGTTGAATGTAGGGTGAAAAATAATCCCTGTGGGCTGCATGCAGATTGGCTATGCGGAGCACTTACGTGCGGTGTATTCTGGGGTCGAGTGGAGGATGCTGCGCTCCATAAACTGGCTGTATACTGTAGAAGACAAAGAGCAGTAGCCTACCTGGTGCGTCACTGGGAGCATGTGGGCTCATTGAGGTCTCTTTTCATGTTTCATTGACAATGTTGGCCATTACAGTGGATTCTACAGGTTCATAAAGCATAGACTCTCCAGAGCAACCATTATGGGCAGACAGAGGACTTCATTTCATTCCTATCTCACCCCTAAGATATTTGGTTTTGGTTTTGGAAAACGGTTGTTAGTTAAGTAGGCGTATAGCTTTAAACACATTCTGTGAACCGCTTGCCAGGGCGAGTGAGACGACAGCCTTACTGCCACCCCATGGAGAGTATCCTGTTCAGCGGAGGCACGCGTGTTGAGCACTCACCACCGATCTGATGACGCTACAAGAGCTGTGACCTGCAACACAGTCCAAAGGCCCCCCTGTGTGTCTGTCTCCCTTTGTGTTCTGACGTGAACCAAGCTCGGTGGAGAGGAAATAGCCTAATGTTATCTGGACTACGTTGTAGGTGACTAAATTAGTCAAGTTACTGGGTCTTTAAAGGGGAAATCAGCAGTTGAAACAAGAACAAAGCCTTTCCCCGCAACTGTTTCGGTATAAAGCTGAGGGATGGGGCTGGAGAAATGTAACCACTCTTAAATTCATAGACAGCGCTATGGATGCAAGGACTGACCATCCATGATATCAACATTATAATTTTAACCATGAGGCAATACAATGTAATGCTATACAGTATAAGTAAAAAATAATAATAAACTGCAGATTGCCTCTTTAACACAGTAATAGCTCATGTTGTAGTAAAGTTGCTCATCAGCTGGGTCTTAGGAGGATAGTATAGGATCTTGACACGATCTAGTAACCTTTTAGTACACTGTATTAATATGTACAATGGTAATACCCTATCATGTCTGGTTGGTATCTCATCAGAGCTCATTACATAACTTGTTCTGTCAGGATTAGGAACAGTGTTACTTCCTGTTCTAGGCCCTAGTGTTTGCATTGTGGCTACCACCCACCCACCATACATTGAAAAGATTAGTCTTACGGAAGACAACACCCAATCCCTATAGACCACTCACATTACCTTGGCTCCTGCCTCCAGAGATATGACACATTGTGTCAATTTGTGTAAATTTTCCCAGCCATAAAGAAACGCCATATGCCAATCTATTTGGTAATACTGTATTGGGGACGTTTCTGAAGTCTTTTCTCAGTCTTTCCTGCGTATTCAACATGTCAACATTCACCCATTACAGACCACCTGACATGTTGTATGGACATAGCGGTAGCCAAGACAAAGGCATGAAGATTACCTCATAATGAGCTCCAATGTGCAACAAAGACCACCACTTCCGTATTGCCTAAAGACAAGGTGTACGTTTATTGTCATGAGTCTTGTCCTGGTGGCAGAACTGAGCGATTTCCCCTTAGGCCAGCTGCAAAGTCAAAATTGGCTATACTGTAAAAATTCATGAAAACAAACAATTTAAGTTTAGGGTTAAGTATTAGTGTGGCTACGGTTAGGTTTCAAATCCGATTTTATGACTTTGTGGCTGTGCCAGCTAGTGACCAGTGTGCACAGCTGCCTCCAGAACAAGATTCATGACAAAAAACGCTAACCTGCGCATAAAGGCTTCATAAACTAGCTATCTATCAAACAAGGTTATGCATATGTTTTATAAACATTTTAATGACACTGTAATTACGCAAAATCAACGCTATTATGCCCAATAAAATACAGAGTTAACTCATTATCAGAATACACATTTATAATCTTAAGAATCACGAGAGATTCTTCATCATTAACGAGAGGGAGAACTGAAACATACCTTCCTGGAACCTTTGCGTTTTTCCTCCAGAAATGAATTATGTTGTCGGTGGCCATGCTCGGATAATGCAAATCCACTCAGTCTAACACCGCGCGCAGTTCTACAAATGTACAAAGCATTGGAGAAGATTTCAGCGTTTCAGATTCGATATACCAAACCGGATTGTCTTTTCAGCGACCAACAACAAAGTTTTGACGTGTGTCAATAATGTTATTTTGTTGCAATTACCGATACCGTATAATACAGAACGATGGAGGTCGCCATCTTGGAGTACATTGACATGGACGTGTGATTGGCGGACGGGTTTAACAGGTGCATAGACACTTACCAATAGGAATACTATAGTGAAAGGGAGTCAACCTTCTCTGAACACCCGTCCTCCATCGTCTTATAATTAAGCAATAAGGCCTGGGAGGTGTGGTATATGACCAATATTCCATGGCTAAGGGCTGTTCTTAGTCATGAGTGCCTGGATATAGCCCTTAGCTGTAGCATATTGGTCATATACCACAAACCCCCAAGGTGCCTTATTGCTATTATAAACTGGTTACAATGTAATTAGAACAGTAAAAATAAATATTTTGTCATACCCATGGCATACCACAGCTTTCAGCCAATCAGCATTCAGGGCTCGAACCACCCAGTTTATTATAAACTGGTTCAAACCCTGAATGCTTATTGGCTGACAGCCGTGGTATATCAGACCGTATACCACGGGTATGACAAAACATTTATTTTTACTGCTCTAATTACATTGGTAACCAGTTTATTATAGCAATAAGGCACCTCAGGGGTTTGTGGTATATGGCCAATATACCACGGCTAAAGGCTGCATCCAGGGACTCTGCGTTGTGACATTTACATTTGAGTCATTTAGCAGACACTCTTATCCAGAGCAATTAGGGTTAAGTGCCTTGCTCAAGGGCACATCGGCAGATTTTTCACCTAGTCGGCATCGGGGATTAGAACCAGCGCCCTTTCGGTTACTGGCACAACGCTCTTAACCACTAAGCTACCTGCCGCCCGGATTCAGACATGCCTAAGAACAGCCCTTAGCCGTGGTATATTGGCCATATACCACACCTCCTCGGGCCTTATTGCTTAAACGTGCAACAGTTTAGATGAAGGGGGGAAACATAAACATTTGGCTTTGTTATTATTACTGAGGCCTACTCTCCTACACACCAGTTATCACCTTTACGTTTTTTGACAACGTCATGTCTGAATCTGTCCATAGGTCTACCATCCATTCATACTATACACAGTTTGGCATCATAACCTGTAAAGAGTTTTACTATGGGCTAATGGCTATACGATCTGCTAGGCCTACTGTGTAGATGAAGTTCAGAAATAGCTCACTCTGAAGTTATTACATCAGGTCTTGCCTCATTCTGCTCAATTCTAAATATGCTTATCAGATTTTTTGGGGTGAGATTTGGGAAGTTAGATTGTGAAATTGATAGAGATACAAGGCTATTACTTCTAGTTCTACCACTAATGAGATTGTACTTTATGTTACGTAGTTATTACTTTGTAAGGGGGGACAGTGTTATTTTTCCAAACAGAAACAAAACAGCATCAGTGTTGCCCCTAGGATTCTTTTCAGCAGTGGTGGCAAGGGTAAAAAAAACACAGATTTTATGACTTTGTTCCTGTGCCAGATAGGGGGGGGGGGGGGGGGGGGGGGGGGGGGTTGCATTGCTACTAGCGTTAGCATAATGACATGCTAGCTGTTCCCATAGACTTCCAGTCATTGAGCCAACGACTATCCATTTAAAAGTGCGTCTCAGCACAAATATATATATATATATTTTCAAAAAATTACATGATATTATTTGCATTAGTGGGCCAACCCTGCTAAATGAATATAGGGGAAACTCTGAGCATCAGTTGCGTTGACTTTGATTATTGCAAAGCAGAAACACTAATTTGTTGTGCTTGTTCCCCATTTCCAGGTTCTGCATGGTGTTCTCATTCCCACAAGAGGGCAGGCATTTACTGATGGTCAGTAGCTGTGAGCTTTCTAGAAACCAGTTGAGCCACTCTATTTACTGTAAATTGTTGATATTCCAAATAATTTGTAGATTTGTTTTGGCTTGGGATATATTTAGCCTTCAATGGGTAGCTTAGTTCTTAACACACTTTAGTTTGCTTGATGGAGATCATAGCAGTCTAATTAGATTAGTGTTACACAGAATTGTAGGCCATTGTTATTCCATTGCCTTCAATATAGCATATTGCTACTCAATGGCTTTCACAGAACATGTCATTTACAATGCTCTTTTATATTTAAATGTAGGGAAATGAGAATTGTGCACACGTAAACAGGTCTTACCACATCACCTTATATTTGAATGTCAGGTAGACTCCTCGGTCTGGTTGCTAAGGGAAATGTCAGGTAGACTCCTCTGTCTGTTTGCTTATGGAAATGTCAGGTAGACTCCTCGGTCTGGTTGCTAAGGGAAATCACTGCAGTCTTCCACTTCTTCCTTCCTTCTGCTGACGGCTTCAACTGGCAAAATGCAGGTAGATTTGATTTTTACTACCTACTGTATAATGGTTTCTGTAATAACTTTTTTATTTCTCATACACAGTGAGAAGAGTAGCTAATGTAGCCTGCAAACAAAAATACTACTGTGTTTGTTATGTGTGTTTTGGGTAATTTATGTATCTCTCAGACTAAGTTCCTGCTTGACTGTGTCTCTGCCTGACTCAGTAGCCTACTCTCTATGTAAATAAACTGGGTTAACTTTTTTGAAAAGTTTCTGAAACTTTTTTTTCTCTCAAACAGGTCTTGTGATCTCTTTTCCTCTTTCCTTTTGGTATGGGTTAACTTAATAAAAACATATTTGGGAAGAATGTCACAAGACATGACAATAGCTAACTCTGTTTCTGAAATGAGGGACTGTTGGTGGTGCCTGAGGCCGAATGAGGCTCCACACTAAGTCAGTTTGAACTTTAGAGGGTTACAGGAATATGTGTTAGAACGGTCTTGGGAGAATATGAGGACATATTGCTCATGCTACTTCTTTTTTAAGGGCTATGACATTTTACCATATAATGACAACATATGTAGGCCTACATGTATAATATAATGACAACAATCAGGCCTTTTAAAGTTCCATAAATGCAATAGAATCACAACCAAGTTGTGCTCTTTCAAATGTTCTTTAGAAGTTTAGAGACAAAAAACAATACAGTATCAGCTGTCGTTACACGCTCACCTAAATTGCACATTAAATTGTGTAGTTCAGGCAGGGTTGTGGTGGACTTTGGACAACCCTGGGACTTGGGATGGGATTTGTTTAAGTGGGGTGTTTGGTCTTCTATAAAGAGGTGCATTCTCTGTATTTTTTTTCGAGGAGACATGCTCAGTGGCATTAAAGCCCCCAGACATATTTGGGTTTGTGTGACCCTCTTGTTTTGCTCTCTCGCTCCCCTCTGAAAGGAAAGCATTGTGACTTTTTCTTCCTGAATGCTTAAGTAGCAACAAAACCACTCCGACAGCATTCTTTCAGAAAATAGGAACTTTATCTTCTTCTGTCCTGTTCGGCTACCACACTGGATGTTGTAAGCAATAGTTTACAGTTAAGAAAGAGTGAGGAAATCACGTAACATTTTTCAAAAGTCACAGTTAACTTTCATGTTTTTCTCCTTTTTGCAGCTGAGGTAAGCTTTTTATCAAAAGTTTACCTTTATTTGATCTATTTACAGACACATCCTTCGGTTACTGTTTAATGCTAAACTTCAACAAACTTTACTGTCAGTGTAATGTATTTTTTTGGGGGAAGGGGGCACTGTCAGATGTCTTTTCAGGAGAAGTTATTTTGTTGGTATGAGAAAGTGAAAGCTTTGTTGTTAAGCGGAGAACTCACATTAGTGGCAGTGCTGGGTGTTGTGAACAGTACAGTACATTTTAGTCCTTTAGCAGACGCTCTTATCCAGAGCCACGTACAGTTAGTGCATTCATCTTAAGATAGCTAGGTGAGACAACCACACATCACGGTCGGCAATCAGTAAAGAAGTTATAAGCAAATTTAGTGCTCGTAGTAAAAGACAAGTGCAGTTTCTTTGTTGGGTGACGGGGGGGGGGGGGGATAGGACTGAGATGTTTTATTTAAGATACTATTTTTCGAAGAGGTAGGGTGACTTTGCATGTTTTCTCATCAGGCGGTCGGTGATGCCGAGCCAAGTCAGAGGTCTGAACTTAGAGGTTAAGCTGTCAGCTATAACGCTATGCAGAGACTCTGCCAAGGTCATGGAGGACTGTGAATTCTCAGAGAAAGGTAGGATCCTTGTGCTGATGTACTGTAAACATACCCAACAATAAGAATCATAAGGTGATAGATAGGCTACTCCTGGCAAAGAGCTGCGACCCCATATGGTAAAAAAAAACTTCTTGTATGTATATGCCAGGTATAAGCATTCCTTCTGTGGGTGGAAATTACCCATCTGTCCCATTTCCCTATTCTCTAACATCACTTCTAAAGGCCATTGCCTTTTATGTGTACAGTATGACCCTGGTATAGGGCGGCAGGTAGCCTAGCAGTTAGGAGCGTTGGGCCAGTAATTGAAAGATCGCTAGTTTGAATCCCAGAGCCGACTAGGTGAAAAATCTGTCAATGTGACCTTGAGCAATGCACCCTAACCCTAATTGCTTTGTAAGTCGCTCTGGAAAAGAGCATCTCCTAAATGACTTTTTTAAATGTATTTTTTATGTTCAAGATATGACTCTAAAGGACAGGATCCTCTCAGAGGCCATTTGCCTACTAGTCATAACACCGGTACCCCTCTGTATATATAGCCTCCCTACTGTTATTTTATTTTACTTCTGCTCTTTTTTTTCTCAACACTTTTTTGTTGTTGTTTTATTTAACTTTTTTTATTACAAATAATTGCACTGTTGGTTAAGGGCTGTAAGTAAGCATTTCACTGTAATGTCTGCACCTGTTGTATTCGGCGCATGTGGCCAATACAATTTGATTTGATTTGATTTGATAACTGGTATTAGAGCGAGAGAACATGTCGTGTGCCGCTGACCCGTGTTTGGTTGTTCCGTTTCCATTTGGGATGAAAACATGTTTTTTTTTATATTTTTTTAGATAGGATGGTATCCTAAAACTACTGTTACACATAGCTAGGTGAATTATCCAGGTCAGCTCCAGCTGTGAGTTCACAGTATTGGTGCCTTTAGGTGTCTGACTGACTCCAGATCAGGATGAGGGCAGTGAGTGGTGCTTCACACC